CATATCGCTTTTGCTACAATGACGTTTGCACTGATAAGATTTATATTACTGACTACATATTTATGAAGTTTACTGATCTTATCATTAATTTTCACAAAAAAATATAAACTTTTCTTAGCGATATATATATTATTAATTTTACTTTGTCTTGGTGATTTTTTATTTTATTTTAATTAAGGTAAGGTACTCGTTTTTTTTTTTTGAACTATGTTCAAATTTATAAATAACTTTCTTAAATTATATTTTGTGCATAATCCGCTGAACTATCACATTTTGTAAATAACTCTCTTAAATTATATTCTGCGCATAATTATTCTGGACTATCACATTTTATTACAAAATGCCTCAATGTTTAGATTATTTTTCATTAAGACCATAATGTCCTTTCTTACTGAATTACGCTTCAACTATTTTTCTTGTTTAAATAAATTATAAAAAAATTTCATACTAAATTGATGACATATTCTCCATTAAATTTGCATAAATTTACCTTTAATTTTTAAAATAAAAATATTAAGTAGAAAATTTTAAAACAATTTAAGTAATTTTTTAATATTTCATTAATTTATTGCATGAAAAAGAAGGTATTTTATATTTAAGTAATTTATTAATCTTTCATGAATATATTGTATTAAAAAGAAGGGTTTTTTATTTTTATTTTTTATAATATAATAAGTTTTATTACAAATTGTAATTTTTTAATAACAAGTTAATCATTTTAGAAATTGTAGTCTATTTATTTTGTTTCCATTTTTGTGTTAATTGATACTAATAATAAAACAAAGGTAAATAGTATAATTAATATTTATATAAGAGAAAAGATAATAAAAACAATTTAATAAGAAATGATAATTTATTGAGAAAGGGTAAATAGTCTTTTGTGATGGGTTTGTTCTTAATTGTAACAAATTAATAGTTCAGGGGTGCAATTTTTAGTTTCGGGAATTATTTGTAAAAGAATAATAGTTCAAGGAGATTTTTTTACACAATCATTTTAATTATTTTAAGTGATTTTCTTTTTGAAATTTTTTTACCATCTAGTAAAACCAATGACTTTGATACAAAAGGAACTCAAATAATTTACAAGTTCCAAAGCATTATGCATTGAGTTTGAGATAAAGTTGAAAGGAAGAAGCAACACACACATATAGATAAAAATTATTGGAATATTGTACAAAAAAAGATGAATAAAAAATAGGTATTGGACAAGTGAGGACATGAGTACAATCTCCCAGAATAGGTTCATAATTAGTTGGTGTGTCCAATTCAATTGACATCATTTTAGCAACTTGAGTCCAACTTGTGGGTACAGACTGATTGAATACAGCTGAGTTTGGGTACACAAGGGCCCTTTGAAGATCACACACACAGTCTCATACTTCATATATGCCACTACTACTCTATGCCCTCACTTGGCCTTTTATTTCCTGAATTTCCACATTGATATTTGTTGGAACTGGCACTGCCTCAACCACCCATTTAATATATATATAGTTATTTTTATGTAACACTGCACATGCGTAGGTCCATCAACCTTTAAATCTTATTGATATTGACAAACTCAATGTCGCGACGATAGTCTAAGTGATAATACAATTCAAGTTTTGATAAAAAATTCACACACTCATTTTGCTTTTATGAGGATTTACAACTCTCAGGCTTTCATTTTGAATGACGAGAAAGTATTACTAAATTATAAGCCTAGTTTTATATTTTTACAGTGGCTTAGGGGAAAAAAAATACAAAAAAAAGAGTATTGTTATGATTCTGATACAATCACTATAACATGTACTAATAAAACAAGTATGTGTGTGTGTGTGTGTATATATATATATATATATATATATGCATATGTTATCATGAATCCAAGAATTAGGGTTTGAAGAACCAAAGCGAATGATTTTCCTTTGCTTTTGAAACATCTGTTTACTTTGAGTACCTACAGGGGAACACTGTGCTTAAATGTTTCCCTCCAGGAATAATCTAAATTTAAATGGATTTTTAGTTCTTTTGTAGTATTATTTTGCATAAACTAAATAATCAAATAGTAACTTGATGAAACGGAATAAAATTAATGATGCAATACCATCATTTCAATGACGTTTTGGGATATAATGAGGGTATATTCTCAATTTATTGGTTTTATATTCTTAATTAATTGTGTTTTTATCTCCTATATAGAATATTCGGACCGAGTTATTATATAGAAATTGGAGAACAGGGGTCAAGTCCAGTCGTTACTGAAGATCCATTCATGGTTGAACGCGTGTCCATTGTTTTGGCCGACATCTCAATCTCTGAATGGCCCATTAAGATTCTATCCATTTCATTGATGCATTTTACAATGGAAGTAAAAAGGCAAAAGGAAAAAAAAAAAAAACTGAAAAGTAACTTTGTGAAAAGCAAATTCCTTTTGTTTGTGGTTCTAGCAATAGCAGAGAAAGTGGAGGGAAAAGGTAAGAGGAAAAGGAAAATCATTTTCCTCAGAATGAGATTATTCACACACACACACACACACTTTATAATTAGGAAAGCGCATTGAGCAACCTCAATGCATGCTATGTGCAGAACAAAATTCCACCTTTCAATCATGTTCCACCAATGCACTTGGATGATGATGTTCATTCACTCAAATTTTTTTTTTTTTTTTTCTTTTTCTCTCACATATCAGTTAGTGGAGGAATCAAATCCGAGTCAAAGACAATTATTTATTTTTTCAATTTTTTCTTATTAAATTATAGGATTTGAACTCGGCTAATTATTTACTGTAACACTTTTTCGAAAAGAAATTTTACCCGTATCAAATACTGACAAAAATTTTTGTTAGACATTATTATAAGAGGATAGAAATTTTACCTTTATCTAATACAAATAAAAATTCTTGTTGAGTAAATTGCTTCCATCTTCTTCGATACAAAAGATAAGGACTATAATTGTTGTTGGACGATATTTATTACTGTGACAAAAATAGGGATATTTGTAGAATAACTCAAAATAAAAAATGAACAAGCACATTCTAAACCTTAATTTATTTGCAGTGGAGTCAGACCATATATGGTCACCCTGACATGATTGAAAGGAAAGGAAAGGAAGCCACACACATAGAGGAATGTCTTTGGGTTGGCATTTACTAAGAGGATAAGCCAAACAGCATTAAATGCAAAAACACTTTGCCAACTCAAAGTTTATCCTTCGATTCAATGCCACAAGCCAGCTCATTACACCCATCCAATAATGCATGTGCCACTGATCTAGACAACCCCTAATTTAATGATAATGATAATAATAATAATAATAATAATAATTTAGAAAAATGGTGGGGTACCCTATGAATTAAGGGTCCTTGAGAAGTCAGGTCTATTAATTATATGGATTGGGCCTCTGATTTCCTCATTTTGAGATCCAAAACAGGGTGAGTTACATTAACTCTGTCTTGAGTTGTCTCTGTATACAACCTACAATAATGATAATGTGTGATGCAGACACATGGAAAATAACAATAGTCATCCATAATTGGATGGTCCAACTTCAATGCTCGGGCGTTGATCATGTGGAATGTCCTGGTCAAGCAAGCTAAAGTGAGTTTGATGTATCAACATTTATATATATATATATATATATATATAATGTTACGATGGTGGCAAGAATTATCCTTATGCAATGAATCATAAGGATAGAAGAAGTACAGATGTTAAAGCTTTGGAGACCATATAACCTTTTTGGGGAAAGGTATTGGGCCATAGTCTATAGAGCTCTGTAAAGAATAGGATGTTCCTAAAACCTACGTTATCATACCCTATATAAAGTCCCTTTGAAAAAGTGTTTGGATTCTAGGATTAAGTCCCTTTGAAAAAGTGTTTGGATTCTAGGATTTGGGACCAGTGTTTTGTTTGAATAACCACAAATTAGAAGTGGAGTCAACTCAGTGCTTGGGTGATTCTAATAGATATGACAGCAATTTGGATGGTGACAAATTTTAGGGTTTTGGTCATTGTTGTTGTACCATAATGGTTACGCATCTAAAGAGAGGGATGGGATTAAAGTTCGATACCTAACAATGGTCCAAATATATTTTAAAAGAATATATAATGGATTTGAAAATATTCACCATTTTAAAGTAGATAATTTGGAATAAAAACTAGAGCAAATGAAGCAACCCATGTAACAAAATAAAAACACACGCGCACACACGGTGCATATAAATAATTATTTAAAGATCATTTACAAATTGAGTTTAATTAGAATATTAAACAAATTCATGAATAATTCAGGAATTCTAAATTAAACTGTGAATTTGAAGTTCAAACATTTTATGCTAAAAAACAAGGATATTTTGAAATATTTGATAATTTTTGTCAATACAGAGTGACAATTTTGGACCTGTGTCCAACATAAAGACAGACAATTTTTGCAGGCTAGTCTCCCTAAGTTTCAAAGCCTAAATCTATCTATTGTAAGGCCCAAAACTATAAACCTTGTAAGTTATATATATATATATACATACACATATTTTCTGCTGTCTAACATATTGCTACTCAAAGAATAAACCTTAATTGAGAAATAGTGATGCTTCATAAATTACTTGATAGTCACAACTACAAACATGATGTACGTGATATGCTGCATTTAATCCAGGTAAAGGGAAGAATCTTAACAATCAACTTTTGTTCAACACAGTCCATTCTGTTCAGCGGTCGTAGCTATACAAGTTTTGCAAGAATCTTACAGCGTACCTACAAACAAATAAATAAATAAAGGGGAAAAAAAAAAGGAAGCTGAAAAAGAAGAAAAGAGTAAAAAGATGAAGGCAGTCAAGAAGGTTAAATGCAGATGTGTTCAGTGAAGGAGGGGGTTTAAATGGAAAGCCTTCGTTAGGGTTTGGGACAAAGTCGGTATTTTGTTTGGATTAACATCTTTTGGTGGAGTTGGATTTTTGGATATGTTCAACAACATGCTACCAAAATAAATCTCAACTGTTAATGAGTCTCCAAAACACAAAGTAAAAAAAGGAATAAATAGATGATTTTATTGAATGATGCTGAGTAGTGACAAAGAGTTTTGGATTTACATTGGATTTATTCCTCTTTTTCCAACTTGCATATGTTAAGAGCAACAAAAACATTAAATATTTAACATTTTATTACTCTACTTACATCACCTTAAAAGCAAAGATGCAAAATCAGTTTTGAAGCGTCCGCCGACGACGAATTTTTAGATATCCGAACTTTCCAGCACCTGGAGAAGAACCCTCAAATAAAAATGGCAAATAGCCGGTGGCTTCTTTGTATCTCCGCAGAATCTGGAGATCAAAAATCAAAGCTATTTGAGAATTTTGAAACGGAAAATATAATGACAAAAGAAAATTTTATTTAATTATTACTGCTACGTACTAATAGAGATGATGATCATAACTACCTCAAACTATAATATTACAAGAAACATCCTTTATTTAAAAATAATAACAATGTCCCGTTGAATAAGAGTGTCATTTGTCAACATGCTATTTACTTATAAATGAAGAATGCAGACATGCAAATTGCAGCTTCTCAAATCACATTTGGTAATCAGAACGAAGGGTTTTCGTGCATCCCATAGCTATTCGATTTTATAAAAGGTTAACATGGTTTCATTCCTCATGGAGATAACTTGAAATTTGACTAAGAATTCACTACTTTCTATTTCCCATTTCAACATTGAAGATGCATCAATGTCTTACCAACCATCTAACCCTTGTCCAAGTAATAGAGGGAATGCCAATAAAACGCAGATTAAGAACACATGATTAGCTAGATGGATTAATGGTGTAAGAGTCAATGTAATATGCTGCATTTAATCCAGGTAAAGAGAATAATTCTTAAATGGAGGGCAATATAGTGAGATATGAAAATAATTTCCAGTCATTCCAATATACACAACAAAAAGAGTTTTACTGATCATCAGCAACTTCAATCAGGGTTTTTGAAAAGGCAAAAGAGAAAATAAAAAAAATAAAAAACAAAGAAAAAAAGGAGAAGGAAAGGAAAAGTAAAGAGTGCACTAATCCAACGGTTCTAACATATTGTGAATTCATGATTTCAATAAAAGTTAGCATCTGTATGCAAAGAAGAAATCCAATACTAGAAAAAGCAAAATGCTATTTTTTTCCATACAAATATGGTTTATTCATACAAAATTCCATTTTTTAAAATTTAGAATATAAAAAAATATTAGACTACTAAAATTAATAACAGTAATAAAGGGCAAGGGAACCACTATTACTGACCCTGTACACCAAGGGAAAGCAAAAAAAAAAAAAATCTTTTTCTCTCATCTATTTTGACTCGAGTAATTAAAATTTATGAAAGCTACCTCAAAAATTTGTTCACTGCTTTTCAGACAATTCCTTCCAATAACACCAACTGTTCCACCAGAACCGCCACCTGTAATCTTTGCCCCATACAAAGTTCCATTTGCAGCTTTAGACAATTTAGAGTGCTGCATTTCTTGCACCAACTCTACCAACCTATCTGTCCCATCTGAGCCAAGACCACAAGCACTGTAGCTGTAATGACACTGCAAGATAATGGTCACATTAGTGAGAGTTAACATTTAAATGGGTGCTAAATTCAAGAAAACCTTGACCCCAGCTACTTAAGGTGGGCCATATAAATATTATTTCTTTTCTTTCTTTTTATTTTTATTTTTTTAATTAAGAAAATTCCTTTCCCACCAATCAGCTCTACCAATGCCATTAGGTATCAACATATTTAGAAAGTAGTTTATAATCAGTTAGTTTCCACATAAATAGATAAAGCTGAGAACCACACAACTAGATGAACACAAAGTTATGGTGAACAATGGGGATTTACAAAGAGTACTAGTTTCCTTCAGTAACTGCAAGTTTACATGGCATTCTTTCTTCAGAAACACCCGAAGGAAAGTAGCAAATACCTGATACATGAGTTCTCCAAGAGCAGAAAGTTGATCCTCTGAGGAAGAAGCAGTCAATAATGCTTTAAAAGCCTACACAGCAAGTTACTCAGATTTAAGTAAAAGGCTACCAATATCAGAACACATCGCAAGACTCATGACAAAATTCGTGATTAAGGTGGTGTCCTTGCAGGGTATAAGGCAAATACAAAGGCAATGATGTAGAATATAACCACATCTGGAGGACTTGAACTACAGAATGTTCCTTGACTGCCTCGCTAGAGTATAAAATAAATAAATAAATAAAAAATACTTAATGCCTAGCTATAGGTTCTGAAGATGACATTTAGAGTTTCACAAGTACCAATCATTAATGATTTCAACTCATTAGCATGTTTCTGGTTCAATATGGTAGCAATTTATACCTAGTGGCCAGTAAATTTTATCATTGGAGACACTTGATTTGTGAATGTGGTGATTTACAGTTGATTTATAGCAAATTAGCAATATGGCCAGACCTGTCTAACAAGTAAAATGTGAGGCAACAACATACAAACAAAAATGTTTTAGACAAAAGAATGTTCTACGAAACAGTTACAAGGCATAAGTACTAGGAAATAGAAACTATACATGAGCGCATTCAGAAAACTCTGTCAGTAGCCTAGAACAACAGTTTTTCAATAGTGTTCAGTCTGGTCCTGTCAGAGTTGCTACTGATAGAATAGCATGTATTTTGGTCAGAGTTGCTGCAGATAAAAAATGTACAACCCAAACCCATCCTCTTCATAACAAAATAGAAAACCAAATACTGAACCTCACCCATTTGTTAGAGAGGTTACATCAAAGCTAGAGTTTTAGAAACCAGACTTGGTATTATAGATGAAAGGAGCCAGTTTATTGGCCGACCATCAAATTGAGCAGGGACATCACAACAATTGGATTGAAAAACATTGTAAATTTTCCAATGGAACCATAAAACTTCAAACCCAAACCTCTGGTGTGGGGACATTGCTCTGGCTCGTAGGTTCCCTCTGGGACATTGCTCTACCCAAATTCATATTAAAATCGGAATTTCTTTTAAAACTTGAATTTCTAATCCTGAAGAAATTTTATTCTTTGTTCTCATCAATTTATTTTATTTTTTCAAAATAAAAATTCCAAATTAGATCTCGACAAAAATGATATTCCAAATACATCAACAATTTTTGTATTATGTTCGGATGAATGTATATTGTACGAAGTCAAAAATAGATAATGGTCGGATAATTTTTTGACTTGAGAATATGTCAAAAGTGATACCAACTGTATTTCATTTCAATGTTACCAAAACCATCTATTATATTACAAGAAATAAATAATAATTAAACCAAACAAAAAATTAAACAGGACTCTTACAGTGCATAGCACGGATTCATGAAATTGATTACATTTTCTTAATTCACATAAGATGGTGTAGAATGCATTCATTGCAAGAAATGTTTCAAAGGTGCATTGAAATTTCATAAAGCAATTTTTCACAGGAACAAAAGATTAACATCTGAGTTCTGTGCAGCCATTAACAAAAAAGGGTGATGAATTGCATTATTGAAAGTATTTGTGACATATCTATCATATAGAGGTCTGCTTGAAAACCCATAGCTAGACGGAACATTCACACGAGAGAGAGAGAGAGACGCACAAACTCGTGAAGTAGATATATATATTATGTATCAAATAAAAGTTTGAGGCTTCAAACATATTATTGGCTATCGATTTACTAACCTGGACACGGAAGTTCTCATAAATAGGATGCCTAGTGGATGCACTCACTGCATAGTTGCGCTTCTTATCAATTACCGTGACTGAATCATTGTGATCAATATACCTTTCCAAGAATTTTTCGCCAAGAAATGATTCTGGAAGCTTCTTTGCATAACAACCTTCGTATCTGAAATATGAGAAAAAAAAGCAGTAGGAAAATGACCCTTAATTGCATTTATGTTGACAAAACATTAAATTTGATACCAGGTTGGGGAAAAATTAAGATAGGAGAGATTCTGTTGCATCAACCTTTGCAGTTTGACAGTTTTCATTCATCTCACTTCAAATAATTTTACATGTTGATATGAAATCATCCAGAAAGGTGGCAAAATAACTACTGAAAAAAAATAGTTTGCAGACTGGAGAAGAACAACAATACCTATGTGGTGAGAGGTTGCATAAGTAATCTAATGAAGCTTCAGTTTCAAGTAGTTCACGGCCTTCCGCGTCCATTTCGTCAGAGTTTATCGCGTTCACTTGCTGCTGAGAGCTATTATTTGACAATGAGCTGGACAACAGCTCAGATGCGGCAGACTTCATTATCTTCCTACCCATGAAGGCACCTATTCTTACTGATCCATAATCTGCACCGCCAACACTGAAGTGCACCCAGAAGAATGCTTGGATGAGTTAGACGGTATATATATGGAGCATTACTACAGTTTGAACTGCAGAAAGGAAGGGAAACCAAAATAAAACCACTAAGTAACCATAAACCGTATAAGAGTTTAGATGTAGACTTCATGTTCAACCTTCACTAAAGGTTAAGGTTCACAGACAAGCATGGTTTATAAACCTCACGGAAGAGGATTTGTTAGGCAAGGGAAGGTGAAAGATTATAAGGTTCTACTTGAGGGAAGGCCTTAGCGCAACGGTAAGGTACTACTGTGACCTAGAGGTCAGGGGTTCGAAACAGGAAACAGCCTTTCCACATGTAGAGGTAAAAAGGCTGAGTACAGCAAACCCTCCCCAGACTCTGCAGTGGCAGGAGCCTTGTGCACTGGGCTAGCCCTTTTTAGTTTCTTTCGGTGGTTGCAATAGACACTAAAAAAGATGTGAAATCTCAGGACCATGTTTGGCAGGTTACGAGGCAGTCCAGATGTGCTCACTCTGTGTTTGTTTTATTAAATTATTATACTCTTGTTCTTTAAAGGAATTTCCATTCTCTCGCTGCATTGCAGCTCTTTACCCCTTTGATAAAATTGTTTTATAAGAAAGAAGTGTTCATCCAGATTGCAATATCCTCAGATAAGATTTAAGCAAAATGGCACAAAAATTAGAGCTTTATGGGAGCTTCAACCATTAAAAAGGTAAATGATGCTGACTGCTCATTGAATACTATTCAATACTTATGATGGTGTTCATGGATATAAGTGATATGCATTGAAGTATTGGCCCACCCTGGTATATCCAATTGTTATGCTTGCATCTAAGCGTTAGATTTGAACGAGAATTCGGTTCAATATTGTTGATACTCGGCACCAGCTTTCTAACTGAAGTTTCATCTTCCATTTTCTCTGCCAATTGAAAATGTTAAATCACTTTGTAACTAAGGCCCAGAAAGTTAAATTTTCCCCATTTTAAAAGTAAAATTTGACTTCCTTGGTATTGTTAGATAGGAGGCGCAGGATTTAATAATATAGCAATATAGGAGACAATCATAGGAGTGCAAATGTTTGAACAATTTTAATCAATGGAAAGTACAAAACGGAACAATGCTCTCGTCATTTCTTCTTCTACAGTTCTATTGATTGTGACATTTCACTCCTATCAATCTTCCTAGCCCCTCCTTTCCACTTATGACTAATTGAAATGCATAAAGTGTAGTTTCAAAATGCCGGACTCAAATATGCAGTGTTTACTGTTTACTGACTCGCTTACTGTTTGTTGAAAACAACCATATATTGTAAAACTAATTTACAAATTATATAAAAAAGTTTCACACCAACAAAAAATGTAAAATAAGTTCTCTCTCTCTTTATGCTAAACCTAACTAGCAACTTTTATTTTCCTTGTAACATTAGAACATGTAATCTGCATTGCATGCTATAAACTACAACTAACAGCCCATTTTCAAACACCTTTCTAGCTTATTCCCCTTGTAGACACACTGACTCAACTTCCTTAACTATAATATTTAAAGCACGGTAACTTAATGTTGTCACGAGATTTCATAATGAATATCAATAAAAAGCAAAGTCGCAAACAAAAACAGAGAAATCATACCTGTGTCGTATTCCTGAATCAATTCCCCAAAATCGTATGTGGGAAGGGATTTCCACAAGTCCTAATACCTCTGCAGGCTGCACAGAGATACAAGAAAATTGCACCTTTAACCTCATACATGTTAACCTATCTTGAATGGGACCTTCAGGATCTGGGATTATGCTTACCTGGCACACCATTGCAAGAAGTTTATTTGCTTCACCACATGCTGAAGCCATCTGGTCCATCACACCACAAGGAGCTCCAACAATGTGATTCTCTACCTATAGCAAGTTATTGTAAGATAATGCTATTCCAGTAACTGGCACGTGGATTTTAAGAATGAAAACCAAAATCAGGAAAGAGGAAACGGAAAAGGGTGGTTCCAGAAGTATGCCTTTTGGCAAAGCAAAGCAAGATCTCTAGGGGCAATGTTCAACCCTGCAAGTACAGAGGTAAATAATTAGAAGCATAATTGCTTAAAGCAACAGTGAAACATGCTTTTATACTTGGAGAAATTAATCGAGCCATGGTTAATAATTTAATGAGTAAGATTCCAGTGTATCAGAAATGAAGTAAGATTTATTTGACAATGCATAAAAACCAAAATGTAGTGAAATACAAAGTAAAATCAAAAGACAAATCAGTAAAGTGTTATCCTATTCAATTGTGTTTGCTTCAAGCTTTTCAATTTGCCATTCAGCATTGTTAAATTTGCAGTTAAATCATATACTGACTTCTCCCTTTCCAATAGAAGTTACATCACATCATCCACTCATCATTGCATCACCTTAAAATTCAACAATGTCATTTCTCATTGATCTTCATTAGATATTACATAACCATGGTGGCCATCTTCAACAATTTTCTCTCATCTTGTTGTCAAATGACACTACCCCCAACTTCTGAGACATACATTATTATATTAAATATACCTTCCCTTCTCTTTGCTATCATCCATCATAACAATGCTTCATAGCCATCACCTGTTGCTCCATACACATGGCTAGTATTGGTTTTTCATTTTCTGCTCTTGTATAGTCTGCATGTAAAGTGGCTGCACCAACCCTTCTTTAGCACGGCTGGTCTTATACAATAATTATACAGCATACCAAAAGCACTCTTCTACTTCATCCACCAAACTCTAATTTTTTTGGCTAACAACCCACTTAATCTCTCCCTCATCATAGATAACTATACCAAGAATATCACTATCTATATTGTGGTGAAATGAATTCAATTATATTGAATCTGTTAATTTTTACAAGAGCCTCTGTTGGGCTATATATAAGAAATTACAGAGAAAAATCAGCAACAAATTAAATTTTGAAAACCTTATAATCAGGAATCCCTGATTCTCTATCAATCAAATCCCTAAACTCTAGGAAACAAATATTTACACAATTCTAGTGCTAACCTACCACTAATCAAGGAGACTAACTCATATTTTTCCACACTCGTCAACCATTCCCAGCTTGGAAATAATTTCTTGGAAGATAACACGGTTGAGCCCCTTTGTAAGAACATCTGCCATTTGACCTCCCGTGGGAACGTATGGTGTGCAAATTAATCCGCTTTCTAGTTTTTCCTTGATAAAATGCCTGTCTATCTCGATGTGCTTAGTTCGGTCGTGTTGCACTGGATTATGTGCAATGTTGATTGCTGATTTATTGTCACAATAGAGTCTCATTGGCCCACTCCATTTAATCTTCAAGTCTTCCAGTATAATCTTCAGCCATAACAACTCACAGGCACCTTGTGCCATTGCTCTAAACTCGGCTTCTGCACTTGACCGGGCTACAACATTTTGCTTCTTGCTTCGCCATGTTACCAAATTGCCTCCAAGGAATGTATAATAACCTGAAGTAGACCTCCAATCCATAGGGGACCCTGCGTAATCTGCATCTGTGTAGGCTTCAAGGACAAGCTCAGATTTTCTCTTGAACATTATCCCCTTCCCAGGATTAGCTTTCAAGTAATGAAGCACACGGTAGGCAGCTTGAAGATGAATCTCCTTAGGGTCATGCATGAATTGGCTGATGACGCTAACATAATATTCTATGTCCAGCCGGGTGTGGGCAAGATAAATGAGTTTTCCAACTAATCCCTGGTGCATCTCTCTATCTACTGCTTGATCTCCAATAGCCTCTCCAAGTCTATGGATCGGCTCTATAGGTGTTGCAGTTGGTTTGCTTGTGAGCATTCCTATTTCCTTAAGAAGACGGATGACATACTTTTTCTGCGAGATGAAAATACCTTGTCTAGAATGAGCCACTTCTATCCCTAGAAAATACTTCAATCTCCCCAAATCTTTTATCTCGAATTCTTTGATCAAACATTGTTTCAAGGCTTGCTTCTCCTTCTCATATTTCCAGTCATAATTATGTCGACTATTAAGGCCGTGACTTTCCCTGAAAGTGAGTGTTTGATGAAAAGAGTGTGATCTCCCTGACTCTGCTTATATCCTGTAGCTAACGTCACCTTAGTAAATCTCCCAAACCAGGCACGGGGCGATTGTTTTAAACCGTATAAGGCATTCCTTAACTTGCATACCTTGTTCCCTTTAACTCCTCCAAATCCTGGCGGGTCCTGGCGGGATGCTCATATAGATTTCTTCTTCCAGGTCACCATGTAGAAAGGCGTTCTTCACATCGTACTGCTGTAATTCCCAATTAAAATTGGCTGCTAATGACAACAAGATCCTCACAGTGTTCATTTTTTCAACTAGAGCGAAGGTCTCTTGGTAATCAACTCCATATGTCTGAGTGTACCCCTTAGCAACTAGCCTTGCTTTGTAGAGCTCTAATGATCCATCAACCTTATATTTCAAGGCAAAAGCCCACTTACACCCTACTGCCTTCTTTTCTTTAGGTAGATCAACCACCTCCCAAGTCCCATTTTTTTCCAATGCGTCCATCTCAACTCTCATTGCTTTCCTCCATTCTTCATTGGATAATGCCTCAGATAAAGTGTTTGGAATAGAGATTTCATTTAGACTCGTGAGAAAACTTCTATAGGCTGGTGAGAATTTCTTTAAGGATACATAATGAGATAGAGGGTATAATGGTCATTTGGTACACTACAGTTCCTTTCCTCAAGGCTATGGGCAAATCTTGGTCAGTTATTTGAGGTCCAGGAAGCTGGTGTTCTATAAGTGGAGTAGGTTCAGATACCGTTACCCCATTCTCAGGAGTCAGGTTGGAGGTTTGGGCCTACACCGGATCAGGAGCTGGACCTTGCTTCCTGGAGTACACCTTTCCTTTCCTATACCGTACGTGATTGATCAAGAGTCATATTATCCGTCACAGGAGACACAACAGGAGACATAGGTGACAAAACAGGAGATTCAGGCTCAGGTACTGAGTTTGATTGAGTGTTTGATACAGGTAAGAGAGATGGTGAACAAGGCGAAGACGGTAAAACGAGCTGGAAAAAATCCTTATCTTCCATGATAAACGACTCCCCTTGAAGATAAGGTTCAATAAAATACAGTTTCCCTTCCGCAAATGTGACATCAGCTGAGAGATAAAGTTTCCTTGTAGGAGGATGAAAACATTTGTTACCTTTTTGTGTGGACGAGTATCCTACAAACACACACTTAATGGCTCTAGGATCTAATTTGCCCCGGTTGTTGCTATGGACATGAACAAATGAAGTGCACCCAAATATCCTAGGGGTAAGGTTGTTTATGGCACTAAGGTCAGGGTAGAATTTAGAAAGGGCTTCCATTGGACTTCTTGACCCTAAAACCCATGAAGAAAGTCTGTTTATGATATAAGCAGATGTAAGTATTGCTTCCCCCCAATAGTGTTTTGGTACATTTTGATGAAACAAGAGTGCTCTAGTAGTGTTTAGGAGATGACCGTTTTTCCTTTCGGCTACTCCGTTTTGTTGTGGAGTATTAATGCAAGATGACTCATGAATAATTCCTTCCTTTTAAAAGAAGGGTGACCAGACTTGATTGAAGTAATCCCTCGCATTATCAGACCTAAACTTCTTTATTTTGGTACCAAACTGATTGCAGATGGAAATGGAGAAAGATATTACTCACATCTGATTTGTTTTTGAGTAAAAATATCTAAGAGACTCTAGTGCAATCATCGATAAAGGACACAAACCACCGTGAACCAAAAACATTTGGGACTGTGGAGGGTCCCCATATATCACTGTGAAGTAAATAGAAAGGGGAGGAACTTCTTTTATTGCTAATGGGAAAAGCTACACGAGTGTGTTTTGCATACTCACAAATATCACAATGAAATGTCCCAATATTTAATCCCTTAAACAAAGAAGGAAACATGATTTTTAGAATTGCAAAAGAAGGATGTCCGAGACGAAAATGATGCAACCATATGACATCTTTATTGGAAGAAGAGAGAAACGAAGAGGATAAATTTGTCCTTATCATACTCGGAAGGCGCGGTGTCTCAAGGTAGTAAAGTCTTTCCTTTTCCTTAGCACGTCCAATCCTCCTCCCCGAATCTTGCTCCTGAAATTCACAGTAAAAAGGATAAAACGTAACATGACAATGTAAGCCTCTAGTAAGCTCTTGAAAGGACACAAGGTTGGCGGACAATTTAGGAACATGTAGAACATTTTTAAGAACAAGACTAGGGGCGATATGGATATCTCCTACACCAGCAACCGTAGTTGTGGTTCCATCAACAACAGTGATTTTCCTATTGCTAGGACATGGGGTATAAGTGCTGAACTGGTTTGAGGCATGTGTCATGTGGTCTGTGGCTCCCGAGTTTATGATCCACGAATCCACAAACAATTTATCAGAAACATTTAATCCAAAGGAGAATAAAGACTCACCTGAGAGGGCTAAAGAACAAACACCAGAAGATGGTTTCTCAAGGGTTCCCAGCAGGTTTCTTAACTTCTCTATTTCTTCACCGTCGAATCCTCCATATTCTTTTGCCTGGTCCTGACCCACCTGTGAGGTCATATGGGCTTGTCGTTGCTGCTGTCCTCCTTTGTTTCCCCATTCTCGGCTAGATGTGGGTGGTTTCCCGTGTAATTTCCAGCAACGATCCCTGGTATGTCGCAACTTTTTACAGTATGTACACCAAAGATTATCTCGGTTTGCCCCCTTTGATAATTCCGCCTTTCCATGTTCAGCATTTTGCAGTTGTTCTAGAGTGAAACCTCGTTTGTTGTCACCAGAGACTACGAGTGCTGAGCTGTCAATTGAATGAGGTCCAAGCATGATTCCTCTCCGACTCTCTTCAGCCCGAATCAATGAAATCACCTCATTAAGAGATGGTACCTCCTCCTTGCCCAAAATTTGAATTCTGACTTGATCAAATTCAGAGTTTAGGCCAGCGAGAAAATCATAAACTTGATCTTTTTCAATGAATTTTTTGATAATTACAGTGCATTCGCTGCACTTCAAATCAATCATCCGGTAGTAATCCAGTTCTTGCCACTGGTTTTGCAGAAAATTGGCACACTCAGTCACGGACTTGTTCCCCTGTTTTGTAGACGCTGTCTTTGTCTTGATCTTGTATACTTGCGCCGCATCACGAACCTTGGAGTAAGTCTAGTTGAGAGTGTCCCAGATGGCCTTCGCAGTTGGTAGGAACATGCATGTATCGTTGATTTCGGGTGTCATGGAATTCCACAACCAGGACATGACCATTAAGTCCTCCTCGTCCCACGCTTCGAAACCTGCATCACCTTTCTTTGGTCCCATTCCTAGCAAGTGACTTAATTTCCCTTTTCCTTTCAGAAAAGTTCGAACCAATTGAGACCATTTCAAGTAATTTCTTCCATTAAGTCGATATGCCGGTTGAATATTCTACAGTTCACTTGTGGAGCGCTGAACCTGCTCTTCCTCGGGTGTTGGGAAGGTTAAACAGTAGTTTCTGACATTCTTCAACAATCGGCTATGAAGACCGAAAAAAAGGGTTATACGACAATTGGCAAAAGAAATTGCCAAAGAATGACTGCGATGAAGGCAAGTCACAGAGAAAATTGGCTATGAAAGCCTGAATAGAAAAAAAAAAAAAAAAAAAAAAAAAAAGAAGACCGCTGAATTTTTTTTCCACAAAATCCAAGCCTTACGGCTCTTATGCCATGTGGTGAAATGAATTCAATTATATTGAATCTGTTAATTTTTACAAGAGCCTCTGTTGGTCAATATATAAGAAATTACAGTGAGAAAAATTAGCAACAAACTAAATTTTGAAAACCTTATAATCAGGAATCCCTGATTCTCTATCAATCAAATCCCTAAACTCTAGGAAACAAATATTTACACAATTCTAGTGCTAACCTACCACTAATCAAGGAGACTAACTCGTATTTTTCCACATATATCTCTTTGCCGCCGATCTTAACTACTTTCTCAATATTATTTTTTATTTTTACTGGGATTACATTGCATATATTCATTCATAGACCTACCAATTTTAAACCACCTTTGATTCTAAAGCATCTCTTTTTCATACTAATCAACAGGGACTCCTAACTTTAATTCTAGCTATCAAAACTTTATGAATAGCTACACCACAGCATCTCTTCTCAAGACATGTCCAAATATGATTTGTCTTTATTGGAAGGGTGAAAGTTTGGTATTGATCCAAGTAGAGATAGCATTTCTCTTCTGGATGATCAAGGAGTTCTCAAGAATCCAAAAATTCAGAGATATAGGTAGGAATTTATGAAACAAACAACAATTATTCAAATGTTTCAGGAGTCCATTGCTGAGAAAAGGCTAAGGAAACCTTGAACTAAACACCTACAGTGATGAATATGAGTGCAACTGAAATCCCTGGGGAATACATGCATATTGATAAAAACATTCACTAAAGCTCAATCACTGCCCGGATGAAACCACATGGCCAAAAGAAACCATAACCGGGAATAGGAGAGCTTGTCCCACTCATGAGTAAATTAGTGGCAGCTTCATTACACCGTAAATCCTTCTAGTCATATCCTGATAATAGGCAGAGAATAAACTGAACAGTCTTGAGCTATAAAGACAGTTATTCAAGCATTAGCACCGTATAAAAAAATTCATCCTAGAGTGACATCCCCACCCAAAAGTTAAGGCAATAATGTGAACAAGAGATGGTGCACGCGCATATTGGTAGCTGTAAAATATTCAATTTTACATTTAGTATAATTTTTTATTTATTTATAAATAATGGATAAGAATGAAATTTCAATACACAAAATTAAAAATTTGAGATGATGATGATATTATTGTGTCCCTTTTCCATTTGAAAATAATTTGTTCCTACCACTGCTGTCTCTAAGGATCTATTACTCAAAAAATTTCAATTGTCTTTCCAGGTTCTGCAACTTATTATTTGATTGTGTTTCTGCTAACTGATGTTGTGAGACTTTTTAACTTCATTGCCAATCCTTTTATTCTTTCAAGCTAAAGCCAAGTGTATTAGGCTTCTGTGATGGATGTTCAATCATAAATATAATCAAATGCCATTATCATACTATGTACTATTTATACTGCAGATGCAAAGCACACAAATTGTACATCAGTGAATAATTGACCTAAACTACAAAGATAAACTAAAGAAATCAAATTACGAGCTTGAAGGTTATACATCCATGAATTAACATTTAGAAGAGAAGTATGGCGATAGTGAACAGCTAAAGCTGACATATCGAGAATGTAAAATTTAAATGGATAGAAATTTAACATCTGAAAAATGTGTACCATGAGCAGAAGCAATGGCAGACATGGTGGCAACTTCAATTGCTGCAGAAGAAGATACACCTTTCCCCTCTGGAACCGCAGAAGAAACCTGGATGTTCAAGTTAATACATTGCATTAAGATGTTGCTAATCAATATTGAAAACCTTTGTGGAGGTTACACATTCATTCACTACGCTGGAAATCATAAAATTTCAAAGAGACAAAAATCATAGAGGTATCCAATACAAGGCAGCAGGTGGTGAAAATGATAGGGAGGTCTGAAGTGCCAAGAAAAAAAATAGTCGAGCTTTGTATTTCATGGTCTATGCTCCAACTGCCAGGTAAAAGATTCAGCGTATGTGCTAAGGAAAATTTTTGAACCTCCGAATCATACTGAAGACTCTACACAATCAACCATCATAAGGAATAATCTATTAATTATGTAACAGGCCAAGGGCACTAAAACATACAATGTTTTTTTAACTAAAACAAAATTTCAAAATAACTTCTACAGGAGAAGTTCGACTTGTATAAAGCTCTCTATTTAATCTCATGGAAACATATACAACAACAACAACAAACAAGCCTTTTTCCCAACTACTCGGGGATGGCTACATGAATCCTATGTTTGCATTCCACTCTATCTAAGGCCATATCCTAGTCAATCTCATGGAAACATATAAATGAGAAATTTTACATAAAGAAAGCATAAGATAAAATGAGAAAATAAAGAGAACCATACCAGTATGCTGATGCTATCCTCAAAATGGAATCCTAACTCAGTCATTAATACTAGAATCGTTCCAGCAATATATGCTGCCCACCTAAGAATGAGCCATATATATAACAACTTGTATATGTCACACTGAGAACCAAGAAATCCAAAAATAGGAAAAAGCTTACTTCTGGGATGGGTCTCGGGCAAAGTACTCTTGTGCCATCTTATATGATATTGGATGACCACCATCCATTAAATCTGACAAATCCATGTCAAATGTTGGTGCGCGATTACCTAACTCGGACCCAAATGATACCTGAGATGACCGAGTTGAAAATAACTTAGGTTGGAATTTGGTAATATAACGAGTACTATTTATGAGTATATGTGAATATATATGACAAATATAAATGAGTTCATGTGTGCTAAAGTCCAAGATCATAGATTAAGCCACAGAGTCATACTTGAAGCAGAAATAGAACAATCTTGTGGAGTATAGAACGAATTAGGAGTTCTTATAGTCCTCTATATCTTTATTTCTATAGCTCTACATCCTTCATTAATATGCTACAAAAAATTGTGTTTTCAAAAAGAAAATACTAAAAGCAATAAAAAAACTGTAATCTATTAAACCAATACATCCAGCATGTAAAATTTTCTCATATCAGAACAAAAGCAAGGAGAATGACGATGATGACGCTGAAGCCGTTGATGATGATCTGAACAAGCCGTGTAGAAGAGGAGTTCACTAGTTTGAGAAGTGGTAGATATGCAGTTACTATGAACCCTATAAATGTGATAATATTCTATGTATGAACTAATTTGAATTAGTTGAGCACAAACAGAGTGATATAAGATACACAATTATAAAAAATGTCTATAACTTTTAGAATTTCTGGCCATTTTCTCAAGCCTGTATTTTAATGGGAACAAAATTCAACTTTTTGGAAAGATTAAATACGAGTGAGGAAGAAGTAAAGAGAGAGACAACTAAAACCTCAATAGTGGAAAGCAAAAACCAAACTATCTAAATTAATTGGCAGCAATTCACTTTTGAGCTTGAAGATCTAGGTACCAAATCAGAGTAACAACCCAAGAACTTCGACCTTTCAAAAAAAAAAAAAAAAACCCAAGAACTTCGAAACATCGGTGATATAATTTTGACTTCTCTGTTCTAAAGCTATTCTAAAACACAACAACATAGCAACTTCGCCTCATCAGCCCTCTCAAAAATAGTCTTTGAGAAGACAAATGAGACTTGCTTCATGCTTTATGCCTTTATGGTAATCCCACAACCACTAAGTTGATTTCAGTTTACTTGAGACCATCAAAATGAAGCTTCACAAGGTCTGGGGAAGGAGTTTCTCGAGGGAGTGAATGAAAAGAGTGATGAGGACAGCCTCCCATTCTCTGGCAGTACATTTAAAAGATATATGTCAATAGATATTAGAAACTGAAGGTCAACAAGGGATTGACAATGTGATCTTGTTCTTGATGGTAACTACAAATTGAAGTTCCTCTACCCCTAGAAGATCAGATTGGTAGCACTACTCTAGAACCACAAAAGCCCAAAAACTAACTCAGAAAGGTCAATGTATACTCAAGTAATCCATCCCATGTTTTAAAGATGATTGCCTACAAGGCATAGCCACAATGTTACTAGAAGGGTCATAAAAGTTGCTAGTCAGTGTGAATACAAATGCAAGAACAAAGAGAATTCAGAGTTGTGGAACATAGTTCTTGTCTTCCCTACATTTGCGAACTTCCTTCAGATGAAGTTCTGACCATAGAAAAAAGAAAGAATGGATCTTGTGGAAGAATTTCTTGCAGAAGCAGATGATTGTATGGGTTTATTAGTTCAGGAAACCTGCCGCATCCAATAACATAAAGTGACCATGGACATGATAGCTCAGTTAATTTAGTACAGACTAATACAATTCTGTAAAAGCTTCTACTAATAGGATAATATGATAATGAAACCCTACTAACCAACAATTTGAGAGCTCAATTTAATATAATCTCAGCAGTTTATCAAAAACATTAATAAAACAAAAGAAAAATACTATATACTCCAAATGGTTATGTATAAAGTACCAAGAATGGTAATTTATGGCACTTTCTCGTAGTAAATTCAACACTGATGCTACACATACTGCAGCCCTCAAAGCTCCAGCAACCAATAACGCCGCAGCAGGCAAAAAAGCGTAAATAGGATGGGATAGTGTCCTTAATTTTGCAACTAACTAGGTATTAATCCTTTTATTTAAAGGAGTGCAGATTGAGAATATTAACCAAATCACGAAAAGAAAAAAAGTTAGCATATTATATCTAAAGAGTTATGGGGCAAAAAAAATTTTGTTTAAGCATCGGTTCAAACATAGCATTCCAACTATTGAGTGATAAAGCTGTCAGCTAGTCAGACCCTGGCCACCATTTTAGATTCCTTTAAGAATTTTACTCATTCTTCTTTGATTTCAACATTACAGTGTAAATCTCATAGTATAAGCTTCATTCTATTATTGTTGAATTCACAACATGCTCTTCATATTATCAAGTTTATGAAAAGTAAAACAGGCTTAACACCAAACCAAAGATAACAACAGTACGATGACAAATTATGCTAAAGAACCTACTTCAAGATCATGCTCTTCGCACTTTGCAACTAGGCACTAAAACTTAATAAGAAATTCCGTCAATAGGGAATACTATCAAATGAAATCCATGAACTTTACATACAATTTGAAGAACAGGAGTTGGTCCTTGTGCTTCAGTATGCTGCCTAGCCTTTGCATGCTTCCACAACTTCTGCTTGCTTGGATGAGTCCTCTGAACAGCAACATGGCACGCTTCTCTGATGGGCATCTTTGGAGGGAAAAAAGGAATGCACAAAAATGATCAGAATAGTGCAAAGGAAGTACATATAGTGCTTCATGAAATAACAAATGCTCTGTTTGGAACTAAGGATGAAAATTGTAAGGAAAGGTTGGAAGGATGGGATTCCTAGTGAAAGAAAGGGGCTTTCCTTTTTTTTGTTTATGGTTGAGTATCATCGACCTTTACATATTAAAAGAATTGTTTTCTTTGAAAGGCATATATACAGGAAAAGGTTTAACCCTTTGCTTCCTCCTTTCCTCTCCTTCTGGGAGGACAGAATACATAACTCAGAAGGGAAGGGCCTACACTGCTACCTTCCCTTCCCCATGCCTTTCCATCTTACCAAACCAGGAAATTCTATCCCACCTTCATCCCACTCGATTCTCCTACTGAACCAGCCACCAAGGGAAAGCGCAGTTGAAGAAAGCACCTATATGGACAAAAAAAATGAACCAGGAAAGAAAAGAAAAACCTGCAGAACAAGACTTCCTGAATAGTCTGCAATCCCTCCCATTACATCTAACCTCCCCGGTGCTCTTGCTATGAAAATCTCCTCCTGCAAAACCAGGTATGACAAGAAATGAATATTGAGAGCGCAAAAATTAATTAAATGCAGTAGTAAGGAGACTAAATAAGATCATGACGAAACATCCAAAGGAGAATCATGTTGAAATTTTGCATAGATCCCATATAACAAAATACTTTTCTCTAAGCAAAATGTATTCTACAGTAGGCCACGTTTTCATTTTGCATTCTCGAAAGGAAGCAATATATTAAATTCCTTTTTTCTTCACTTTTTGTTCAATCAAATCAAGGACCACCCTCACCAATCCCCTATTGGTGTGGCTATTGAAATTTAATTTTTTTAGTAGAGGCAGATTTGGAAAAATAAAATCTAAAACCCAATTCAGATTGAGGAAGAGGACAAGGTTCATCAGAACCTGCCACCACCTTAATTGGTGGACCAAGAACATGTTGTGAACTTCCCAACTCTTACACCCTTTGTCACACAGCGAAAACAAATAGAGGGTAAACCCTCAAACATCTGTCAAAGGAGTACAACTGAGAGTCTGGGGCCATGTTATTTCACTTTAAAACTCCTTTTGGTTTGACATATGATGGAGCCATATGAAAGAAGTATGATGTCAGGTGTTCACTTTTAGGATAAACAAATCTAAAAGAATACTATCATAAATTGTGTGTGTGACGAAGGCAAGGATGATGATGATAATATGTGTGTGTATTTACGTATACAAATACATAAATACATTATATATATATATATATATATATATATATATATATATATATGGGACAGGTATCTTACAACTAATCGGGATTAGGGATGGGTTGGGACCCTATTGTGGTGGAAGGGGGATCAGGGTGGGGGTTCAGCTACATGTGGTGGGTCAGGATGGGAACATTTGGTATCAAACCTGGCCTCCAGACATTCCTACTTGTGTGGCTGGAGGACTGGGAAAAAGTTCCATAACAGTTTTGATAATCATTATTGAAAATTTCCGCAAATTTTGATCAGGAAAAAAACCACTCCTCGTATCAGCCAATAATGGAACACTTGATAATTCCACCATGCTATATTTTTAAAAAAGTTTGAGACAAAATAGATATAATACATGGACTCAAATACATGTATCAGGTATGTATATATTATATCCCCAAATCCAAGAACATAATGATATGGCTAAAGGTTCACTTATTTTATAGGATAAAATGGTATATCCCATAGTCATATCCAAGTGTGCATCTAACACAGCTGCATGTTACATTTTCAAACATTTGATTATTTTATGTGAGTGTAGCTTTCAAATTGTAAACATCAGACAGTAATAGAATCTAGAAGTGCGTGCAAGCTCCCTTCCCCATTATGATTATTTCTCATTTTTAAGAATTGACTCGAATTTACTAAAACTTTAATTGTTTAAGAATGACAATAAGTTTTCCTTCAGCAAAGAAGGATAGTATACTTCCTGAGATCAATTGAGATGTGGCAAGAAATTCACATCGAAAGGTTTGAGAAAATCGCATTAACAAAATAGAGATTCAGATGGTTTCCATATGTAAAAATCGCTATAACAAAGTAGAAGTACACAGGATAGTGCTGTTGTAAAAAATGCTATGTGGTGCGGTTCTATATTATAACTTATACAATGACAGGTGTCTGTAATGGAATTTAACAACATTTTCACTATAGTTAAATGAATCTTCACATTTAAAAAGAAAACCTTTTAAAGTGTAAGAGATCTCCAGCTTATCTACGCATACTCATTCCATCTCCATTATAGTTCTAAGGCAAGCAAACCGTGGATATATTGGAATTTAAACATGAAAATTCAAATCATTTGATCTGATCTTTTCATTTAAACAGGCCTTGTATAATGAGTAAGACCCATTCAATAACATATCTTATTTAACTAGTTCAACTAAAAATACCTCCCAGTTGAACAGCGCACCAGCAGCCATGTGCTCCCGCATTTGGTGCTTACTGTGGTCAGAATCTAGTTCTGCCAAGCTCTTTAAGAAACTCATTGTATCTGAGAGACCCTGAAGATCTCCATGAAGAATTTCAAAGTCTACAGTGCATCTGCAAAAATAATTAAATAAAAAAGAAACAGAGAATGAGAATTTTCACACAACTTTGAATGAATATAGAAAACAGAAACAAAACAATAGCCCATAAGAAGAGCAAAGAATATAAATAGAAATAAAGAACTCACTCTTCTGTAAGAGTGCTTTTTCCAATTGTTTCATCAGTATGAAAACCAAGTTCATTTTGTGCAAGACTATACCAATCCGGCACAAAAGCATCTCTACCAGGAGCTCTTTGCAGTTGATAACCAAGTATGATTGCATCCCGCAACCTCCTTGCTCCACTAATCTACATCCAGAAAGAGATATGCAAATGAAACCTTAACTGAATAACCTATTTTCAAGAATGCAGTGTTTAGAACTTGATATAGATGACATCACGATGTTTCCTTATAGGTAGCAAAATTAGTGTCAACTGATTTATCAAGTAAATGCTAAGACTTATAAACAAAGAAGGGGCAGTGAATTGCTTAAATATTGATTATGTAAAATAACACCAGGCTACCATCTACTTTAGTGGCAGCACATCAGAAGTCTTATAATTTTTCAATAAAAAGCTGTGAACAAAGGAGATGCAAAATCTTTTCCATGTATCATGTTTGATACACACCCCCACAAAAATTAGACAGCATTTGGATAAAACCTTGGAAGTTATTTTATTACTTTCTGAAGAGAAAGTAAAAGAAGGCATATCGTTGTTTTTCTTGATGCAGAAAATGATAGCCACTAACAACTGAAATTTTTACTTTCCCTTGCACTAGTTGCAGCACTGTCAACGACAAATCAACTTTCAGGCCATAAAAAATAAAAAATAAAACCTGATACCAGAACAATAAATAGTGACATCACCAGGACAAACTCCACCAGCAATCTATCAATGGCAAAACATAATTACAGAAACCATTTCCTCCACCAAACACAATCCTACCCCTTCCAGTGCCCATTGACGCCACTACAGCTGCATTATCCACCACCTCCATTACAACCAGCCTTACCTGCTACAAAACCCAACAAGGCCATGAATAACACCTTCACCACTCTCCATTTCCGCGGCAGCATATCATCTATCACCAATATTATATCATCATCATCATCCTTGCCATAATCCCATATGAATGGGGCCGGCCACATGAATTTTCTCTGTCCAAGCTACTCTATTACATGCCATTGCACCTACCAGATTTAACTTTTTAAAGTCATTTTGAATAAACCTCATCCCATGTTATTTTAGGTCACCCTCCCTGTCTTTTACCTTCTATTACAACTAGTCTTCCTTGTTTGACAGGCGCGTCTCTAGGTCTCCGATGTGTGTCCAAACCATTAATAAGCCTACTATCTCGGAATTTCTCACCAATGGGCGCTACACCTAATTTTTCTCGCACACTTTCTATAGTGCCCCTACCTTTCCTAGTTGCTCCACTCAGCCACCTTAACATTCTCATTTCTACTACATGAAGACGTTGTTCGTGTTTCTTTTTTAGGGCCCAACACTCCACGCCATACAACATAGTTGGTCTAATAACGGTCCTATAATTGTCCTTTCTAACTTATGTGTAATTCTCTTATCACATAAAATCCCACTAGCTTGTCTCCGTGTTGTCCAACCCGCTCCAATTCTACTAGTTACATCACTATCTATCTCGCCAACTTTTTGTATTATCAATTCTAGATAAGGAAAGTGGTTATTTTGAGTAATATTTTGGTTTTGGAGTGCTATCATTATATTCTCAATGTCCAATTTTTTTTTATCAAATTTACAGTCCATATAATCAATTTTAGTTCGACTAATTCTCAAATCTTTTGAATCTAGAGCATTTCTCCACGTTTCTAGCTTTATTTCTAAGTTCTTTTTGGATGTATCCAAGAGCACTACATCATCGGCAAACATCATGCACCATGGAATCTCGTTTTTGGAGTTCAATTGTCATTTCATCTAAAGATTATTGCAAATAAATATGGGCTTAACACCGATCCTTGGCACAATCCTACATGTATGGAAAACTTGCTAGTGTCACCACACGTAGTATGTACTTTAGTTTTTTCTTCATATACAAATCTTGGATACTTTTAATGGTTTGTAAGGGAATTTGTTTTCTTTGTAAGCCCACCAAATTATATCTCTTGGATCCTTATTGTACCCTTTTTCTAAGTCTATAAAAACCATATGTAAGTCTTGTTGCTTACTCCTACATCCTTCAACTAATTGTTTAAGAAGGTATATAGCCCACATTGTTGATCTCCTTGGCATGAATCCGAATTGGTTATCAAACATTGTGGATTCTTTCCTTAGTCTTTGTTCTATTACAGTTTCCTTCCTTAGTTGCCACAAGTTTTGTAGCACCACTATTATATCCCAATCATTATATTATGCTCATGCCAGCTTCCCAATTTTTATTGACATGGTATTTCATAGGGGCACTTTACTAACATGTTAAATAAGTTCTAGACAAATTTGATCTAAACAAAAAGGAGTATATATACTTTCTTGCTGATAAGAGTTTCAAAAGTTGATAGGCACACAATATGGTTGAGACTTCTATAAATTTGAAATTTACATCATAGTGGCATGTTGACAAGCAGAATCCCATGTCCAAAATTGGGGATGTGAGTTAATATTTGAAATAAAGCTTCTCTAATAGCAATATGGACTTATAATAAAATGCTAACCAAAAATTATAAACACTTCATGGTTCACAGATAGATGATAAGCAAAAATACTTGACAAGTCACAAATAGTTACTAAAATTTTTCATCTCAATCATGAGAGCAAATTTGCAGTTTTAACTTGGCTAATAAGAGAACCCGAATGAGTACCTTATGAAAAGTTTTGTAGGAGAGATAAACCACCGACAAAGACACAAGCACATGCACACAATGAAGATTATGAAATATTTAATGAGTTAGTAGTACAAAAAATATTCACCTGATCGAAGCCATGATTTTTTCCACTGGCTGTATCCTGAAGTACGCGAGCAGCCATCTGAAATTTAAAGAGTTAGCAAAAAGCGTATTTTATCAATAAAGACATGGATGGAAATAGATAGGCGGAGGACTTATTATCAATCTATAATGCAATGAGAAACAAAATGCTGAAGACCACAGGAACATCAGAAATACAAGTTTTAAGAGAGAGAAAATTAAGGGCTTCAATTTTCTGATAACAGGGCAGAAGGGATTCTAGAATTTTTTTTTGTGTGTGAATGTAGTAGCTTCAGTTTCCGTTGTACTTAGATGAGGACAACCGAAAGAAACAGCCAAATCAATGTATAAGCAAAAGCCCTAAAAAATCTCTTAGGACATTAAATAAGAGATCCTATCAACAGCAATTGCTAAAGGAATTATAGAAATGGATCTAAATGTCATTTGGCACATTATTCAAAACATAAGCTCTAATGGTTGTTGTCTAAATATCAAGTGCAGCAAGGCATTGAGGATTTTTTTCGGTGCAAGATAATATTTATCTCCAATCTGATTGGAAAGTCATTGATAAGCCAAATATGCATCTCTCATTCAACGAAGAATGATTCCTTTGCATCAAAAGCACAGAGAGAAGTTGCAATGCATTGACGGGATCAGGAAATTTGAAAGCCTATTGATACTGACATAATTCATTTCAATTTATCTGGTCCTTCAGGATATTGACACATTAGCATATTAAATCCCAAAAGTGCCAAGGAGAATACAAAGCAATTAAAGGAAGACTAAGTTCAATATACCATCTGCCTTCATAGAGAAGATTTCATATCTACTTCAGAAATTACCCTTCTAGAATTGAAAAAGGGAAAGAAAAACAAACTGAAGTTTTTGGCAAGCCAAAACAAGGCTTTATATAAAGATAACAGCTGCCATATTTAGGGTTTTAGGTTTTAGAGGCCAGAAATGCTGTGACCAAATTATGTTCAATACTACATTTGGAGTAATAGACTATGGGATTAGGTAAACTCAAAGTCAAAGTATTCAATAATTTAAATCAAAACCAACAACAAATTCCAGAATAGTGAAATAGGGAACATTAAAACTACCGATTTGCTCATTTATATCATATGAATTGCATAGTAATTTTTCACCAATCAAATTGTAAAATTTCACCTACCAAAAAAAGAAGTAAAATTTCCCAATATCTAAAAACCTAAATAAGGAAGAGGAATATAAGAAAGATGGAGGAGAAGAAGAAATGAAAAGAAATATGAAAATAACAAGAGAAAAGAAGAAGAGGGTGGGTTTGGGTTTGTTGAGTAGGAGCTTTCGTTGCAAGTAGTCCGTTAAATGAGTTTAGGGGTTTTGAAGGGCTTTGCTGTCCTCATAACCAAACAAGCAATAATGGATGGAATGGAGCAATGCTATCCATCCACGTAAGCTCTAATGTCTTATGATAGATAGATATGCTATGGTTTGATTCCGTGACACATTGTCTGTCATGTATTAGTATTATACACTCTCACTCGTCTTATGAGAATTGTCACTTGTGGGTTTTGCCTTCCTCTCTATCCATATCCATATACATATCCATATGGTCAGTACGATTATGTAGTACCCAATAAAGCTTTCCACTGTTTGTTTGGAATGAAAGTGTTTGTTTATGGAGGCTCCTCTATTTCCTTAGAATAGGAGGAATTTACATTTTCATTCTTAATCAAAGCAAGGTTAAATTTTCAGTCCGCAAACTCAATTAGATTGGGAACATCAAAACCAAATCCGAAATAAGAAAATCAGCATCTTCACTGGGTTTCTTTTTCTTTATCAGCATCTTCTCCAGAGAAAATCGGCAGTCCATTAGTACAACAGGAAGGAAGAATAAGGAGGAGAAAGGGGCTTACTAGTGAGTCAGACTCATCCAGTGGGTTCCTCTCCTCTGCCACAAGAATGGTTTGTTTACACAAGTAAGAAAATGAGCGGAATATAAGGGAAACCCCATAATGAGATGCAGCTCCAGGGAATAAGTGAGTGGTTATTCCTCAACGCATATAGACCATCACAGTGTAATCCACAAAGGGACATGCTATGTCCTTCCAAGTAACAGCTGAAAGTACACTCCAATCGGCAACATGACTTGTGCAAAAGAAAAGGTTGTAACCCAGTAGCCTGCAATTCCGATCGCGACATGATTGCAACCCGTCCCAACATAACATAGGTGAGGATTACTTTGTAATACATGTCTTCTGTACGACGCGCAAAACGTCAAAATGAAAAGAAGTAATAGAAAGAACCCCACTTATCGCACTTCAAGATATCATGATATGATGTTGCATGCACAATGTAATATCCATTGCAACCTTCTTGTGACCACAAGATTTCGCATCATGGTCCAAAATAGATGCATGATGGGTTTGGTTAAACACTCATTCAGGTCGGATAAGTGAAGGTGTCTATGTTGCAATCCCAAAAGTGTGGTCTCTGCTCACTTTACTACTATAACTGCTTTAACTGAAATGTCATAGAGAAGAATGTGTGGCAAGCTCAATGTGCCTAACGGTGGTGTCGGGCCTCTTAGAGCACCCCATAATCCACCATTGGGCATATAAAGTGCCCTTGTCCCACATCCACCAGGCAATTACTGGAAAAAATATCCCGGAAGTGACCCCAAGGGTATTCGAATTCCAACTCCAGGATGTGAGGTGAGAGCCTTACCATTAAGCTATTGCCTTGGGGTTTGTATTCCAACTATCGATATGTGAAAAAATGGTTATATGTGTTAAGTAGTGCGTCCACCTGAAAGGAGGTTAGAGAGTGAAGGAAAATGCATGCCACAGCTGATAGCCTAATAAACTGCCACTATTTTTATTCTACATTTTAGCCCTCACCCGCTCCCATCTCTCACTATCTCCTTTCTTCCCACCTTTTGTTAAAGTGACTTGCCTTATTTCATCTTTTGGAAGAAAACCCAGGCAGTTTATTTTGAGTTTTTACTTCTTACCCATAACACATGGAATAAGATGACACCAGATCACCAGATCTTTGCATTGTTTTGTCTCAAACTTATTGGATATAACGACATATCAATCAATTGGATTGACTTATCAGCCCATTCTGACGAGACCAAATAGATATTGACTTATCAAGCCATTCTGACAAGACCAAATAGAGATTGACTTATCGGGCCATTCTGACAAGACCAAATGCTGAATACGATGTGACATCCTATCAGGCTGAACAAACACGACCATAGGATAATAGCGATCCATTGAAAAGACAAATATTTGTTTAATATATCAAAATTTGGTTCATGCCATAGTCATTTCGAAATTCGATTTCTTACTGTTTTGCTTTTATCTGCAGCATATTCAATCAATTTACAGAAAGCTATCACATCATTTTCGGTATATCAGAACCATTATAAGTAAGATATCCAAGAGAAACAATGCTTTAGAACAATAAAATATGAATTAATACGAGAAGTCAGATACCTCACTGCCATTGATGCCTCCCTCATAGCATGGTTTCAAACTAACAGCACGCATGAGATAGGGTGCCCAGTTTCCAGTGAGAAAGTCCCTCCGAATCATCTCAACACCACCTTCGTAGTACTGTTCAAACAAACAATATTATATTAGCATGATTCAAAAGGCTCATTTACTGCCTTCAATATAGAGCAAGTGAACAACAAATGAAGCAAGTCTACTACCTCAAGCATATTCCTCAGGAATGGTTCTTCATTAAAGTAATCTCTGCGTACAAAGACAAATGGCAATCTGTATGCCAGAGCTTCACTGAATGTGCCATATCCAATTTTTCCTGTAATAGCAAATACAGACCACATACAAAATTTAACTCTGTATTGAGAAAAAAAAATTCCGGCTTCAAAACTTGGAAGTCACATTACCCAGCATGCAGTCTGAAGCTGCAGCCAAGTCAGGCGTGTAAACATCTTTTGGAAGCTTTACAAAATTTGGTGGAATCTCCTGTTTGTCTGAAGCACCACAAACCTATATCAGACAACAATAAGCACTTTACACCAACATGAACAGCAGGCTCCAAATGCAGTAGTGCAACACAGGATAACTTCAGAAAAGATACGACCAATAAAGCTTACCAAGCAGACCCAACCAGCAGGTAGATAATCCTCCTTTAGCTTCCATCCAGCTGCCTGTCAGAGAAATTATAGAGTAAAAGTAAAAAAAGAAAAAGGTCTTTTAATCCCTAAGAGTGTATCATCATATTGCTAATACATAAAGGGAACTTCATTGATTTTGTAGGAGTCAATGATCCTTTACATGTTGATAATTTATTCCAACAGTATGGGACAAAAGTTTTAAACATGTAACATAATCAACTGGCAAAAATTATTAAAAAAAAAAACAAACATAAACGATTTTTTTTTTTAAAAGAAGACATTTCATGTTAATAGTAAATATTAAAGGAAACCCGAGCTTTAAATCTAGGGGAAATACAGAAAAATTTGGGGGGGGGGGGGGGGGTGTGTGTGGCTGTTCTCCGAATATATCAGCGTCAGAAGGACATGTCTGAAAATCTTGACATGCTAAGATCTAGGAAGGTTCGTGTAATTACTTTTGTTGTGAGAACTGAAAAGATTTGTGCAGATCAAATACTGAACTAACAATATGACTCTTCTCACCTGCCCACCAAAATTGAAAAGAAGAAGCTTCACATCATCCCCGATTCCAAGATCTTTCCTAACCTGCAACACTAGGAAAATATTGGAGACAATACATGGAATTAACATAACTCAATTATTAACAATAGTGAAGTCTCATGACCCAGACCTCTTCTCTAGATTTGTGTGACCGCCTCACAACAAGGGGTACATCAACAACGTCACGGAAAGCAGGCACTGCAAAGTCAAGATGTATGTTTTAAAACACGAAAAGAACTCCACCAAGGACACGAAAACAAAAGGAGTTAAAATACAAACAGGAGAACACCCATATACCGATAAAACATAAGCCTCAGCTCAACATTGTATCATGGAGTAAGAAGAATCAGAAAATAAATAAAATGGTCATGGGGGTGCTTTATCCAACATACTTGGGCTGTATCCTGGAAGACGAATTAGTAGCTCACAATGAGAATAGTCCTCAGCAATCTGCATAGATTGTCATAAAATCAAATACAATTTCAAGAGTCGGATACCAATATCGCAGGTCAAACTTATCAGATTAACAAACTGTTTAAAAGAAAGATATACGAGCTATCATAAAGAGCCAAAGATACACATGGTATGGGAAATTGCAAAATCTAAATAATACAGAGTTTAGCATACAGTAAAAACAATATTCTTACTGTTTGGTTCTGAGATCAACATGTGTTAATAAATAGCAAGTAACAAAAGGATTTACAAAGAAAACGGACCCCTATAAAATTTACAAGAATAATTAGACCAAGGAATAGTTTTAGATGAAATAACAAAAAGACAAACAAGGAGACATTCTATGGTGGATGTTGTTTTCGATGACAGTACTATTATATACTTCTAAGTTTGCCATAGCAATAAAATTAGAAACATGGGAAAAAAAAAAAGGGTTAAATATTAGAAAGACTAAAAAAAAATTATGAAATGTAAATTTAATAGTAACAGAGAATTCAACATAGCTATAACAACTCAAGACCAAAGGTTTGCTCAAAATAATCACTTCGATAATAATATAAAAGGATGAGAAGATATATGACGCTGTATTTAGTATGATTGGAGCAGGGTGAACAAAATGGAAACAAACTAGCAGCGTCCTATGTGATAAACAAATATATATATATATATAAAAAGGAAAATTCTAAGGACAGTTATTAGGCCAGCTATCTTATATAGTGCAGAGTACTGTGCATTAAAAAATATATATAAAAGAACAACTCGTTCCTGTGTCAACACGTTCTGGTAACTTTGCCCATATTTAAGGCTCCTAGTGATGAAGTAAAAGTTAGTAGATAGAAAAAGGATCTTATGGTTTGAAGAAAACCCTCTAGAATTTGGTTTGAGAAGTTCAGTATTATCCTTCTCCAAATCGGATAATACATAGCCAAGCTGACCATAATATTCTTTCATTCGACATCAAGAAGTTTAAGAGTACAACCTTGATTGTGTATGTTGAAACTATAATTATGACAGGTGACGAAATGATTCGAAATGAAATTACTAAGCCTAAAAAGAAATTGGAGCAAGGAGTTAGAGATCAAGGACTTGGGCCAATTACAATATGTACTTACTACAACAATTTTATGAGTTAGCAAAATAATATTTGAGATTGTGATTCCTCTAAGACCAGTTAGAACAGTATCAGTTGCATGAAACCATATTCCCAAGTAGGCTGTAAGAATATAATGGTATCAGTAAAACAAAGGGAAATCTATGGACTTGAAAAAGAAGAAAAAAAAAGTAATATGGCAGAGGTTAAAATACAAGTGGGAACAAGCTCATATGGAAGACAATGGAATGATATTATAAAAATAAACTTAGAAAGATTCCTCACTACCACATAAAATTTGTGAAGTGAACCTTGAACTTCAAAAGAAATTATTTTGAATTGTTAAAATATCAGATATTAATGACCAAAATTAATTGGAATTTAAGCTTTGATATTGTCTAAAGTCTCACCTGCCAAACAATTGAGCGATTATGAATTCCAGCAGCCATCACATACTCTGCATAAATAAAGTCCCAACTGCCAATGTTGAACAAAAAGACAAGGAAAAGGGAAAAGGTATGAGATACATTCAACTATTTTCCAATTTGCACCTAATAAAGTTGAACAAGTATATCAATCTAGCACTAACTAAAATTAAAAACCAGAGAACTACATCAATGTTTGAAAACTAACCATAATCTAGAGGCTAAAACAGCAGAGGCAAATAGCATGAATATCCTCAAGCAGACAGACTACGAACCCTTAAAATGACCTATGAGTAGTATGGATCTATCCATTTCACAATGACAGAATGTGTCCAAATAAAACCCTGAGTAGAGGCCTTAAAGATTCGTATGGTAAGTAAGATAAGACATTTCATTGGGTTACAGTATGAAAATTAAGATTTATTTCTTTAAATTCTAGCATAGATAATTGGGTGAATTTTATGCTCTTTGAAACATATTGTGAGCTTATAAACTTCTTGTTGTTTACCATTGAAACCTATTATGTATGTTGAATAAGGGAAGTAAAGTATCCTTTTAAATTTACAGCTCTCTATCATAATTTGTTATTTTACTGTTGCTATTAGTTTATTGAATGTTTAATATTCTCTATCTACAAACTTGGCTAACTTATTAACTAGTTAATATTCTTCATTAAATTTGTCATGCATTTTAGGTTATAGATTTTAGAATAAAATTATTTCCCTACGGAGCTGTGTAAGCCCACCCCTATATCTTTACTCTCAAGAAGGAGCTTAAGAAGAGTTGGAGTGTTCAAAATAGGGTGTCTCCACCATGCTTGTTTACCTGAGTTGCAGTAAATCTAGTCCTTTTTTTTTTTTTTTTTTTTTTTGGCATTTGCACTTGTAATTGGGCATGTAATAGTTTGGTGATGTAAATAAAAAGGTTTGAAGTTTGAAACTTTATAGTACAATAGACCTTGGAACCATGCCAGTCAGAATGTTTTTGGTTGTAACAAGTTATGAATGGAATTTCCTTTAGTCTTGAAATTCTGGATACAAGATTAAAATATGTCGGGATCAATACCTTATGAAATGTCAGAATAATTGAAAACATGTTTACTATTACCAAAAGTTCAAAGTTTTAAGTAGACATACTGCTGAAATTTTTTTTTTTTTTTTGGATAAGTCATACTGCTGAAATTTTCATTCAATAAATGCACTCAATTGAAATAAACTTGTGGGATATTTGAGTTTAGCTGAAATTTCAATAGAACTGTATTTAGACTCTACAAATCACACCATGGGTTTTGGGTTTTGAAATCTGGGACATGACAGCCTAGATCCCCGAATCAGATTTGGCTATTGCCAAAGCAAGGTAAAAGCCTGGAAGCAGGCAGCTGCTAAAACTATGCACACCTCACTATCTTTGCCAATAGCTAACACTACTTTGCAGTAGCAGCAGCTAATACAAACAAATAATTTAAAATGGGATTTATATATGAAAATAATCACCTGATGTAGTGTTGCATCAGACAAAATATATACATGAGAAGACACAACGCAGAGAGATAAAATAGACCAACCAGTGAAACTTCCCTCACAAGCATATCAATTTCTAGATTGATATAGCAAAGGCCAACTAACAGCATCTCCATCATCACATCACTCATTGGCATCCAAATACACTCTAACTTGGAAACATTACATAAACCCAACCACCCTAAGCCTTCCATCTTTAATTTTTAAATCATATGGAGAGTTCTATTACTTCCCAAATGAATGGTATAACAAAAATCATACTCAATAACCAACAGTTTACTCACATAAATAATCTACATACTTCCTCCTTAGAAACCTCAACAACTCTAGTACCCAAATACAATACATCATTATTGCCTGAATTTAGAATGAGGCACCAACTAAATTTTAAGTACAATGCGGCAACAACTTTCAAAAGTAAGTTCAGAATGCTGCGTAAGATACTCCGCTTTCTATAAAGGGTACACTCCTCAAACTACAAAATGAAAAGCTACAACAACAAATTGTCATAACATTACGAGTCTAAAAGTTACCTGAAGTTGGTGACACAAACAGAACGAATTCCAGCATCCGCTGCTGCTCGGCATGCAACAGGAACAACATCTGAAACCTATTTTAGAAAGATCAGGGGTGTCAGAAAAGGTTATCAAGAAGTAGAAAATTAAGAAAATAACTCTTAATATATATATGCTCTACACATCAGAAAAATTCTATCAATATAACTTCAACATATTATGAATGACCCTACTGAAAGTATGCCACGCGTTATAATATTAATAAGAAAAAAGCCAATGTGTATTCAAGTACCACTAAGTCCGCTTTGATAGATTTTAGCCACTCAACTTCTGTTGCCAAAATTGAAGTCCGAGGGACTACAGCTGTTTGGGAATACTAGATTCACCACAATGAACAAAACAAGAGTCAATGGACGTGCTAAAAAATATTAATGAAATATAGGAAAGATTATGCACGTGTTATATAGACATGAAAATGATCTCTGGCATTCTATGAATCATGCTGAGAAAATTTCAGAATATAAAACCCCATATAACTATTTCACTTAGAATTGAAGTTCTACCTTTTCCAATGAGGCAAGACGGTCAACTGTCAAAGCATCAGCTTGAACAGCTCCACAGTCCAACAGCACCTGCTACGACAAAAAAAAAAAATACCATCATTACAACCCAAGAACCACGCCAATTATAGTTTTGGACCAGCAAAAGTGATGTACATCCTTCATGCTTTTCAAATTTAGGGATGTTTTTCATTTTCTCAGTACAGGATCTCATACACTCAACACAGAGATCCAAAGTTCCATTTTTCACCTAAAATTTTTTCTCCACAAAAACATTACTCCCGTTTTGCCGAAAATAGCACATAACTCACCATATATATGTCAAAATTCAAACAATTTATTCAAAAATAATAATAAGGAAAATCTGAATATCTAGTAAAACGGAAAAAATTTATTTTGTTTCCAGTAGCATTTGAAGGCAAACCAAACAAAGAAATGGGTTGTCTAGCACAAATATCAAATATAAAGATGAGGAAGGGAAAGAAAGAACTGGCTTTACAAAACCTGATAAAGATCCTATTAACAAAACAAAGCAAACTCTTCTTTAATGATTTAAAAACAATTGAGTTATGTCATTACTGTAAGTAGTTCGATGCTCCCTAAGTGTTTCAGCTTCGCATTTATGTGATCTGTTATATTCAGGGTATGTAACTAACAATAGAGAAATTCAAACTAACAAACCTTGCGGATGAAGAATCTTGGTGATTGTATTTCAGTTGTAAAAACAAAATCAGGAGCACCAGTAACCACGTGAACATCATGCCCAGCTAAAATGAGCTGACGTGCAACCTGCACATGAGACAGAGCTTTTCAACTTGAAGTCCACATAGAATACACAATTCGGAAAAGGAAAATGGATTTGTAAATTATGAGTTTGTTCGTGGGGCGGAAAACAACACAATTCCACACCTATCAAAGCAATACTGCTGAATCAAAAAAACCTGGACAACTTCTCACGTGACAACTAAAAGAAATTATAGTCATTTGACAATTAGGTAGCCTTATTTAGTGTAGTCACCATTTTTTTTTTCTTCAGGTGAAAATTTGGCGGCTTCCACCAAGATGCAAAATAAATCAAACATGAACCACTTGACCATTAAATTAACATATGTCATAATACAAACAGGAAGTTCAAGATAAAATATAATAACTATATATGCCCAGCACACACTATTAACGATGAAGAATCAAACTGCCACAATTTGAAAATATCACAATCAAAAAGATATATAAAATAAAAAAATAATAAATTAATCACAATTATATTTCAAAATAAATGGAAAAACAGTCCAAGAAAACCACGAAATAAACTTTTCCATCCAAAAACCAGGTACAACCTTTTCAACCTAAGCCACAGGTTGCAGGTAATTCGTAGAAGACATGGATTTTGGCAGTATTTGGATATTTACCCAGTAGACAAAGATTAAGGAGAGGAACCCACAAAGTCCGAAATAGTCAACTCAAAGACTCCAAACCTTACATTCATTAGCTTCTTTTTTTTTTCATTATTTTCTCTCTACAAGTCTCGAACCTAGAATTAAGGTTTGGGAGTTATGACCAAAGCCACTGGGACAAATGTAGACCAGTATTCATTAGCTCTTCGTCCTTACATAATTTATATTCTCCTTCAATTTAAGCAAAACTAGGCTAGCCAGATATTTAAAATGAGAAAAAAAAAATTGAAAAATTTGTTTTAGTTTTAGTGACCAAACCTAAACAAAATTATTTTAAAGGCACCACAAAGTTAAGAAAAGTTGAATAGTCACAAAATTTAAAACTTAAATGCCAATAAGTGACCATTTAATGGTTTATTAGGTAAATGTCCTTATAATATGGCAGCTGATATTCGCCCTCCACTAATATCCTAAGGCGCTCCACCCTCCATCATTTCTAAAATAAAATTACAAAATAGTCTTTACACCCTACAATGTTTGATTCTTATATTTTTAATTCCATAATTTCCCTACAAAGTTTGATTCTTATATTTTTAATTCCATAATTGCCTTCTCTAGAGTGACTGACTTTCCATTTTAAAAAAAAATTCATTCACGTTTTATTCTATCCCTCCCAAACTCTTTTTGACTATTTTTGGTGAAGGGACAAGAAGAAATAGTCTAAGATAAGAAAAATCCTACTCACATTCACATTTTAATTTTCTCAACATCTCAAATTTCAAATTTCTGGATAGTATCCCCAATGAAGTCTCATCCTAGCTTTATCAATACTTAACTTCTATCTACTATCAGTAATAAAATAATCCTATAATCACAAAATAATGAAAGTCACACCACCGTCATTTAAAAATGATTCAATTTAGTTACAAAATCACTAAGAGAAAGAGGCAAAATATTCTTTATGGTAAGATTGTCTAAACAAATATTTCTTCAAAACTTTGATTTTGAATAGTAAAAAATGTCATGTATACTCCAATTTTATACCATTACAGTCTACTTTTGTTTCAAAAATTCCCACAACTATCTAGTACCTTCCTTTCTCCCTTTAATACTCACTTCTTCCGAGAGACTAAGTGTAATGACCCACTCCACCCCATGGTATGATGTTTTCCGCTTTGGGCCCGAGCCCGCACGGTTTTGCTCTTAAATTTTACCCTAAAAGACCTCATACCAATTGAAGTGTACAAATCCTACATATATAGCACTTCCCCTTTCCACACCTAGGCGATGTGAGATTGTGCACCTGTAACTCGCCCAGTGTGGTAGCCTGTCAGTGCCTCTTGCATCCACCCACGGCACACCCACCAATAAGGTCTCCACAATCACCCCCTTTGAGGTCCAACATCCTCGTTAGCCACACTTCCGGCTGGGTCAGGCTTTGATACCATTTGTAACAACCCATTCCACAACATGGTATGATATTGTCCACTTTGGGACCGAGTCTGCACGGTTTTGTTCTTGGACTTTACTCCAAAAGGCCTCATACCAATTGGAGTATACAAATCCTACATATATAGCACTTCCCCATTTCACAGCCACGCGATGTGGGATTGTGCACCTATAGCCCACCCAGTGTGGTAGCCTGTCAGTGCCTCTGGCACTTGCCCACGACACACCTTTTGCACCCGCCCATGGCACATCCGCCCACAAGGTCAAAGAATGTCATAATATAAAATCGGAGTATAGATGACATTTTTGGCTATTGAGTATGAGAGTTTTGAAGGAATATTTGTTTTAGACATGCAACATTGTTATCACATATGCAACATTGTTATCACATAAGTATGTATATTATACATACCAGTCTTATCTAAACAATACATTGTGGAGTATAGGGCTCTTTTATATTTGATATAGTGAAGAGAAGATACAGAGCTTCTGAAATTACAAAGTTTAGTAAACAAAATCAAGTGACGTTAACATGAAGTATTTGTTGTGCTTAAGCTGGAAAATCAGATGTAATCACTCGATACTGGAGCGGTTGGCAGGTGTTGTCGCAGAAGGCAGGGTTGTGCGCCACCATGTCAGAAATTGAACCCATTCTAGGGTTCGAGAAGATAGAAGAACAAGAGAGAGGTCAATTTTTTTAAGTAAACAATGGTTTGACAAAATTATTCTTGAGAGGTCACTTGTAAGTTTTTTTTTTTTTTTTTTTTTTTTTTTTTTTTTTTTTTTTTAATATATTAGAAAGGCATTCAAAAGGGTAACGCGACCCTAATACAAGAAGAAAAAATCTAAGGACCAATAGCATCCAAAAGATCAAAGAAATCATCAATCGAGGAGCATGAGCTTCCTCTTACATAAGAGAACAGAGAACGAAGAATATGAATTTTCAGATTAGCTAAAGACGATTCTTTTCCTTCAAAGGTTCTGTTATTCCTCTCACGCCAAAGACACCACCAAACACAATGTGGAACGATCCTCCAATAATCACAAGCATGTTCTATAACAGGACATCTTCTCCAAGCGTTAATCAATTGTGAGGAGTGCTTATGCATTACCCAAAAAACGTCAAACATTTTAAAAAAATAAAACTCCAACAATCATACGCCATGGTCTACGGATTCACTATCTGCTTTACATAAACAACACCAATTGACAGTGATGTTACCTCTCTTTCTCAAGTTGTCCAATGTCAAAATCTTTCCCAAAGTGGCAGTCCAAACGAAGAATGCGATTCTAAGAGAAGCTTTAGAACGCCAAACAGACTTCCGGAAATCATGACCAACGAAGTTGGACAAACACAAGAACATGGAAAGCATTTCAGTTTTATATTTGGTGACTATTTATCTTTTTTTAACTTTGTGTCTATAAAAAAAATTATTCCCAAAGTTGATATATAAAAACACATATAAAAACACAAACACTACTGTGAATAATAAACATACAATCTATTTATACATTAATTATAATTCGTTACTAATTAATTGGTTGAACAAATTCTAGGGAGAGATTGTTGATTCAATCCCATCGCAATTAGCCCTCCTCCCATTGCCCGTATTCATAAATATATACACATATATATACATACATACATATATTAGGGAAGAAAGTACACACATATATATACACACACGAACACAAGTATGATTGTAAGAATATATAAAATGAAATGAGATGAAGAAAATCGTTACCTCTACAACGCGAGTGGCGTGGCCAAATCCATGACCAGTAACATAATAAGCGAATACGAGGTTCTTCTTTGCTGATCCAGAGCTCTGATCTCCTTCGGCTGTCCGCATCTCCTTTCTCCTTGAATGAAAACCCTAGAGAATAACAATTGTGAGGGCTTTGGTCCAAGATATATGTGTTCATAGATTCACACAAATATAAGTTCCTCTTAACAAGGAAAAAAAGTAATGCAATAGTTATCCAAACTCTACAAATATTTAGAGAGAGAAAGAGATTCAACTGAGCGGGAGTTTTGAGTCCGATTGTTACGTTACAAGTCCTTTTCACGCGCTTCTTTTTTTTTTCTTCCTATTTTTGCCCTCAAGTTTTGCGTAGTTCCTTCCGAGTCCTTCCCTGTATTTACTGAAAGAAATAAAAAATTATTTAAATTTGAAATTATTATTTTTGACCTTTTCGATATATTGGAAGTTCGTTATAAGGATTAAACAAAGCTTTCTTACAATAATTTCTCCTGATTATTTTAATTAAATTTAAAAAACAAAAAACATTGGCTGATCACATTAATCTTAAAAATCAATTATGAAATATTTTTTTGGGAGAATATTTTATGACTTTTGAAATCATACATTCTAAAAGGGGTTATGTGCAAAGTACGTCTTTCATAGCATTTTTACTTTTTATTTTAAAAAATGTATAAAAAACACTCTTATTATTTTTAATTAGTGCAAAAATACTCTTGATTAATATAATACCCATTTTATCTTTTTACTCTCCAAAAACATCCCTGGAAATTTACTGTTGGTTCTCTGATGGAGAAACGGCTGCTGGCTGTGCGCGGGAGATGATGGAGCAACGAAACGGCGACTGATAAATGGGAATAGTGGGAATGATCGTCGGCCGCATGGCGGAGTGTTCGAGCGTGTTGACACGCGATCTGGATGAAGAGGACGAGGGGCGCAGGTTGAGGAGGCCGGAGTGTAACCGGCGCGTGATACTGAACAGAGGTTTGAGACCGGTGAAGCGGCAGAGGACAGCGATGCGGCAGAGGGCAGTGGTGGCGGCAGAGGGCAGCGGAGTGCTCTGTACAGCGCGTGCTCGCCGTTATTTGCCGTCACTTGGGAACAGAGCTCTGAATTGAAAGTGCTCTGTACGTGGATGACCATGATGCTTTGCCGGTGGGTCTAGATGCGCCGGTGATGAACTGGGTCTCGAAGCTCCAAACTTGAGCGACAACAGAGCTCCGAACCGTGGTGTAGACGGCTATCTTGTTGATGCCGAGGTCGCGCAGCTCGGAACCGTGGTTTTTGTCTTATTACCCAAATTATTCAGTTACTGTTTCTTCGTGGGTTCTGGTTGTCTTGCTAAGCCTCAGCAGCAAGAATCTCATTCCTCTCTCTCTCCATTAGTTCAACTTTCCTCTATTAAATAATAGTGCCATCAATTATCAACCCATTCATTGACATGGGTCTCTTTCATTCTCATAATCTTATATACGAATTCAATGCCCAATAACCCCCTCTCTCTCCTGTTGAGAAATATTCCCCTCTTCTTCAAGCAAAGAAGCTAGAACTCACTCTCTAAATTTATTTCTCTTTTGCTCTCTATCTCTCCTTTTGCTTTCTGAGTTTCTCTTGATGCTTTCATATACTTGTACTTCATAATGGGGTTTTCTCATAACAATTGCAATAACTCTAGAAAACCTCTAAATGACCCAATTTCTTCAGATACTTCTTGTTCAGCTACTGATCAGAAGAGTGACTATAATGAGCTAAGAATCAAGAACATATGGAATCAGATGATTTGGGATTTTGGGTTGGCCTGTGTTGGTCCACCTCGTCGGCGGCGAAGCGCCACCGGCGAAGATGAGAGAGAAGAGTCCCTCTAATTTAGCTACCCTTTTTAGTAATTTCACAAAATATTATTTTTTTATATATATTATTAAATGTGTTTCTAAGTGTATTTTAATCTAATTTTATAGATATGAACTATTTGTACAAATATCATAATTTCAGAGTGTTATTTTATATTAATAAGGTGTAATATGCACTGTAAACATACTGTAAAAACGTTTTTTACATTTCACCCATTTTAAAAACTCATGTGAAATCTATATTTCAAAAACTTTTGCATTTACCTTATCTATTTCATACGAAGGGTATGGAATTTTTATTTATTTATTTATTGAATATATTTTTTTGCATTGTTTACTCCCCATACAATGTATTAAATTACGTGGATGTTAATCAAAAGGGTGTATAGAAATATCTATAAGCTATTTTAGAATTTTAAATGAATAAGATAGAAAATTTATAATGGGTTGTTATTTGTTCTCAGGGAATGATATTTATGACTTGTGACATCATGCATATCAAAAAAATCCTCAACTTTAATATGAAGGTGCATTTGCCTTTTTAGTTTCATATGAAGAGTATGTAATTTTTATTTTTATTAGGTAAATCATATTGCCCTACATGTTTATATATTGATTCTACTTGTAGTAGAAGTTAATTATAATTTACTAATTTATACTCACATTTAGATTTACAATTTAATTCACTTATTAATATTTATGAAAAAATCAATTATAATACCAAAATTCACAATGTCATATAAATGTCTCGTATTTACAGAATTTATTAGAGCGAGAAATCGATCAAGTGAGAAAATGGGGCAATTGGATTTTTCTCCATATATATATATAATAGCTATGAGTTATATTATGACTCAATTTCCCAAGAAAAGAATAATAATAATTAAATAAATAAATAAAAATAGTGGTTTGTACCTAATTGAATAGAAAACCAAATAAACAACTTCATATGACTTGATTGCGAACACTTTTGCTTTGTGTTTTTAATTTTATATGAAGCACTATTGTGAAAGAAAAAAAATTTACATTGCATTAGTTTTTTTTTATATATAATAATGATAACAGCTGTTCTGATATAGTAGCAAGAATAAGTGAAAATCACTCCTTTTCAAAATTGAGCCCTTTTCTTTAAAGGGATAGATTTGTATTTTACCACATGACTCTACTTTTTTTTTCCTTATCATATCCTATTTACTGGAAAACATTTCTAACTCTCAAATCTTAATTATCTGTAGCTATTGTTCTAATAAATTTTTTTACATTAAATTTTTAAGAGTTGCTTGCATAGATTGTTGAAGTACTACTAAGTATTTTTTTTTTCTTTCCCCAATAATGGTGAAATACGGTGTAACTTAATTTATCAAAACATGGTATAAATACAAATTAGCCAACATTTAACGCATTATTAAAAATAATACGATACGGAAAACATTTATTATCCTAATTAATTTTTTACATGAAATTTAAGAGTTAGCTTGCGTGTTAGTATAGAATACTGTTGAAGTACTATTAAGTATTTTTTTTTCTTTGCCCAATAATGACGAAATACTGTATATCTTAATTTATCAAAACATGGTATAAATACAGATTAGCCAACATTTAAAGCATTAATTATTAAAAATAATCTACTATAAAACCAAAATAATTGAGTTCATTGTTTGTCTAAATTAAGAGAAGGCCACACAAGTGCAATAAGTGTGCTCACTGGTCACATGGTGATGTGGATGGCAAAAAACAATTGGTGATGTGGATGGTCACATGGTGACTTTCTGATACTACTGAAGCTCCTGATTCCCATTCCTCCTGATGATCTAGGAAGAGTAGTCTTGTCCCAGGCTAAGAGCTCTCTTTCAAGTTCATTTTCGACTCCTACTGGAATAGGTAACAATTGATTGAACAAGAGAGAACCATGCAATCAGGATTTACAATCATAATAGATGTTCTTAATTTTATAGCTATTTTTCTTTAATAATTATCTATTCTTAATTTTATAAATATTTTTCTTCAATAATTACTGTCTATTTTTCATCAATGGAGGTTGTAGTGTCTACGATGTATCCTATTTAGAAAATCTTCAAACATTTTTCACTCTCTGCATAAGTAAATGCTACTAATAACTAAGTGATTGATAGTTCATCATCACTTCATCCCAAAACATCGTTGCAACTTCTCCAAATTATTCGCTTACACCACGGCATGCAAAAATGTATTTTACAATTTATAGAAACGTTTAGGTAACACTTTTTCATTAGGTATTACAAGTACCATATTGCCTACGTAATTTCAAGTCTTGCACATTCCCCCTCATCTCTGACCATTAACTTATAATATTCTTACGAGTAACAATTTAAATTTTCAATACTAATACTAGATATAATTGTATATAAGCTATATTTTATTATTGGGTAATCTGATTGAATATAAGCTATATATTATTATTGGGTAATCTGGAGTATAATTTTTTTTTTTGGTAATCCGATTGGATTTGATTACTTTGTTGGGATTGTATAATCCGTTTGCTTTTGGTATGGAGGGGAAATGCAGTTTTGGAAAGAAAAACCCAAATCGTGAATTTTACTCTAAACGGCGACTTGGCTGAAAATTTGGAATGCTTTTGGTTTGGTGTAGTGTTTTTGAAAATAATTTTTTTCATCTTTCGCCATTTTTATCTGTCATCTGCTGCAAGCACAGTATCATTATGGTTAAAATAGAGGTGCCACATGTGGCATAACATAAAACTGACCTATATTATTAATATTATTCTTATTTAATTGTAACTCTAAAAATAATTTTTTATTGAACTGAAAATATAAAAAAAATAGAACAAAAACTCTGTTTGATTCAATTTTTGAATATATTTTGCCTTTTTATTATTTTCTAAAAAGAGTTTTTTATTTTTTGAACTTTCAAGAACTATTTTCAAAATTACAAAGTAGTACGTAATAATTCAATAAGTTGAGCTTGAACGCATCTCAAGACAACCTAACCCAAATAAGCTCTGACTCGTATATGATTGAGCTTGTAGGTAGAAAGGTAAGTTGGCTAATTGAACATTTTTTACCTTGCAATGTGTTTCAAGTAAGCTTTCTAGGAAAGAAAAAAAGCTATTGCATGATTTCTAATTTTCTTCCACTCCTGCATTATATATGATGACCGTTTTCAACCATGTGAGAAACTTTAAAACACATAATGACCGTGAAACTATCATATTCTGATCTCTAATCTACCTGACGAAATACAATGAAGATGAGGTTAAACTATGCAAATCACTCATAATGATTCAGTAGGTGAAAAGCAACAAAAGAGTTGATGCAATGAAGAAAAGGATTGAGGCACATCAGAAGCTTAGATGCAGAAGTACGTGTTCAAAATTAGATGTAAAGCAACAGAGATGGATGCAATAAACACCATAAAGAAAATGTCAACTATGTAGTATCAAATGTCTGCTAACTCAAGTTTAAATTACCGTCTCCAGACTCTAGCTCTCACGTGAACCAACACTGTGCAACGCCAACGCCAGAGCAAAGCTAATCATATCATTTAAGAGATGCTGAAGCAATACAATCCTCTTCTCCCATTCACTTTGGGTTATCATAATCCAAAATATAGAAAGGAAATGGACACATAAAATGTGGGAAACACCAGATTCAATATAAACTATTTTTTTTTTTGTATATTGTATTTCTTTTGTATATTGTTTTAACGCATTACTCACTCAACAGCATCTTTATCCCTCAACAGGACACCTTTCGCCTCTCACCTTTCTTCGAGTTCACCTGAAAGACAATCTAAAAAAAAAAACAGATAATCCGTGTATAACATTTTGAATCTCAGATTCGAAAAGGGGGGTTTCCGACTAAAACTTAAAGATCATAGGCGCCACGCCTAGCAAAATGAGGTTCTAAATTCACGTCCTGCTGATAATACACCCAGTTGCTCTTACACGTCGGTTTAGGTCGTGAGCTTCTTGCCTTCTTTGGTGGTTGATATACAGGATCAAAAACAGGTGCCTCAAAGTATGGATTATAAAGCCCTGGCCCACCAAACTGCAAGTCTGCACTTTCATCTGGACCTGCCCATGCTATGGAATTGACTGCAGAAAACATGAACATTATCCTTATTAGGGCTGTAAATAAGCTGTAGCTGTTTATGAATAGCTTGAGCTTGTTTATTAAGAAAGATACATGTAGGACTTTTCTTTCATTTGCCTAAAACTCACTACAGATAGTTTTTGATCATTTTTTTTTATTAAGTTCATGTATTTAGAACATCTACCATAAACATACCTATTTGATAAAGCTCAATCACCTTCCTCCTTGAAATACTCAACCTAGCACCCTAAACAAGACAAATCAAACACAATCACGGGTACCGTTCACAACACCCATAATAGCGGCCAAATTTCCCCTTTTCTTGCCAAAACACAACTCTTAACCTTTTCTTACATCCTTCACAATCCTGAAATCCTCTTTCTCCACAAACCTTTAAGCCACAGAAAATAACTGCAAACCTTCTTGCAGAAAAGTCATTACTAAATAATCCCAGAAGACCCCCTTTGCTGCTGCCTATATCAATGTTGGTATTACAGCTTACAGAGTGTTCACCACACTTGTCCAACATATATAGTACAGTGATACATTTGTCTTTTTTCTGTGTGTTTACATGTCCATGCTAATTGGTCTAGGAGATATGCCTCCTTGAGTTAGGAATTTCTGTTTGGGCTTCGAAGCAAAATGTTTCAAATTGACATTATACTTTTTAGATTGGACCCATCCCGAATGTCAGAAAATACCATAGACTTAATCCAAATGCTATGTAATCAATAGGTAAATAAACCCACTTTTAGCTAATAATCAAAATTAAATATTCTCATTCCAGAATATACTGCTAAGTTTGTTTTATACATACCTTCAGAAGTTTCAAGAGGTTCCGGCAGCCCCATATTAGTGCCACCATATGGAGCTGCAAAACGGGCAGGATGCTTCTTCCCATAGTTTTTTCTCACATAGTTTTCCTGCAAAGGTCTTGGGATCTGAAATGAAAATTGTGACACGGTCGCACCTTCTGCCATGTACTCTGGATGTTCCAGCAAGTACCTGGTAATAATCAAGAGCATTATGTAGAACCATAAAAGAAATATTAGAAAACCATGTATTGCCAATGTAATAGTAAACCACCCTCTAGTAATTTGTTTAAGAACTTTATTTGATATGAAAACTAAATAGAATGTTGCCCAATGGAGGTGCTAGGCGTAAATGATTGGAGACCGATATAATCTCTGGCATTATTTTGCACAAAGTAACCACTCTTGGACTTTCATCATATTTGTTTGTTCAAACTTTCATCATTGCACCAAGCAATGACCCATTGATGTGAAATAAAAATGACCATTGAAAAAGGGGTCACTACAACATAGAAAGGACCGATAAGGATGAAACATACTTTTGAATTTCAACCATAGAACGAAGACTCTTGCCTGACGGTGCAACGTAATACCTGAAATCATAAAAAAAAAGCATATCACAGTGGTGATAATTTCGAGCTACCAATAAATGTAGTTAGGCCAAATATACCAACATAATAGCATAGTAGCATCAAGTTTCACATAATCCACTAATGACCTGCGTATAAGCAAGCATTCAGGAATAGATGAGAGCACCGGGAAAAAAAGAATGTAAAGAAGAAAACAATTAATGAAACATTGAAGTACAGCCATACTTATTTAAAGGTCAAAGCACACTAAGACGCCAAGCTATCGTGGAGCCAAAGAGCAAGGCAAAACATAAGGAGTGGGCCTGATTAAAGCAAGGCCCATACGTGATAAAAATAATAATAATAATAATAAAATAAAAATGAATAAATAAATAATAAAATAAAAACAATTTAAAGAAAAAAATAAAAAAATGAAACACAAACTAGTCAATATCATGATAAAGGAAAATTTCAACATATCAATTCAATGGATTATCTAAATCAACATACATAGATCTTTCTAATTAGCAATATGAATTCAATTAAATCAATGAACAATCAGATCAATTCAAGATATGCAACAGAACTAAACAAAAAAATATTAAAATGGAATATTTGACATATCAAGCAAATCATTGTGTGTATTTAATTTACACACACATTAGCTAAATCAAATTCGATTGATACTGAGCAACAACAAAAATGTAAGTACAACAATAAAAAAGCAAAAATTCATCAGGATTCAAAATCAATCACCATACAAAATTAATGTAAGTAGTCAACCATAATCTCATGAATCCCATCAAATATATATAAGATTAAGCAATATGATCCATGAACTGTGACTAGATGTTATGTAGAGCATGTAACTAAATGATCATTTATAAAGAATAGAAAACGACAAGAGCTTTATGTGAATCTGGTCCATAACACATCAATATGTCTGAATCCTCAATAACCCAAAAGAAGGAAGGGAAGAGGGGGGGGGGGGGGGGGGGGCGTGGGTTGGTTGTAGGGGAGAGAAGAGGGAGAGAGAAAAACAAATGGTAAAGGATGCATACACATCTGCAAACTTGGTGCTTCCTTCACTTCTAATCCTTAAAAGCCTTTGCCACCCAGGAGGAGGCTGAGCAATATTTGGCTTATCTATTGCCCAAAGCCTGCTGCCATCTTGAGTAATATCAGCTGGATGTTCACAAGATATATCAGGCTGCCACTCTCGAGCTGTTTCGCAGACAAAATACTGCTCTAAAATGTGTTCACGGATTTCTTCATATTTTTCCTTTGTTGGGATGAGCCTCCATTTGAAACATCTCGCACACTGGACGGTGAAAGCCCCAACAGAAGGCAAAATTCTGGAAGGCTGATTTGGAATACAGTATCTGGGGAAAGGCGGAGGTTGGTACCAGATAGGATCAGGGATTGCTTCGATTTCACCTGTATAATTAACAGCAGGATCAAATACCAATAATTGATTTTGAGCATTTTCATAACATTGACTATTTTCATCCTCTGCGCCATGATCATCCTCTTCCAAAGAAATAACATTGGTGGGCTGCTGAAGAGTGTCATCCAGGTCATTAAGGAAAGTAGAACCATTGAAGCCATTTTCTTCTGTTTTCACCCTAGAGGTACCAGTTTCTACTCTTCTCACCCTAACAGTAAGTTTTGTGGGCCGCGGAGGGGGGTACCAGATAGGATCAGGGATTGCTTCAGTTTGACCTCTATAATTAGAGGCAGGATCATATACCACTAAATGATTTTGACCATTTTCATACGACTGACTATTTTCATCCTTCGGGCCATGATCATCCTCTTCCAAAGAAATAACATTTGTGGGCTGGTGAAGAGTGCTATCTAGGTGATCAGAGAAAGTAGAACCACTGAAGCCATCTTCTGTTTTCACCCTAAAGGTACCAGTTTCTACTCTTTTAAACCTAATGGTAAGTTTTGTAGGACGTGACTGCATCTGAATTGATCTCAATCACCTGAAATAACAAAAACTAATGAGCAAACTGTAAATCAGATCTGGGGTATCTTCTAGAGTTGCCAAAATATAGAAAATCCAAATTATTAACATCTTATTTAATGATGGCATCTTCCCAATATTCTAAAGGAACTATACCTACATATCAAAATTAATTTAGGAACAGAAAAGGGTCCTTGAAAATGCACTAAAAATATAATAATGGACACCCACAACATGAAATGAGGTGGTAGAACAAAAGATTTACAAATGCGAAAAAAAAAAAGGTAAGAAATTTTTGAACTGAAAAAGCAACTTTATACCAATAAAGAGAGAGAGAATCTTCGAGAGGTACGCAAGGAATTAGAATAACTTAAAATGATATCAGTTGACAATGAAGATCTATAATGTTGAATAAAAGTTAAAAAGTAACATTGGAGAGGAAATAAATATAACTATGGTTTTTTCTTTTCTTCCCCTTCCAATAACAAAAAGAGGACAGACACAATACTGAAAGACCTAAAACAAAACATTCTACATTTGTTACACCTCAAGAGTGAAAACTCAATAATCATTCATGCTTTCCATCCAAAAACAGGCTGAAAAAAAAAAAAAAAAAAAAAAGGAATAGAAAACCACTGATATTTCAAGAGAAATGATATCCATATCTCACCACTGGCAAATGATCATATTTCATAGGTCTGACGTCCAAACTTGTCAAATAAATACACACCTTAAAAACTTGTCAAATCAGTAGGCTAACATTCCCTGATTCCTAGATATGTATATAATAAAAATAGCTACAAGAAGATGTCCAGAAAAAACAAGATACAAATAAAAGAAACAAAAGCTACAAAAGCAATGAATCCCCATCCAACAAATGAAACCTGGTAACAGCACATAATCAACTACCAGCATACATACAAAATCACTGACCTCTTTCAGCTAAAAATACTAAAGAGAGTTAAGGTCGCTCAAACTATTTGACTACCATAGAAGAGCTAAGTATGATTCCAGCACTGATACAACCCATGTCGGTTTGCTGCAAATTAAAGAAACTGAACAAACAGAGACATCAATGTCACAAGCTAAAGCTCCCTAAAGACTCACTATTTCCCCTGAATGGGGGCGTACAATTGCACACAACAATCGCAAATGGTCCATGTTTACAGACATACAAATACACAGGAATGCAAAAACACCCATATAACCAACATGTTTTTCCTATTATAACCAACATGTTTTTCCTCAGGCTGGAATACCAGCTATTTGAAAACAAAAATAAGAGAATGTTCAAACATGTTGGTCTGAGAGATGAAATAATAACAATAGGAAAGAATCAACAAAAAACAAGAGCAATCAAAATCCTCGAGAGGATGTTCAGACATGTTGTTCTGAGAGATGGAAAAAAAAGAAAAAGAAAAAATGAATACTAAAAATTCTAAAAAATAAAAGAAAAGAAAAACCAATAGCAAAGAATCAACAGAGCATTCAAAATCCTCAAGAGGATGTTCAGACATGTTGATCTGAGAGATGCGAAAAAGAAAAAAGGGAAAAAAAATAATAATAAAAACTAAAAATGTACAAAAATAAAATAAAATAAATAAAATTAGCAAAGAATCAACAAATAACAACACTTGAAAAAAAAAAAAAAAAAAAGAGCATTCAAATCCTCGAGAGAATGTTCAGATATTTTGGTCTGAGAGAAAAAATAAATAAATACAGAATTGAAAAGAATCAACAAATAACAAGAGCATTCAAAATCCTCAAGAATATGTTCAAACATGCAAGTCTGAGAGAAATAAATGCAAAAAAAAAAAAATTCAAAACTAAAAACTTAACAAAATAAATAACAAGAACAAAGAATCAACAAATGAGTACCGACACTACACATTCAAACTCACAATCCCTCAATGACACCGTCAAACAAAAACCCCAAAACAGAACATATTAACCACGTGAAGGTTTATCCAAACAAGACACGCATTAACAATATAGACCCCTCAATATGCTATCGCAATGCAAGAAACTGATTAGAAATTATTATAACCACCGGAAATATCAAAACTAATCCCATTCACAAATCTAAACAATTATATATACATATAAACACATATGTGTGCGCGCCTGTATATATATATATATATATATATATATGAAATGTGTGAGAGAGGAGAGAAATTACAAAGGCGAGAATCACAGATTGGAGCTGATAAGCACGAGCACCATCGAAAATCAAATTATATATGGTTATGGAAGATATTGTGAGCTATATAGAATAGTACTCCGGGTATACATTCTCCTCGGTTAGAGAGAGGGAGTGAGAGAGGGGACTAAAAAACTTCGGGAATACTCCATGGTGGTACACGTCACGACAAATTATATCGTACGACCATCGTCCCACTTCCACCGACCTCGTGAAGGAATATAAAATTAGACAAATGTTATGACTTCCGATCTCATGATTCATCTCCCCAGTATAACGTTATTGGGATCACGTCAAAAGAAATAAAAATTCATAAGATAACTGAGATTGAAAGATTTATTATTTCTCATAAAATAAAATTGTCAAAGAGATGTGATGAAATTAAACTACCTGATTTTAATTAATAAAATGAGATTGATGAGAACTGTTTTGTTTTTTTTTTTTTTTTTTTTTTTTTTTTTTTGGGTAGGATATTCAAACGCATCACTCAGAATCTCACACACTCAATTTTCATTTTGCTTTTTGGAGATAATATAGAAGAAATATCAATAGAATACAAATCCTTGAAATTAATAAGATTTTTTCAATAAATTTATCAAATTTTTATGTGATATTTGTTATATATATATATATATATAAATTATATAGTACTCCTGTCAATCTATAAAATTTTCCAAGTGGATGCATGATAATTATGATTTGTATGTAGTTATTAAAATTGGTCAACCAACAAAAAAAAAAGTAAAAAATCAAAATACCTTAAAGTTGAAATCATATTTGATTATGTTGTTCAACTTGGTAAAATCTGATTAAAAAAAAGTGACCAAAAGTTTGATGTTATTATGATTTAAAAGTGGCTAAATTAGACTTCCTTTATAATCTATCATAATTACAAAAATCACTCATATAATTTAAAAAATTATCTAAACCTTCTTCAAAAATGAAACTATCTTGTAATAGATTCTGTTTAATTTACTAAAATATATATATATAAACATCTGAAATACTTGTTTGCTCTGTCTCTCTCCACCTACCCCCAAATCAAACTCCTCTGCAAAATGGCAATTCCGACTATGGCTTCCAACCAATTCATGAACAAACACCACCACGGACCACCCTCAACCAACCACCACCGTCTTTTTCGTTTTTTTTTTTTTTTTTTTTTTTTTTTTGGCCCCCCTTTCTCCTCTGTTTTTTTTTTTTTGCCCCCCTTACTCCTCTGTCTATGAACAACCATCACCACCGACCTCGCACCACTGAGAAGTTTTTTTTTTTTTTTTTTTTGGCTTTTCTATTTCCTTTCTCTGTGAACAGCCACCAACCACCACCCCTCACCTCCAAACCACCGCCATAATCTCCACCTCGACAACCACCACTAATAGGACCCATCACCCACAAAAAAACAAAAATAAAAACCACCACAAATTCAACACCACCATTGCTACCATCGGTACTTGTAACCCCATTTAACAATTTCAAATAAAAGTAGATTCGGTCCGTGTAATTTACCGTTTAAAGTTTAGAGATATTAAAGGGATGGCATGGGCATAAATGTTGAACAGAAAAAAATGATTGGAAAGTTGTAAACCTTTTTACTTTTTATTCTTCTTATTTTTCCTACCAAATCACAGAATAGATCCCCTCCTTTTCTTGCTATCCGAATTTAGATTGCAGCATGAGTTAACATTGTGCAACAAATTGATATAAATTCATTCGATAATTGTTGGTATCCTCATGCAAACAAGTCATACCAACTAAAAAACAATTAAACTAACTCCACCCTTAATTTAAATGTGTGGTTTTTTTAGTTGTACAACAAATCATTGATCAATTTACGAATTAAATTTCAAAGGGTGACACTGACAAGGTTATTAACTTCAACATTCAAGCATGAGGGGAGTTAATCAAACTTCAAAAACTTAAAGAGAGTTTATTATACACTTATTCGGAATCTTATATCACGTTTATAACTCTAAATTCAACTGTTCCAATCAACACGGCACATTACAATCTACCAAAGCCAGAGCAAATTTAATCTAGAGAGTAAATATATATGAAAAATGAAACCATTCCTTGCCAATGCTTAAAAATAAATTGCATCAGCTCACCAACTCATCCGGAATGTCATTCTAATGATGCAATAGACTTTTATATATTAAAAAATTACAAAACCAACTAGACTTTGAAGCGGTCTAAATACAGTATACACAAATTATCATCAGTGACGGAGTAAAATTAAAGCATCCTGAAACTATTATGGGAGTTATAATCTACAAGCAGGAAAAATCCAACATTCACACCCACAAATATTATATATAACTACAGACTGAGCACATATATAGTACAAATCCTCAATTCCCAATCAATCCTTGCATAATGTATAGAAATGTTTCTATCTACCTAATAAAGAGGAAAACATCACAACATTGATTTAAAAAATAAAAAAAAAAGACAATTCAATTTTATTAAAATATGATAAAAGGTAAAAAAAAAATAATAATAAGACAATTCAATTTCCATAAAGTATGATAAAGGTAAGCATCACAACATTGATCAAGATAAACAATAAAAAAGACATATCAATCAGCATCACAACATTGATCAATAAAATAAGAGAATGCAATTTCCAGATAATATGATAAAATAAAATTAACAAAGAAAAAAAAAACTGTGTTATATTATATATGTATTTCCCAAGGAAAACACATAATAAAACGATCCGTCGATTGGAAAATAGATCGAACTACTAGGAAAAAAAAAAAAAACCCAAATCAGATTGCAAGAAAATTCGACGAATAAACACCGACCCACACAGGAATTGACTCAAAAATCAACATTAGCGATTTGGGTGTTGCAGTAACCAGATCATACGGGGCTAAGGAGCTGAAAAATTGAGGGTTTTGGCTCGGAGTTCATGCCGATAATGATCACCAGTGGGATGAAACCGTAGTGGGTAATGACTTTGGCCTTCTTCACAGCCCACGTGCTCCATTCCTTCACGCACCTGGCTGCGGATTGTTCTTCCGATGGCTTTGAACCCTTCGTCGTCTTGTCTTTCACCTTCAGTGCAACCCTAGGCGCCATTGGATCACCTCTCTCTTTCTCTTTTTCTCTCTCTAAATCGCAACCTGCAACCCTAAAAACAAATTATTCCGTAATAGTGGTAATTAAATGTGACTTGGAGAGCGCATCAAAGGAAGCAACAAAAAGAGCCCCAGCCTGAAGCCCAGCGCTAGCCCGTACAGAGCACGGTTCGACTGAGGCCCACTAGCCCGCTCCCAAAGTCCTTTTTAGGGCAAGAACCAGCCCAACCCAACTTCTCTCCCGGCTTTACCAGTCCACTTTTTTTTCTTCTCTTTTCCTTTTATTTATTTATTTATTTATTTTACTGTATTTTTTTACACCACACCTTACCGGACTAGTGTAACAGTGTTGGAGGATCTTGTGGGATCCAAGGGGAGTGATGAATATATATGAGTAGGTATACAATGTTAAGTTTTTAGTCAGTGAATAGTGTCATACTCAAATTTTTAGTCTGTGGATCACACTCAGTTTGGAGGTGATCATTTTGACTGCAACGGACTAAACATATAGAAATCATCTAATCTGTAAGTTTAGTGGTAATTGGTCATCATCAAAAGAAAAAAGTCGAGGAATCAAGTTTTGTAAGAACAAGTGGATGTACGAATTTCTAGTCGATATTAAAAAAATATATAGAACCAATTTATTACCCCCCATATTCTTTTTCTTTGATAGAATTTTTTTTTTTTTTTTTTTTTTGTTCCAAATGAATAATTATATATAAAATTGTTACCTGTTTTTCTTCTTTTTTTTTTTAAGAATTGTAAATTTCATTTCTTCGGGATTCTCAATTATTGTGAATCTATACTTATAATGAGCACAGAGTTAACGAAAAATAATGAGATAATTACATAAATATAGATTTTTGGAGGTGTTTTTTACAAAGTCCTAGGGTCAAAGTCAACCTTTTTATGTCATGAATTTTGATGAAAGTCCGAGTTGGGCATGAAAAATTATTTGTTCGTCTAAACTACTCTCAGTATTTTCTAAACTTTATTACATGTAAGTATTACTTTTGTGCGTGCACAAAGATGCCATTTTTATGTAGATAAGTACAACTCTTGTGATTAGAGATATTACGTTTGTGTGGTAGGTACCACTCTTTTACACAAAGGTATCACTTTTTGATAACTTTGTTTGTATATAAATGGTAGATGCTTGTACAAGAGTGATACTCAGATATCTAAAAATATTAAGGGCAGTTTGAGAAAATGATCAAATTTCAAATTGTATTTGTTTTTTCATATCCACCTTATTCTTTTAACAAAATTTATGACAGTGAAAAATGAGGATTGACTCTATGACTATAAAACGACATAATTAAAAAAAAAAAAAAAAAAAAAAAAAAAAAAAATCCATATTTATGTAATTATCCCAAAAATAATAATTTGAGGACCAAAATTTTATAGTCACCTTATCTGGAGTAGTAACCCATATAGACCAACACAATCAACAAAGATTTCTATCTAAACAATCGATAGACCATCCATGCAATAATGAAATAAATATGACCAAAAAAAAAAAAACATTTAACAAAGCATAAAAATATATTATTAGACAACATGTAAATTAATACATATATATAGACTAAAACTTATTTCAATGAAGTCTCAATCTTGCTTCATTTTCCCCCCCTCATGAAGCAAAGATCACTCCTTATTTTTTATACTCCTGAAACCTTACACTTAAAATCAGACGATACATTTTCATGATGAGCATTCTATATGATAATGTCTTCATAGAAGAATTTCTTAAAAGCTTCCATATGGACCTCTTGAAGACACACTGCAACAACCAAGGACCCTTCTTCACCATGACCAGGGAGGATCAAACAGTCACCATCGAAATCATGAGTCCCCGGAGTCATGTAAAACTCCTTCCCCCACCCAAAATCCAAGCCAAACATGGGTAGGGTTAACCAGCTTGACACCCCAAGATTTGGATTCCCGTAAAAGGGCCCTTTGTCACTCCCTAGTGCATGAAGATCTTGGAACTTAGTCAAGTCCGGTTGATTCTTCAAAAAATCAATCGCCGAGTTCACGTACTCATCCGTCACCGTCTCAATCGCCTCCCGAATCCTACTCGAAGCATAACCCAGTGGTCTCGACACTATCTCGCCGGAATGTCCGGTGGCAATCACGTCGAGAATTGCATTACCAAAATACTTTGGGGGCAGAGGCGGTTGCATACGGGTGCGCGAATCAACGCACACCCCTAATGCAGTTGGCTGGTCAAATCTATGCTGGCGGGCCTTGCATGCGCTTCTCCAGATATGGCCAGTTATGGCCTCGTAACGAGTGTAAGCATGTCCACTCCCAATGATTTGACCTTCGTTCGCCTTTTTCTTGACTTTATCAACTTGATCTTTTGTCATTTTCAACATGGCTATTGTCGTTTTCTTTTTTCGCTCCTCCACATTGCTTGTCTGACCGACTAAAAACGGCGGGTGATCGAACTGGGAGTGATCAAAGCGAGGAGTTGCACGGGGTGGCTCCCCGGCTCGGAAAGCTTTATTATCAAGACATGGTGGCACACCCAACGGCTCGCCACGGGCGAGCTTAGCCCACTCAGAGATGAAGTGAATGGCCGTTTGTCCATCAACAACAGCATGTGATATTGTCAAGCTGAGGCTAATGCCACCGCAGCTGAACTTAGTGAGCTGCACAAGCAACAAACTCAGTTCACTAATGGGCACTTTGTAGTCCACATCAGGGATGAGGTATTGGAACTCCGGAGATGGAGTGAAGTCGCCGAAATCGGATAGTTTGGCCTCGGACTCGGCCTCCATGAGCTGAACACCCATGGCGTTGCAGTCGAGCTCGAGACGTCCTCCGCCTATCCAGCGCAAACGTCCTGCTATTGGGTAGAAGTGCACCAACGCCCTGCTCAGTGAATCTATTAGGGTTTTGATGATGGTGTCAGGAGGCGTGAGCCACTCCTGTGGAGGCGATTTATAGAAGTAGATAGTTGGTACATGAGTAATGGTGCCAATTTGGTCCCATTCTGATAAGAGGAGAGTACCATTCCATGTTGGCTCTGCTGGCTTAACCATGTAAGAACCTTTCAAACTGACCACTACCATCTTTTAGAGAAGTGAGAGCTAGAGAGGAAAGTAGTGAAGATGTATTTAAATTTGGCGATTGTGTTATGGGGTATTTGAAGGCCAAATGTGGAGACTAGTGTTTTACATTGTTGGTTGAAATGAGTCTGGCATGTTCCTTCAAATAGTAGGAATTTCAGCTTATCCAATATTGTATGACACTGTAATATTGCTTATTGTTACGAAGAGTTTAGATATTCAACAGTTGGTATACTCAATAAATAAATAAATAAAGAGGTCAAATCACACTTATCAGATGATTTTTAGCCTTTGATTTCGTGTAGGCTCTTCAAACCTTGGAAAAACTTTAGAAATTCTAAAATTTCACCAAAGGTACGTATGCAATTCAGAGATGACTAGGAGTTTTTTTTTTGTTGGAGTTGTAAATATAACAATTTGCTTTGACTTATCAACCTTCTTCCGGTTTGATATTATTTGCATGTATACAAGCGGTGTATCTAATCCTCCTCTTGAAATCCTCGGTGCAAGAGGTGTTCACTCTTACTGAAGAAATTTGGCACTGGGGTTTTCTTTATTTACATGATATTAAATATATATAATGAACAAATAGTCAAGATTAAGTTGCATATTCTGTAATAGTTATGCTCCATTTGTTTGGATGTAAAATATTTTTAAGAAAATAATTTTTTATTTTCTGCTGTTTGGTTATCGTAAAATATTTAAAAATAATAATTATAATAAAACATAATAAAAATAATTTATTTATCAATTTTCAACAAATTATTTTATACTTATTTAAAAATAATATTTAGAAAATAATAATTATAATAAAAATAATAATTATAATGAACAAATAGTCAGGATTAAGTTGCATATTACGTCATAGTTAGGCTCCATTTGTTTGGATGTAAAATATTTTTTAAAAAATAATTTTTTATTTTTTGGTGTTTGGTTATCGTAAAATATTTACAAAAAAATAAAATAATAAAAATAATTTATTCATCAATTTTTGGCAACTTATTTTATACACCCTACCAATAGACTCAACCTCAACCTTAATCTAGACCTTTGATAAACCCCGAAAAATAAGAAATAAAAATAAAAAATACTTTAACTTAAAGAAATAATAATAATTTTGAAAAAGATATTTTATGTCCAAACAATCGCAACTAATTAAATACTAAAAAAAAAACTCCAATGTGTCACTCTGGTATCATACCAATCATATTGGTTTCCAATACAATTTATTACGGTTTTAAATTTTGGAAATTCTAGCATTTCACCAAAGGTATGTATGTGTATGCAAATGAGAGCTGTTATGCTCTCATCCTATAATGTAGAATATTATATTGAGGCACCATATAACCAGAGTTTATATATATATATATATATATATATATATATATATATATATATATATTCAATTGGGCGGCCAGGCTATTCCATCACAAGATGGATGATGTTCGGCTTAAAGTTTGCAATAGTAATCAATTGGTGATATTTAACAATTTTTTTCATATGATCACACCCACCCTTGTTCCGTAGTTATGTTGGGTAGTTCGACAAATCTCACATTGGTTAGAAAATAAGAAAATTTGGGACTTATACTTTTTGAGTTGGATATCCACAAGCCCAACAATTAGTATCAGGTCTCAAAGAACTGCATGTGGACTCAAAATCCCTTAACTAAACGGAAGGTGAGCCTAGTTCACGAGGAGTTCCGATTACCTTCCATCCACAAGGGTGAGTCTCGAGTGGGGGAGCCTTGGAAAATTCCTCAGGCCTCCCTCGTTGATGTAGTAGTATCAAGTGATCCAAGTACTGGAAGACTTTGTAGAACTTCTCCTTGAAATCTGTGTAAAGAGGGTTCACTCTTACTAAATCTGTGTTAAGGAAATGAAGCAATGGGTCAAGATTAAGTTGTATATTCTGTGAGGCAATGGGTTTACCTTATTTGAATGAAAATCTATAAAATGAAGCAATGGGTCAAGATTAACTTGCATATTCTGTGATAATTAAATACTAAGAACAGTTTTTTCAGCCTTCTCTATTTTTCTTTATTTATTTTTTTTTTTTTAACACTCTTATGTGTCACTCGACTCACTCTGGTATATCATACTAGTCATGTTGGTTTCCAATACATAGCAAACTATCTAGGAGGATCACCGCATTGAATTTCCAATGTACAACTACTTTCTTAGGAGGATCAATAACTGATGCAAGAAAGTTTATTATCCTGAACTAATTGCAAACGAGCAATCAGCACATGATTCACTGTCCCATTTGCAGTTAAATCATGCCAACTAATTTACTCTTGCATTGTGAACGTAGAAAATATATATATATATGAAGTACTGTTGCATTACACGACCGGTCGAGAAATATATTCTGCAGAATTTATAGGCATGGAAAAATTTCTAGAGCTTGTAGAGGGAGAAATCAGGGATGTGTTTAGTGTGCGCGTGTGGATAGAGAGATCACAAAGCTATTCAATATTTAAGCATTGAGAACTTCAATCAATCAAACATAACCCAAAGAGTGTCGAAACAGATAATTAACAAAGTGCTCAATTTTCTTGACAGGGAAATAGACTTATTAAGTACAACAAGGTAGAACTATGAAGTGCAATGGAAATTGTGCAAAACAAACTCTACATGGCAAAGAAGAAAAAGAGTTCCCAAAAGGGTGAGAGGCAAACTTTGTCATCATCAAAGAAACCTAGTTTTACTCCACCCATTATTATTGATGAGAATTCTTCAGAGCAGTCACAGGAATTTTCTGTGTGGCCTCCCTGCGTCCTCGTCTTGCATATGCTGTCCGCATGACAACCAAAAAAGTTAAAGATTCTAAATAGCATATCTGGAAGTTTGGACCAACTATACATTTAGACACAATTGCATAAAAATTAATTAATTAAAGAAGTCATAGGGAGAATCATTTATTCTAAACAAAATTTACTAAAAAAATCAAACAAATAGATTATAGATGCAACGCATTGCAATTCAAAGGTAAACAAAGATGAAATTTTAACTCAATTCTTTCCAAAATTAACGTTTTACAAACTTTGGGGACCTCGCTAAGATAAAGATAGGGCGATAAAACAAACGGTAAAGTAACATTTGCAATTTGTACACTACAAGAAATATATGGAAGCATGTGTCAAAGTATATTCCTCTGTGATAGAAGTAAAATAAGAAACATAACAGTACTGAATGATCATGTCATTTGATCAAAGAAAGTGCAGTGAACAATGTTCTTGTAATAAATCAAACTGCATAGAGAAATCTAACTCCCCTACATAAAACATTTCATGCAGCAAAAATGCATACCAAAGCATCAAGCATCTACGACCAGAAAAAATAAGTTAAATGTGACATAATAATTATTATAAAGACCACAAAATAATGATTTCAGGCCCGTATCTCTTTTAGTGGTGAACCATCTACAAACAATGATTTCTAAAAGTTTTCCACCAAATTAGAACCATCATATCAATCAAAGACCGGAGAAAATCCTTCACATTAATGCATCTAGATATAACTATCGAAGTGAAAGGTGTAAGAAAGTGGTCACCATTGATAGAAAGCAATGCAAGGACAATTTATTTTTTCTCCAAACAAACAATAAACTAGTTGTTACAAATTTTAACACCAAATTCACAGCCAAAAATTATTATTACCAGTTTTAGCTTGCATATAAAAATTCAATAGTGAACTTTCACGAACATTAAAGAAAACCAACACTAACAATACCTATTAACCTGCTGCAGATACACTTCTAACTCATGTGTTCATGACAATCCAAAAACAAAAATCAAATACTCCATGCCTTGAGTTTCCAACATAACTCAACTCAGATAACCACTATAACTTTACATGAATACAAGGAGTACCCATCAAGTTTCCAAATGGTTAACAACTATAACTTTACAAACACGCTAGGATGCTAGGAGCACCCTTCAAGTTTCCAACATCACATCGACCATATACTCTGTGGTGTTCACACACCTAATCTTAAGCGTGCACACTTTATATGTTTTTTTTAGCAAACATAAAGAGTGGTTAAGCGACATCATAGACAAATCATAGCAAGTGACAAAACAAAACTTGATGAGTACATCCAGATATTTGGGCAAAAGTAGAGGAAGTGCAAGTTTTACAACAGGAATTTGAGAGGCAATTGGACTACTCATACAAAACTACTGGGGAGTTGCTCTGTAGTCCTATTCACAAAATCCTAGGGCTAAGAGCAAAACCACCAAATAAAAAAAGTTAAAGAAAGTGAGCAAACAAGTTGTCTTTTGTTTCTTCTCTTTTACAAACAATAAAAATAAAAACGGTAACATGAAATAAAAGACTAAAAGGAGTATGACATGACTGAGCTACATCTTTAACAGTTGTTTCCATCATAATTTTTGTAAATAATGAGTTATATTTTAAATAATTCAACACACATCAAAGAAGATGTAAACAAGCAATTACACATTTGTAGGTCTGGTCAGATATTAAGTCAACAAGCAAGACAGAAAAGGTAATTTTTGAAGAGTCTCGACCACCTAGGCTGAGCAACATGAATCCTATCCCATGATTAGGGTGTGTCCTCTTGAAGCATAACTACATGGTTGGCTAAGGGCTTGATGGGTGCTGCTATGAATATCATTTGCATGCTAATTGTCAATCTCCATACTGAAGGACGCTACCTATTCCTCAATACAATTGTTACTCAGCTAATTGATCACCAACTTGTTTCAACAATAGGAGGTGGTTATCAAACATTCCTATTCACAAAATCCTAGGGCTAAGAGCAAAGCCACCAAATGAAAAAAGTTAAAGAAAGTGCGCAAACAAGTTGTCTTTTGTTTCTTCTCTTTTACAAACAATAAAAATAAAAACGGCAACATGAAATAAAAGACTAAAAGGGTATGACATGACTGAGCTACATCTTTAACAGTTGTTTCCATCATAATTTTTGTAAATAATGAGTTATATTTTAAATCATTCAACACACATCAAAGAAGACGTAAACAAGCAATTACACCTTTGTAGGTCTGGTCAGATATTAAGTCAACAAGCAAGACAGAAAAGGCAATTTTTGAAGAGTCTCGACCACCTAGGCTGAGCAACATGAATCCTATCCCATGATTAGGGTGTGTCCTCTTGAAGCATAACTACATGGTTGGCTAAGGGCTTGATGGGTGCTGCTATGAATATCATTTGCATGATAATTGTCAATCTCCATACTGAAGGACGCTACCTATACCTCAATACAATTGTTACTCAGCTAATTGACCACCAACTTGTTTCGACAATAGGAGGTGGTTATCAAACATTCCTAGGTAACCGGTAGGGATGTCCCCTTTTTGAGTGTGCTTGGATTACTGTCTATGCTTTTCTCCCCCTCAACACAAACACCAGGGGAGAAAAAAGTAAAAAAAAAAAAAAGAAAAGAAAAGAAAAGAAAAAGGGCGGGTTAATTCCAACAGTTCAAATAATATGACGTTCCATGCAAATAATTTGTTTCTTACATATCATGAATTCTCCTGCACAACTATAAAGTTATTTTTTTGGCAACATTTCCTATCAATTCCCTCCTCCCTATTAACATGATTCCTAACCTCAAGGTAATTGTTGAATAGTCAGCACCAACTGTCGCGTCATCAAAATTATGAAAATTGACCATATTTGTAATGTCTATCGCATATGATTTCATATGTTCTCTTGACATCCGAGTAAAGTATAATAACCATGGTACAAACGAATAAAGAATAATGAAGTTGTGATCCACACGGTGGTCTACGTGTTACATAGAGTATTAGCTCAATTGATTTACTAAAACCCAAAACAATTCTTATTTTGGACCGGTACTTGAGATATAAGGATGCAGCTATGTTTATTCCAGGATTAGTTGAGACCACTAAAAAGTAGAAACAATTATAGCCTAAAACTCACATATTTACATCCCTTTAATTAAAAATTTGCAACTGATAATAAATCATTCAAACCCAGTACGCCAAACCATGTATACTTCGAAATGTACAAGTATGTACTCCGTATATGGTTTTGGCGATATAAGGCACAATGGTAATCTAACGGATTGAATCCAGTTTTAAAAACTCAGGAAAAAAACCCTTAATCTTTTAAAAACTCAGTTAATATACCCCTAAAAAAACCTTTCAGAGCTCAATCTTATAACAAATTCAAATGTGAATTAAAGCTATTGCAGTTATAATCCATAAATGAAAGCAAGGGATTTAGGGCACCAACAGATCCACAAATTGAAACGAGAACGAGATCACTCAGATGTAGTATGATATATATGTATAGACAGAGAGAGATTCGTACGAATTCCTTGACGATGCCCTTGTAGACGAAGATAGGAAGAGCGATGCCGAATAAGCCGACGAGAGCGAGGTTTCGACGGCTCCACCTGAAGTTGTGTTCCAGGTTCTCCCTCGCGGCGCCCCATTCCTCTATGAACCTGTTCTTGTTCGCCTCCATTCCTCCCCCCATTTCTCTGTAATCTTCTTTCTTCCCTCTCTACTCTCTCTTCTCTGTCTGTGGACGACTACTACACCTTGTAGTCTATTATTATCTCTCGTTGCTGGCTCCTGTGCTGGACTGTTTGGTTATGACGATAGTTCTGGTCCGAAAAGCAAACATACTGTTTGTTTCATACTACTTTGTTCCGTTTAATTTTAATTTTGTATATATATCAATACTATTATTAAATGTGCAAAGATTTTCAGTACTTCAATATTTATTTATTTTAATATAAAAAATTTTATTTTAATATAAAAAAATAGTTTTTATAAACAAAAAATTTAAAGAGTTTAATTCAAGTTACAAATTACCTAATAAAATTTTATTTCTTGTCCCACATTAGTTTAAAGTAAAAAAAGATTACATGGAAGCCTCTTATAAAACTATAGACCTAAAGAAATAATAATCACACCATTTTCGGCCTTTGGGCTAAGATAAAGTGTAGTACTAAATTTTTTTTTGTTGGCCTTTTGACTAACTTTTTTAGGTCTTTTGACTAAGATCAAGTGTAGTACTACTTTTCTCGGTCTTTTGGCTTTCAGTATTTATTTATTAATATAAAAAAAGAGTTTGTCCCACGTTGGTTTAAAGTAAAAAAAAATTATGGAAACTTCTTATAAAACTATAGACCTAAAGAAATAATAATCACACCTTTATCGGCCTTTGGGCTAAGATAAAGTGTAGTACTAAATTTTTTTTTTGTCTGCCTTTTGACTAACCTTTTTATGTCTTTTGGCTAAAATCAAGTGTAGTACTACTTTCTCGGCCTTTTGACTTTCAATATTTATTTATTAATATAAAAATTAATATAAAAAAAGAGTTTGTCCCACATTGGTTTAGAGTAAAAAAAATTACATGGAAGGCTCTTATAAAACTATAGACCTAATGAAATAATAATCACACCTTTCTCGACCTTTGGACTAAAATCAAGTGTAGTACTAAATTTTTTTTTGTCGGATTTTTGGCTAATCTTTCTAGGTCTTTTGGCTAAGATTTAAGTATAGTACCACTTTCTCGGCCTTTTGGCTTTCAGCATTTATTTATTAATATAAAAATTAATATAAAAAAAGAGTTTTTATAAACAAAAAATTACCTAAAATTATTTAAAAAGTTTAATTCAAATTACAAATTACCTAATAAAATTCATATTTCTTGTCCCACATTGGTTTAAAATAAAAAAGATCACATGAAAGTCTCTTATAAAACTATAGAGCTAAAGAAATAATAATCATACCTTTCTCCGCCTAATAAAATTTATAAAATCAATTTAAAGAGTTTAATTCAAATTACAAATTACCTAATAAAAGAAAATATAATTAGACAAGAATTATTAATATAAAAAATATTTATTAATTGATATAAAAAATAAAATAATTTTTCTAAAACTGCAACGCAAATTACCTTTTATTATTAGTTTTTTTAGTAAAAGAAAATCTAATTAAACAAGGATATATATATTTAAAGAAAATAAATAATTTTTATAAAATTTTACCACAAACTCTATCACATTAGACAGAGATATATTAAAAGTGTCTCTATAAAACACTGACACAAATTACCTAAAATGAACACAAATGAAGTAATTTATTTTAATTAAAACTCTATCACATCTAACATATATTTATCTATTTATTATGAGTTTTTTAATAAATAAAAAATCTAATTAGATAAGGATATATTTAAAAAAATAAAATAATTTCTATAAAACTCTAGCATAAATTATCTATTTTATTTTCTATAAAACTCTGTGACAAATTATTCTATAAAACTCTACCACAAATTACCTATTTTATTTTCTATAAAACTCTATCACATTATAGAAGGATATATTTAAATAAAATATATAATAATACATATAAATATAAATAAAATATAAAAGTGTAAAGAATTTTAGCATTTTAGTATTTATTTTTTAATATAAAAAATATTTATCAATTAATATAAAAAGAGAACTCTATTGCAGATAACCTTTGCACTCCTTCCCAACCAACTAGCATTCCTTCCCAACCAACTAATCATACGAGGAGTTTGGAGTCCTCTGTTCGGATGAGTAGGCTAATGCCGGTGACTTTTCTCCTTCCCTAAGGGAGTTTTCTCCATTTACTCTAGAAGAGCAGTGACCACCCGGCTTTCAACCTGAGGGAGGGAAGCTTACTATTCAAGCTGTAGAGTTCCCTAAGTTATAACCCTTTTTTTCATGTCATTTTGGTGTTGAAAAGAGTTCCCATCATTGAAATTCAGTTTCTGAAGTGAAGGGCAAGCGAAACCGCTTCCGGTTTGGAAGAGAGAGGTCCGATGCAACATCGCTTTTCGCGTATCCTCTTTCAATACCAAACGGCTATAACACTGACACCGGGGTGGCTACATTATTGGGGTGTCTCATTAGTCGGGTCTGTAGTATGACCGAATTTAGGGCAAAAAACCAATGATCGGGGCATCGATAGGAAAACACCCGAGAGAAGCCAACCCCTTTCCCTCCTTTGCCCACGAATTAAGCAACTCAACCTGAGTTTTTTTAATAAAAGAAAATTTAATTAGAGAAGGATATATTTAAATATAATAAAATAATTAAAAAATATATGAAAAGAAAATTTTAATAAGTTATAAAACAGTTGTCATGTGCATCGCACGTGCCTTTTCTTAGTGCATGTATATATATGTATACAGAATTGTTCACATATATATATACCAGTATTTTTCGTGAGCTTTTGTTTTATAATTATAAATCTTATTTTTTGGTAATTATACTTTTAAATATTCTATTATAGTTATTTTTAAAAAATAATATATCTTAAATTTGTCTATAATTATATTTAGTTGTTTAATTATATTTTTTTGAAGATTTTGGTAATTGATTTTTTTTTGAAATGCATTTGAAACGAGACATTTATGTTAGATGTGACTTATGAGGTATTTTTTATTTTATTTTGGGTAATAACTTTTATTGTTGTAATTAGTGGTGTTTTTAAATATTAAATTTAAAAACTATAAATAATAATAGTGGAAAGAATATAGGTGGGTTTCTATGGTTACTTTAGATTATATCTATTTTTTTTTTCTTGAATTATTATATCTAATTGTTATAGTATTATAGAAAGTGCGGATAAATTTCATGCTTCATGAAGAACAAGAGGTCACTACTCTCTCTCTCTCTCTCTATATATATATATATAGATATATATATATCTATTATTATTATATATATAACGATATTTTGGTCCATTGTTATATTATATTATTTTGTTATTTAATAATATTATGGGCATTTTGGTGACTTAAAATCAATTTTTTGAATGTAAGGAGGGAGGTTTTTGCAAAATGAGGCAAGCCTAGGAGACCGCGAAAAAAAAAAAAAAATCAAATTTATTTACAATTAGACAAAATCGTTTACCCTTTTTATTTTAGGTCAACTGCATAAAACACTTATAGTATATTTACAGTACATATCATACACCCTCATATGCAAAAATTACCCTAAAAGTTTCAATTTGATGTAAATAGGTTCATCTAACAAATTTAAATTCTAAATTAACTAAATTATCTTTACTGAACCCTTTTATAAAATATATAAAAATAAATAATTTGACACTATTGGAGATGCCCCTCTCGTGCAAAAAATAATCATAAAGTTTCAATCTGGTGTAAATAGGTACTTTTAACAAATTTAACCATAAGTTGATTAAACTACCCTTACTGAATCATTTTATAAAATATATAAAAATAAATAATTTTATAAAATGATACTATTGGAAGATGTCGGAATAGACAAGTAAAAATAAAAATAAAAATAAAAGTATAAAAGAAAAATAAAGATAAAAAAATAAAGTGCAATCTAAATAAAACAAAAAAATTTCAAACTTCGAAAACTAGTGCAATAGTGCGAATATATATATTTTTTGTTTAACAGTGTTGGTACGACAAAAATAAAATAAAGAAAAAAAAATAGGATAAAAGAGTAAACTGAAATCTAAAATATTAAAATTTTTTTCCTTCAAATTCTCCAAGGTTTTTTTAAAAAATATTTAGAAATATATATAAAGAAAAAAGTTCCAAAAAAACATACATATAAAGTAATGTGCATATAATACCTTCGCACTGTGACTTTAATAATATATATATTCCTTTGAGCATTTTCAGAAGAATAGAAAAAGTAAAATAAGTATTGCATCACTAATTAATGTTAAAGGTATATTTTTGAACATTGTGAAAAAATTAGAATTATTATTTACACACTTTGAAGTAAACCTGCCCCGCAAAATACTGGTTTCTGCACTCGTCCCTTTTGTTCTGGTTCCGATTCCGATTCCGATTCCGAACTCTCTCTCCCCAAACGCACTATCACTGTGTTTTCTTTTTCTTTTTCGGTAGTACTCTGCACAACGATCTCCCTCGACTGCCACCAATTCAACACCAACGACTCACCTACACTGGTGTAGTAGTCACAACTCGCGTTCATAACCGAAACCGACCTCTGTAAGAGGGTTGGTTTCTTCATCACATCTCTGCTTCATTTTTCAGATCAAAACCCTAAAAAATGGCGACGAAAGCAACAACAGCCTCTGCAACTCTTCCGAAGTCTGGAGCTATCTCCAAAGGCTACAACTTCGCTTCTACTTGGGAACAGGTTCTCCTAAATCTTTTCTCTCTATTCCCATTTATTAATTCTCCTCAAAAGAAAATGCCCTTACGATTTAATTACTATTCCCCAAATTATCCATGTACGTCTGCATATATATAAATATTGTGATAATCAAAGGCTTCTCCGGATCTAAGTGCAATTTCTTCGATCTGAATCAAATATCAAATGCTGAAGTTCGAAGCCTGCGTTCCAGTTTTATTCAAGAATTGCATAATTTATAGATCCGTCTCTATATTTTTTTTTGGTTTTAGTTAGTTTGTTCAAGTTCTTGGTCTGATTCTTGTATGATTTTGCTATTGCTATTGTGTTTGATGAAATGTATTGTTTTACCCATGGAATGGATCTGATACAACAATATATCTATATCTATATATATATATATTGTATTGTAGTACACAATCGTGACAGATTCAGGCCTATTAGGATTTTGTTCTCTTTGAGCATGTGCTTGGGTGGTGTGAATTGTAAGCAGTATTCTTGTAAAGTGGATCCTTACCTGCTGCTGTATATGTTATACAGAATGCTCCATTGACGGAGCAACAGCAAACAGCAATAGTAGCACTTTCTCATGCAGTTGCCGAGCGACCCTTTCCTGTCAATCTGGTGAGAACAGTTTCTGTTGTGGCATACCTTTGCGCATTTTTGAAAGAATATGTTGAATTTTACTGTATTGATCTCATGCCTATTGATTGGCCTTTGCTGCACAATAGTCCCGGGAGCATATCTCCCTAAAGGATAATGGTTTGTCCATTTCCACCGATCCCAGCATGGAAGAATCCATGACCATTGAAGCGGTTTTGGTCAATGCAAATCAGGTATGCTTCTTGGTTTGTTGTATTCATTTTCAAGCTCGGTATTCTATTTCTTGACTGCAGCATGTTTTCCTTGGATTAATTAATAACTTTCTAGAACTATTCACTGCAAAACCATTATCGTCTTTCTTTTATTGCCTTTCTTCTCCTCCAACATCATTCTAATTCTTTTCCTTTGTTATTTTTAAGAGAAAAAAGTAACTCATTCAATTGAAAATATGAAAATGCAGTGAAAGCGAATCTTATTGGTATGATGGTCACTGAGTTAAACTGCCTTTGATATTTTGTTGAGTAGGAGGTTGCTCCATGTGTTAGTGACTTATGTATTGCACCCAGACTGCCCCCTCCCAAAACTATCCATTAATGGACTTTATTATCCTTGACTTTGAAGAGCCATTTCTGTCTGGTCAACTTTGAATGATTGTACTGGTCAAAACCAAAAAATGTAGCGCGATAAGATTCTGATAACATTACTTTATTCCTTCTAGGTGATTTATCTAATTTTAAGTTTTGCAAGTTTTTTAGTGATAGGTTGATTCTTAAACATATAAAATGAATTTCTAAATGTTTTGCTATTCTTTCTATGACTTCTATGCGATACAGTTTTACAAATGGTTTGCGGATCGTGAAGCAGAAATGAAGTCAGAGGTTGGTAGTGATTTCTTACTTTTAAGTTATTGACGCATTTGATCATAGAACAATTGTGATCATGAGCACTAGCAGACCTGATTTTTCTTAACATAGACAGAAGAGAAGTATCAGCACTATGTAAACAGTTTAACAGAGCGCATTCAAACATGTGATGGTATACTTCGTCAGGTAAAGTGATTTTTCCTATTCGATTGATTGCTACTTTTCTACTTTGTCTATTAATTTACTGGAATTAATCCTGTTTTGTTGTTTGGGTTATAGTTGTTAATCATAAAGTTGAACTACTTTCTTTCCAGGTGGATGAAACCCTTGACTTATTTAATGAATTGCAACTTCAACATCAACAAGTGGCAACAAAGACCAAAACTCTTCATGATGCATGTGACCGACTGGTATGATCCTCTTTCTTTTTCATTTTTTATTCGATGTTTCATTTTCTCTGGGTATTGGCTGCAACCAACTGTGGTTCGATTTTAACAGTGAATTTTGAACTCTTGAAAGTCTAATTTGGACATCTCTTGACATTATTCCGCACATGCTTGGAACTTTGCTATGCTCAGTTACTTTGCATTAGGTTTTAAAGGTCTAGGACGTAACATTCAATGATCACATCACTAATGAAATTGTTTATTTGCTATATAGCTTTGCTGCTATTGCTGAGAATTGGAATGGGCAACCTTTGTGTGGAACTTTATTTGTGTGGCATGTTGTGTCAGTTCTGTTAACTTGTATTTGAGGTTTTAACTATAAGTTGTTAATTGCACTTGCAAGTCATAGCTTGGGCACTAACAACTATTTCTCTTGCATATCAATGGAATGATCTGCACACCATGTTGAAAGTCATTAATTGACTAGTTTCAGTTCCTTCTTTCTGTTGCAGCTGATTGAGAAGCAAGGACTGATTGAGTTTGCGGAAGCGCTTCGAAGTAGGCTCAACTACTTTGATGAGTTGGAGAATGTAAGGCTTGAATGCTGTGTTAGCTAGAAATTTATTTCACTTGAAATAATACATTTTATGGATGTGTTGCTCACTTAATTTTCTATTTTGTACCTTTTTTAGGACTTTTAGAAGTTCTATTAAAAGGAACAAAAAAAGTGCACATGTTTATACTTTATACTGCAACTGTCGGGTAAATATACATACTCTTGTGGCCCTAAAAGCTCTACAAAAGAGTCAATCGTGAAAGACGACCTTCAAGTATTTAAAAAGTTAGGAAGCTTACTATCAAAAATTTAATGGACAAAATTTGTAACCTCACCACTCCAATGATCTATTCCTGTCATTGCTTAAACACCGTCATAAGCTCAAAGGAGCCACCTGCCATACCTATCTGACTCTTTTACCCATTACGAAACCATTGCCATCTAGAAAGCACCTTCACCGCTGATCCCCAAAATCATCCATTAGACTCTAGAATGGGATATCAGGAGAACCCACATGTTTCTAGCCAGGGGATAGTGCAACAAGTGACTTACCTCACCAATCATTTTGCACATGCAACACAATTTACTTTAATATACTGTCTTTTTAAGAAATTATTGATAGTCAGAATCGTCCTAAAGAACAGCCGTCCATAAAAAAAGAGACTTTGTAAGGAGCCTAGGTATGCTATCTAGCCTTCCAAGGGACATGGGAAGTTGCTAGCCTAAAAACTAGCAATTTATTTTATGTACTAGCCTAAATTCCTTGAATTTTCAAGAGAAAATGTACGTTGCAGTTCCTTTAAATCTCTTTAAAATCCTTTTCAAGATATTCCAACATTTTTTTTTTCCTGAAACCCTGACGTTTGTGACATAGAGTACTCTTGTATTTATATGCACTTTTTCTTATTGTATACTGATGTTCAGGTTGCTACCAATTTTCATTCTCCAAATATGAATGTTGCAAATGGAAACTTTCTCCCGCTGCTTAAAAGACTCGATGAGTGCATATCGTAAGTGGATAATTTTTCAAACCAGTCTGATATCACTCTGTTTAGACCATGTGTCACTTGTGTTCTATGTCTGAAGTTATGTACTTATTTATTAATTTGTTGTGCCAAGTTTAGATATGTAGAAAGCAATCCACAGTATGCAGAATCCAGCGTTTATCTGGTCAAATTTAGACAACTCCAGGTATCTAAGAGACAATACCGCGATATGCGTGTGGTTTTCAACTTTCTTCCTTTATTTTTGGATTGGACTTTTACTGCCTATACATTTTTCTTTGAATTCTGAAATCTATGTAACAAATTCTTTACATGCATTTGACAGTCTCGAGCCCTGGGTATGATTCGTTCTCATGTACTTTCTGTTCTCAAAAGCACTTCTTCCCAGGTAACACCTCTTTATGAGACTGAAAAGTTTGTTTTACTTAATAAAATGTCAAAATCTTTTTGTTCCACTTATCAGGTCCAGACAGCAATCAGAAGCAGTGGTGGCAGCAAATCAGGTGTTTCTGAGGGTGTAGAGACGTCTGTCATTTATGTCCGCTTCAAGGCCGCAGCAAGTGAGGTAATATTGTTCTTTCTTCATTTCTTTGGTTTTATCCCAAACTATATGAAAGTGGGAATATGAGGTCAGTTGCTATTGAATTTAATGGAGTGGCCGCACGGAATCAGGATGATATCTGTAAACTCATGGGGGGAATTGGATTATATTTTGCAATTTGTTAAAGAGATTAGACTTATAGTTCTATGTATTTGCAGCTTAAGCCAGTGTTGGAGGAAATTGAAAGCAGATCACCCAGGAAAGAATATGTTCAAATTCTGGCAGAATGCCACAAACTATACTGTGAACAGCGGCTCTCCTTGGTGGGCTGATGATTGGTTATTTTGAATAATTTTGTACTTTCATCTAGACCATGGTCCATTCATTTTTGTTTTCTAGTCGGTCAATTTGCTGTTGTACAATTGTTATATATATATATATTTTGTTTAATTTTTTTCTAGGTAAAAGGCATTGTCCATCAACGGATATCTGAATTTGCCAAGAAAGAGGAATTGCCATCATTGACGAGATCTGGATGCGCATACCTAAAGCAGGTGGTCTTAAAATTTCTTATTTCATATTTAGTACAGTAAGGTTGTTACTCCAGGCTTTTAAAAGAAACGTGCTTGTTTGAAAGTGAGAGATGAACTTCCTTGAACATGGGATTTACTTGGTGCTCTTCCTAGGTCAATAGAACTTAGGTTTAGGTTGACAAATTTTTAGATTTTCAGGAGTTCGTGTCAAGTTAGTTTACCTCTTGAGCAAGGATAGAGTTGGAACAAAAAAGTTCCAACCAAGGGTAAAATGGTTATCTTCAAAGCCAAGGTTATAAAGGTAATTTGACACACATATATGCACTCACCATCTAAGGGTTCATGCACTCATCAATTAGGGTTCTGCTAATTCATGTTTTAATTCTATTATAATCTTTCTGATATTTATTAAAGTTTTTGGAAACTACTGCCTTCAAATTTTTTGAGTATAAATTGGATGAGGCACTTTGATCGATCAACCGATCAATCAAGGGCTATTGATATGTCGATTGATCGACATGGAAACTCGACCAATCAATCTATCTGGAAAAGCAATTTCCTTTTCTATTTAAAACTTTGCAAACCTAATTCTTTTACTTATCTATTCTGTCTATGAATACTCACCTACTTCAGAATTCAATAGGGAACAATATTGTGTGAGGCTATTTGAGTGCATTTAATTTTTATTTTTCATTCATCGATCATCCTGTAAATAGATTGGTGAGTTGTCATGCACATGTCGACAATCTATTGTTGCTGAGCTAAATTGGAGTTCAACACGATCAATTTATTCATAAAGATTGCTTTGGGCGACTAATCTGGAGAAGCAAATTGCGGAATCTGTTGACGGAGTAGACTTTGTGTCCGGAGACTCTAATGCTCTATTCGGTAGGAAGGAAAAAAATTGAATGGAAGGGGAGATAAAAGGATGATTGAGACATCCCTAAGGAAGAGATTAAGCGTTTCCCTCTTTTTGTTCGGTTGGATGGAAGAGAATGGAAAAAACTGACTTTAATTTGATATGTAGGATAAAAGGAAAGATAATTTTTAAGTTGTTTTTACCATTAAATCCATCATTTACTTTATTTATGGTATTTATTAAATATTTATGAAGGGTGATGTAGTAATTTAAAACTTTTATAATAGGCTCACTTGTTTCTCTCCTATCTTCCGCCCATATTTGGGCGGATGAAAATTTGTAAATTATCCTTTCTTTCCTTATATCATCTCTACCGAACGAAGAAAATTTGTTCTTTCCTTCCTAATTTCCTTCCACCCCTCTTCTTTCCCTGCCGAACATGGCATAAGTGAGAGTTTGGGAGTATGGACTAGGGATTATGGACCTAATTGTACATCTCGTTCATTTAGTTTTTTATTTGACTGGATTGCATCTCTCTCTAGGTGATGATGGTCCTTGAGCTAATTCTTTATCGGAGCCTAGGGTTTGGTCCTTGTCCCATCAATATAGCGTTATGGGAAATTATTTCCATAGACATAGTAAATTTTTTCATAATTTTACTTGGGAGTTCCAGATCATGTTATATCGGTTTACAAATATGTGATGTAGATGGTTGATTGACCTACCAAAGTGGCAAACTGAATTTGATGATGCTTTACTGAGGCTCCAAAAACTATTTCTGGACCCATCACTATTTTCACATAAATTTGACATGTATTAGTTGATCAAAATTAAAAACTTTTTTAATGTATATGCATATTTGTTCAAGGGACAGATCTGCTTTTAAGTTGTAAAATTATGCTTCCTGCTTTCATTTTTGATGCCATCTCAATACGAGGCTCAAAGGAAGGAGATGTATCATGATACCTCCAATGAGGAGGTTACAAACGCAACAGGGTAGGAGTAAGAAAATATTATTACAAATGCAACATAGTTACATCACCAGGTTCTTTCCATAGACAATGTTGTTGCATTAATTGGTTTTATATTTTCAATTTAAGACAATCAAGGTCTTTATGATGATAAGAGCCATGAGCTCTATTTTTACTTATCAAAAAAAAAAAAAGAGCCACGAGCTCTATTTTTTAATCACAGGATAGAATCAGATTTTGAGATCTATGAAAAGTCAAATGAATATTTTAGTAACTCTCTCAATTCAACAGTCAACAAGAAGCACTCTTGATCCAGGGCTTTCTTGTTAGCATTTTTCACATTTTTATTTGGGCATAATGATGCCTGAGAGACAGTACAGCTCTTAGTTTCCTTAGGAAACAACTGGGATCTATCTAAATCGTATTGACTGACCAGTAACCAGTGGGTCTGTTGCAATAGACAATAAGCATGCCTTTTAAGTTCTAACAGAGTAAAATGTTTTGAAAGTGGATTCTGTGCATACTAATCCAGCACGGTTGCTTTATGCATATCATCATCTTTATTTTTTTCCTGTGTTTGTTCTGGAGGAATTAATTATAGGTATCCAAAATGCATGTCTACATAGTGGAAGACCCTAGTTTGAGTTTTAACTTTATCCCAAAACTTTCTAGAGTAATATGCAACAAGGATAATCAATTTCATAAACTCAACCTGGAGTCATGTTTTACTTTTCAAAAGAAAAAAATTAATTTCCTTTTGACATGAATATATATTATATCATGCCCTCTTTTCCTTTCAAAATTTACTTTTGAATTGTGTTAAAAGCAACTGTACTGTGATAATAGAAAGATGTCCTAGGGAAATAAATTTAAGAAAGTTTAATTGCATATTTTACAAATTGCAGGTATGTCAGCTTGAACATCAACTCTTTGATCATTTTTTCCCATCTTCTTCAGAAGATATATCAAGCATGGCTCATTTAATAGATCCTCTGTGAGTTCTCTTAATTACCTTGATGGGCTTCTTGTTTTGCATAATCTTTTCCATTTCCTCTCCCCCAACCAATGATTGTACTTGTAAAAAGGAAAAAGATAATTAATATTGTGCCGCCATCAATCAAAATTATCCCCCTTAGTCCCACCAAAAAAAGAAAAGAAGGAAAAAAAACAAAGAAGTTTTCTCAAGTCATCAATTGTGCTAAAGATGGTGTCATCTTTGTTACTTTTTCATGGTTGATATTTTAGAGGCAACATTATCGTGCTTTTCAGTAACTAATTTTCTGCTTTTCAATGTAAAAACTCTTGGGGATTAGAATCAAAATATTAATGGATTAACCTCAAGCTTTTTTCATCATATCAAAAAGGCCTTTGAGTAAATAAAATGGCCCCCAAAACCCTAGTCTTGGGCTTCCAAGAGGGTGTTTTTATCTTTACCCTAGTATATGCACTTTGTCATAGAAAGGTCACACACACACCCATTAGGACGGAGGTGTGTTACTTCGGAGAATCAAGTGTCAAAGTGTACTCTGCGGCCTTGGGTATATTTATAACCTCTTAGCTGTAGAAGCTTTGTTCTTTGCTAACTTAATTGCCAGGATTTTGACCCTCCACCTCCTCGGAGTCGCACACTCTTTCTCAACCCACCAAATATCTCATTTAACTCACCGTGAACCAGCTCATAGGTTGAAGTTGCACCCTGTTAAATTAAAATTCCATAGTGACACATGCAAATTCATTTTCCTTTCCATTTATGTTTGAGTTGCCAATGCATCGAGTTTTGGGTTTGATTAGTTCTACCTAACCTCTGCTTTCATTCTCTCATCTTGGTGCTAACTTATTTGCAGGTGTACTTACTTGTATGATACATTACGGCCAAAACTTATTCATGAAACAAATCTTGATATTCTTTGTGAGCTTGTTGATATTCTTAAAGTAGAAGTTCTAGGAGAACAACTTGGTCAACGAACTGAATCATTGGCTGGATTACGTCCTACATTAGACAGAATTCTAGAAGATGTTCACGAGCGATTAACTTTTCGTGCTAGAAAGCATATACGTGATGAGGTAGGTATCTTACCTGAGAATTATATATTTGTATTGATTTTTCAATTTTCAGCCAATGTTCTGTCCGCTGATCAACTTAATATTGTGTATGTTTCTTTTGGGATCATATTGTATGTAAATTAGCCCTTTTACTGTATTAAACTTTTTGGAACTGGGTTTTATTTTACTTGTTTATTTATTGTTTGTTGGGGTTGGAAGGATGTAGGCAGAGATCTCATTTTTTAGGCATCAATTTCTTTTTACTTTTGATGGAGAAATAATTGACAATAGAGGTCTCAAACCTATTATTAATCCTTATGGGCGTCTTAGATTTGGCTCTCCCAGGCTCATCTCATGCACGCAATCACTGTGCACATCCATAGAGATCAGTCTCGACTGAAAATGTGTTCAATATACCCTAAGCTATATAAAAGTTACTCTTAAAAATTTCAAATCTTTTTTAAAGGGTTATATGAAGTGCATTCATATTGTATTTTACATAATATTGATGACTTTAGGAACTTCCTAGTTGAGTACCGTTACTTGTCCAATTGGTTCTGAAATGTTGTCCATTATGGAGAAATTTGTTGTACTATCAAGAAGTGGAAGCATCAAAGTCTTTCATAAACAAACAGTTATTTGTGTAAAGTAGCAAATATTGCATGATTCATGAAGAAGCCAGATTAATAGAATCATTTTGAAGTTGTCTGCTCCAGTGTGAGTTGATGTCTTTCATTTGCTTCATGTATTTTTTTAGTGAATTGCATGTTATGTCAAAAGGAGTTCAAACTATTTAAAACGCTATTGAATACCAATGTTCTAAGGTGGGAAGAAGTATTTATATAGAACAGCTGGCAAAATTCTAGTACTATTATTTTGTTGGTCACTATTTACTTAATGCACACATACTGCTTGCAGTATGAGAGTTCTCCTGCCAAAGCTACTGTTTCTTGCAAGCATGCTGGTTTCATTTTGGACCCATCTGTTGTTTCTTTTTCAGATTGCAAATTATATTCCTTTCGATGAAGATTTGGATTACCCTGGAAAGCTGGAGCAGTTTGCTGAGACAAAATCAGAAACAGCTTCTGTAAGTACACCTCACCATTTATATCAATAATTACTTATGTATACTTTATGTTTTTCATTAATATTATTGGCCTGGGTTTTCTTTACCTGTGCAACGGAGCAAGTATTTGTGAACTACTTACTTTTATTTAACCATACTTGATGCCATTTTGGCCAAACCCTCGCTTGATTTGTAGGGTTTGGCAAATTCTGTTTCATCACGTATTGGTATACTCCTTTGGTCTTAGGGACTGATTGTAGTTAACAGTACCGTGTTTGTTGTTGGCTGATATTTATTTACTTTCTGATTTTTATGTATAAAAAAATAATTAAAATATTATTTTGATAAGCTTTCTCTCTTTAATTCCTTTTAATCGTACTGCAGGCCGATGAAAGCCCAGATGTTTTCAAAACCTGGTATCCTCCCCTGGAGAAAACTATATCATGTCTTTCGAAGTTGTATCGCTGTTTAGAATCTGCAGTTTTCACTGGTTTGGCACAGGTATTTACTTATTTATCTCGCCGATTTTATTTTCCTTCAAATTCTATACATACATTGCCTTATTAACCTATTATGTTAATTTAGCTGGCTTGTTTACTATTTCTTTCAGGAAGCTGTAGAAGTTTGCTCTGAATCCATCCAAGTGAGTGAGCTAACAATTTATGTATTAGTGCATTGTCATTTAAAAAAATTCTTAATGCATAGATTCTATGCCATTCCCTTTTTAAAAATAACCAAAAATGGACCAGTTGCCTTGTGATGATATCCTTTACTTTCTAATTGGTTCCTCCTTTATCTGTGACAGAAAGCAAGCAAACTGGTTGCAAAAAGATCATCCCCAATGGATGGGCAGCTTTTTCTTATAAAGCATCTCCTTATCCTTAGAGAGCAGGTTATCTCCTGCTTTATTTTTTCTAAAACTAGTTGTTACTTTAATCAGTTTTTATATATACTAACAAGCTTGGTCTTCCAGATTGCACCTTTTGACATTGAATTTTCAGTCACACAAAAGGAACTTGATTTCTCTCATTTACTGGTCAGTAACTTGGAAGTTGAACTTCCCCTTCATCTGAATGCATTTCTTTGCTTTGTACCATTTCTATATTGCCAATCAAAAGCAAATGTCATTTGCAATATTTCTCATTTGAAATTTGAATGCAATATTGAAGATTTAACATTTTGAGTGCAATATTTCTCATTTGCAATTTCTGCATAATTAGCAAATGTCATCTTTCTTTTTTGAGAAAATTACAAATAAGTCCTAAATTTTCATCTTAAAGACATCCAAGTAATCGAAAATTTTATTTAGACAATAAGGTCCCATAGAGGTGATTTTTATCCCAGATTTACCCTTTATACTCCATGGGTTAAAAAAAGAAGATAAAACTTAATAACCAAATTTGTCTTATGTGGCTAATTATCTTTTTTATTTTCATGTAATTGATTTTTAGTGGTCATATTCAATATTTAACATTTTGAAAATTTATTTCCATATTCACTTTGAAAAATCTTTGTTACAGTGTCGGGTACATTTTTCTTCTGTTATTTTGTACTTGTACTGGGAAAAAAACTAGCAGTTTTTTGCATTGCAATTATTACAATGTTACTTTGATCATAATATCTTAATCAATCAGTTCAACTCGGTCGACCCAAGAGCCAATCTCTCTCTCTCTCTCTCTCTATTAATTCCTTTTTGCACATTGGAGAAAAAAAATTACACTTTTCAAAGGGGGAAAAAAAGAGAAGAAGAATTATGTCAAAAACTTGGAGTCCCTTGAATTATAGTAACTTTAGTATCTCTTTGCCTAATGTTCTTGGAACATGTTTTTTTTAACTATCTCTATGCTTAATGTATTTGGCACGTCATACTTAAATGATTCAAAAAAAAATTGATAATTATAATATGTAAATACACGCATCAAATTATTTTTACTAAAAAATATCATATTAGTATATGTAGACACTTGCATGCAAATTTTTTCCCTTAAACAATTACTTTAGATTATATTATTGTAATTTAAAATTTATAATAAAGTGATTGCCTTACAAAATCATATTAGTATAATAATTAATAAGAAAAACTTTATTTTTTAATTTTTTATTAGGATAGTAAGAACTATTTTTTTTTTTTAGTGGTAGTTTTGTAAATGAAATTGATTAAAGCTTAAGAAAGGAACCTCAAGAAGAATACAATCCTTTGGAAATCATTTTTAAAAGGAGGAGTTCTTGGCTAAAAATCATAGTATTAAGTTGTATTTAAGGTAAAAAATCAAGTTAGAAAATACCATCTGTGTTCATCTTTCCTGATATATAAGAAACATAATAGATTTGTAAGAAATGGAATATAAATGTACCTTGTAGGGCATGAAATGGATTGGGTTGGATATGGTTGTTAAAGATCAGCTTCAGATTGGGTTGGATTTGGTTGTTCCAGTTTGGACTCGGATATAAAGAGAATACCTATTTGGATCCTTTATATCCATTTAACTTTTAAGTGAAATTTCACAAGTACATTGACTAAATGCGATTTTCTATTTGCTGACCCGAATAGTTACAGAAAAAGGTTCTTATTCTGTTGCGTTGAAGTTTGAAAATAGGAAGTAGATTTGGATGTCCATTTCTTTATGGAACCAAATTTGCACGTTGTGTTAATTTAATAATTTATTAGTTGAAGGTCATTTGGGCTTAGATTTGAAATCTGGATCTAACTATTTGAATGACATATGAACCTCGGATTTATTTGGATTCTCCGCGGAGTGCACGGGCTTGATGTGGATATTGTCCATTAGATCTGTCTTGGACTCTAAATTTAGATATGAATTCTGGCATTAAAATATTGTTATTGAGTCGGAATTACTGTTGATGAAATCATATTCTCTCCATATGCCTTAGCACCTTATATATAAAATTGGAATGCGACTCATTCTCATGTGATTAAGAAGGAAGCAAGGGTTTGCTTGATTGAGAATATATTAAATTTCCTTAATTCAGATGGTTTATTTATTCTGAACACCTTTTTGAAGTTTTTAATCTACTATGCCTCCCTTAAAAAGAAAAATTAGCTACTTTTCCGCAAATCTAATGGAATTCTGGTTCACAGAGATGGTCTTAATGTATAATGTGAGCAAAGGAAAAACCTGGACATACTATATGCTCTCAATAAATCACCATGCTTTGCTAATTAACCAGAGGGGTACACACTTACCAGATGCAGAATCGAGTGCATATTCCGCAAAAATTAGAAAATAATCCCTTATAGTACGTAGTTCTGAAGAATTACAAGATATGAACAGTAGACACTGAAAATAAATGACTTTAGAATGCTTGTTTTTGTTAGGTATAAATGTATGTCATGATCAAAGAAATCACTTAGCTTTTTTAATCTTTACTTATGAAAAATGAAAATTTTATTTATATTTTCCATTATCAGGACCATCTAAGGCGGCTTCTTAGAGGTCAGGCTTCGCTATTTGATTGGTCAAGATCAACTTCCTTGGCAAGGACCCTATCCCCCCGAGTTTTGGAAAGTCAAATAGATGCCAAGAAGGTACGTGACTGACTTTTTATTTAATTTTTTTAATTCCTTCAGTGGACTTTTTTCCTTTTGATCTAAATATGACTAATCAACCACTACTATAGTCCATGTCAGCAGATATAGAAGTTTCTCAAATACCTTTGACTCGCTAGACCTAATAGAACATGAATAAAAATAACATAAAGACGGCTGTTTCAAAATTTGATTATGCAATATCCAAGTTGTGTTCCAAGTGAAATTCCTGATTCTTCCCTTCAAGTGTAATGCTGAATTTTTTTTCAAACCCTTTGCATGAATTTAAGAAAATTCTGTTATTCTTTTCAAGGCAAATGAACCAAAATATTACCCAAAAAGCAGCCCTCTCTTCTAACACCGCCCTAGTTTTTGTCAAGAGATTTCCATCATTGAATTAACATGAAAACGGGGCATCGTTAATCCAGTTAGTGAAAGAGTTTTTTTGCCACAAACCAAGGGAAGGAAGAGTGGATAATTAAATGATCAATGTCTCTCTATATTTTTTACCCTATTGGTGACACACATATTCTGGAAAGGGTCTCCTTGTGTTAACCGTATTAGCGCTGCTAACCAAGCAAAATCTTTGACTTTAGTTGCTTATAGCCAAAAAAAGGACTGGAAGAAAATCTTCCCAGAGACTGAAGTTCCAAACTTGGAGTAAATATTAGGTGAGCCGCGTATGCCATGTCATTGGCTCACTCAATTAGAATACATCATTCAATGAAATGGGTCCCACTCAAATAGAAAACTTCCCTCAACTAAAGAGAATGATGTATTTTGATTGGGTGGGCATACCAATGATGTGGTATGCCAGGCTCAGCCAATATCTTTCCCCAAACTTCAGTTGCATCAAGTAGAAAAGTGTGATTTTTTTATGGATTCAAGTAAGGAAGCAAGCTTTGAGAGTTAACAACGTTGTTAATATGATTGAATTTTAAAATCCAAGGTTGACAACTTGGAGAAGAGACCTAGTGACAATTAAAATAGAACTAGAATTTCCAAAAAGTTGATGAAGTCTCAGTTAGTCAAGAGATAAAGGAACATTCCTTGACCAATTATGGTTCCCTGCCTTTTATTGATCCATCCACTGCACATGCAGCTGAACTTGATCAACTCAGAGAGATTTATAATAATCTTTTAGTTATGAAACTTGGGTGATTAATTTATTTATTATTCCAAGAAATGATGCTGATAGAACCAAAAAGTTTAGTGGATAAATCCTTGGATAAAACTTAGAATTTTTTCCCGTTGGTTGTTTAGTCTCATTTTCCAGTTGTAGTGATAATGAGTTGAGCACTTGAACCAATTTAATTTGTTGCGACTGACCTTGTATTCCCTGTAACAGTGTCACATGCAAATGACTATTCTTTTACTTGCAGGAACTGGAGAAAAGTCTCAAAGCTACTTGTGAGGAGTTCATTATGTCAGTAACTAAGCTAGTTGTGGATCCCATGCTTTCCTTCGTTACCAAGGTTGATCATCTTCCACTTTAAATATATTATTGTGGAGAAAGATATGTAACTTAACAATCCATTCATTGCGAGTTAGGGAAGTGAGAGACTAAACCACTAGATAGAACCATGCAGTGAGAAATTGGATAAACTGTTCAAGCACACTATTTTTGTTTGGCATTGTGCCTGTGTCAGAATAATGAAGATATGGTTATAGCGTTTTTCTTGCATTGCCTCCTTTTTTTTCTTTCCTTTTTTTGATAAGTTGAATTGCCTCTTTTCAAAAGGCGTCCTGTGCAAACGAAAATAGATCTGCTACCAACGCCAAAACAAGCTTCCAATACAATATTTAATTTTAGTGTGCAAGTGTATGTCCCAACCTCTGGTGTACAATAATAAAGTTAATACCAGACATTTATTGAGGGCAGGCCTTGGCGCAACACTAATGTTGCTCCTCAGTCCTCAAGGTCATGGGTTCGAAACAGAATACGGACTATAGAGTCCCTGCTTCTGGAGGTGAGGTTGTGTACTTCTGGCCTTCCCCAGACCCTGCAATAACTGGAGGTCACACTTTCTTTTACCAGCCATTTACATATTCATGGGAAACATTTCTGAGGTCATTAGATGAACTAGAACAGGGTTTTTTACTGCAAAATCTCATATTTGTTCTTGTAGGTGACAGCTGTTAAAGTTGCATTGTCATCGGGCAGTCAAAATCAAAAGCTAGATTCAGTTATGGCAAAACCACTGAAGGATCAAGCTTTTGCTACACCAGATAAGGTTGCGGAACTTGTTCAGAAGGTGTGTTGCATAGATGAATTGCTTTTTGGTTGGACTAGTAAGAAGAATCCAGTGCATTCAGGGGCCATACGAAATTTTTGTAGTTCTGCCAAGTTTCATAGTATTTTGATGATGAATGAAATCTTGCGAATCAATCAAGCATTGTAGAAAATTTTAATTTGGGTTGATCTAATATTATACATCTCTGAAACAGGTCGGTGCTGCTATTCAGCAAGAGTTGCCAACAGTGATGGCGAAAATGAAACTTTACCTGCAGAATCCATCAACGCGGGCCATACTTTTCAAACCAATAAAGTAAGTTACTGATTTGCACTTGATACGTCCAATTTAAATTTCAGTGTACTTGAGGAGTTGATTGTTTTACCACGCAGTTAATTCAGAATATCTTTATTGATTGTTTAACATGACATGCCTTTGATTTCCTCTGCTTAATAACTGATGTAAAACTCTACTCAAGAATGCTTCATCCCCTTTTTTTATTGCAATTAACTTTTTTGCATGACTAGGATTTTTAAGTTGGCAAAAGTCAGCTGGAAAAGTTATAATCTATTATGCTATTTATTGTTCTGCAGGACTAATATCATCGAAGCCCATATTCAAGTGCAGTCTCTGCTAAAATCAGAGTACTCCCCTGAAGAGGTACAAAAAGTTATCAATATGGTTTCCATGCAGGATCTGCAGGCACAACTTGACAACCTCCTGTAGGGTGCTGGTGAAGCCCTTATTATTCCCTCATCTCCGGCCGTTGCGTTTCGTTTGTGGCATTCATTTAATTGAAGGGGCTTTAATTTTGTCAGTAGGAGTTGAAATATTTTAGTTTAGTAGTTTGTGAAAATTACAGGATGAATACTGCAAAAACAAAGTGAACCTCATATTTTGAGTTCTACATAAAAGATGGGGAAAAGAAAATTCATTGGGTAGTGTTTTAGAAATTCTGCAAGGAAGCAAATATTGAGTGCCCAAGAAAGATTTAATGTTTTTTATTCTACTAGTTTCTTTTTTGAAATTCATTCTTATTCATTGACAACATCAAAGTACATAATGATTTTGTAATTACTTGCTTAATCATATACTCTGTATATATGCCGAATACTTGGAAAGTTCCTTCACAAGACATGAGATGATATTCCTTGGATGAAATTAATCGCTGTGTACCCGAGTAATGTAGTTATCCATAGCTTAGCCAGGCTTTTAATCAGGAATGTGCGCATGAAGTTAATTATGTAATTTAAGAGGACCAGACTCGCAAAAGTATTAAATATGAAACAATGGTAGAATGTTTTATTGTTCCCCAGTGTATACTGTTTTTGCCTGTGCTATGTATTTTGTTTTCCTTGGTGGTTAACAGTTTTTTTTTAAGGTAAGAGTGATATATAGAAGCGGTAAAATTTACAAAACCCATTAGGGTCAAAATTTACAGAGCCCTTGCTCGAACAAAGCCCAATAAAGGGATAGGCCAAGATTAGAGACACTCAGTCCAAGCAAATCCAAAGCTTTCCAATATCAGTAGTTGTGGCAACGCAACTATTCCGGTGTGCATTGTTATGGTGCCATCGACAGTGTCAATGAGGTGGTGGTCGGATGAAGGAACTGGGCAGTTCCCATTCCACATCAATGTCTCTTGCATTAATTAATTGTGACTACACGCTTTGGTTTTGGTGGACACAATAATGGTAGGCAAACTAAGTGGAATGTCATCTTGTTAAAAAAAGTGAAGAAAAGATGTACCAACGCCTGTCAGAGGGCGTGAACGGGACTTAAAAGGAACGAGAAGGGGCATAGCAGCGATGTTTGGTTGAGGGCTCTTTCTTGTCTGTGACCTCGTATTGCTTTCTTTTGTGGTGGTTTCTTGGGCTTCTTCTTGCTTATTATTACCTACTACGCGGGTCCTCGCCTTTCCTCTTCCTCGTTCTACTTGCATTTCTTATTCATATAGCTTTTTATCACATGGATAAACTAGAGTCCAATAGAATCATCCAAGTCAATGAGCCAATGGCTCTGAAAGTAATATCATTCTCATGATTCATAAGGTAATTATGTTTTTAAATGTAAGATGATGTACACGGCTTGTACTCGGTATGCCTACCAAACGGTCAATTCATGATCACTTGACTCTCTCAAAATTATACCATATAACATCGCTCAATTAACATTTGAAGCTTTTTTTTCTTTTAACATTTTAACAATTTTAAAATTTATAACCGACACGAATTATTATCTTTTTATATATAATAATATACTAATTATTATTTTATTCACATATCATGCCGTGTAATTTATCATATCATGTATATTATCCATGTCCATAATACTTTCTAAATTAGGAGTGGAGTGCTGAATTCTAAAATCAAATGTAACAACTTCTAGATTGTCATATTCTTGTATCACGGTGAAAAGCAAATGAATTCTAGTTTTGGTTAAATCAATTATTGTCATTTTAAAAGTATTTATCGGATTGATCTACAATACGAGAAACACAATTAAGGCTTTATTTTTCAGTTAGTACCTGCTTCTGTTGAATCTGTACTAGCCTTGCCTATATATAACTATCAATCCTAGATTCCCATCCAAACAATATTTGACCTAGTTCTTAATCACGTCATAATCAAAATGGATCATATGAAGTCCGCATAATGCACATATATAATATGGTCCATGTGTCGTACTGTAACATGTGACATGCATGTCTGGAATCAGTTGAAGAAAGAAAAACATATATAATTGATATGATCTATTAAAATAACATTAGATGTTGATTTGTGAATTAAATGTTGAGAATCTAATGTATATATAGTCTTTTCCATATTAAGAGGAAAAGATTGTTTAATTGAAGATATATGCTAAAGTCTTCTCAATTGATGTAACAAATGATCAATATATCACCTTCGTAAAGTATGATTCTGTTGTGGTATTCTACTATTCTTTAAGTGGGAAGGCAAAGTGGTAGATGCAATTCTTTTTAATTGTTCAATTATATGTATATATATATAAGCTACGTAAACCCTCACTTGTCATTTGAAAATTAAATTTTTTTACCATAATTACGTAAAATGACAAGACTTGTCTACTCACCATAAATTATTTTTACTGACTATTGATATGTTTTAATTACAAATATACAAATAATTCATAATTATGAAATCAAGAAAGTAATGAATAAAGAAAAAACAGTACTTGTTTTTGCACCTCGAAGGAGGAAACTTCTTCACATCCTAGTTCTTAATATATAACACTGATAAAGAGACGTGCCATATAATAATATCTTAAAATTTTATTATCTATTTTAAATCTTAATATATATATATATATATAACTTTATATCACATTAGTGGTGTCAAAGATGTTTTCCATTATCATTGTATAGTTGTGGCCGGGTGTCTTGACTAGCATGGAAATTATTACATGGTCTAGTGTTATATGATTTTAGACAACTATAACACTGACATAAAGATAAATGTATCATTTTTATTCAAACACGTAAATAAATTATTATATGATCAGAGACTACATGATCTCAATTAATGCAACTCAATGTGTTAACGTCTTACCTGCCCTGAATAAATTATTATATGATCGGAGACTACATGATTTCAAATAATGCAACTCAACGTGTAACTAAATGTGTCAACGTCTTACCTGTCCTGAATAAATTATTATATGGTCGGAGACTACATGATCTCAAATAATGCAACTCAATTGTAACTAAATGTGTCAAGGTCTTACCTGCCCTGCCCACAGCTCTTGTGATGCCCGAGTGTCCTCACTTTTTGAATTTTCCTCATATAAGTTAGTCAACCAAACAATTATTCAGTTGAGACAGTTTAAAAAAAATATATTGAGGATTTGGCTAGTGTTGCAATAACTAATGGCCACATCACCCTTGTGTAGCAGGTGTCAGTTGATGGTTGGTCGGACCGAAAATCATGCTTCTCTGTGTCCCAACCTACCATCCAAAATGAAGAAATTCCTATGAACTTGCCAAACTTGCCATACGTTACAGGTGCTTAATTCAAGTCCCATTTGCACACAAAAGACCATACTACCCTAGAATGCTCAAACAGTACCATGAATTTATATATCAATGTGTGTGTATCTATATATAGCCCATTTGTATTCACAGTTCCTTGCAAAAAAGATAATCATTTTGTCTTACAAGTGAATTAAGATGAGCAACTTAGATTGTTCTGGTAAGCATTTGCAACATCATCCTAGTGGTCCATGTTTCAAACTAGTCTGTTTTTTCAGATCAACATGCTTTCTACTTTCATGTTTCTATCGTCACCTCCTTCGAATTAATCCATTTTCAATTCAAATTTGTTATTTTCTCTGTCTTTCCTTTCTCGGTTCTTGTGTTCTCAAGGTTTTGAAGCCAAGGACAGCCGATTCTTTTAGGCCTAGGAACATAGATTTGTTCTTCACTTCTGTGTCTGCAACCACCGTTTCGAGTATGTCCACCGTTGAAATGGAGGTTTTTTCCAACACCCAACTCATAGTTTTAACCATCTTGATGTTCATAGGTGGTGAGATCTTCACTTCCATGGTTGGACTTCATTTTTGGAGGTCCAAACATAGTAACTTATCAAAAAGTACCGAAAACAAAGTTGATTCCAATTTTCTTGATCATATTGATCCCGAGGTACCAAAATCCGAAGTTGAAGATTTTGATCACAATCAAACTGAGAATTTGAGGTATAATTCAATTAAATTTTTAGGGTTTGTAGTATTGGGTTATTTTCTAGTGATTCAAGTCCTCGGAGTCGTTTTCGTTCTAGTTTATCTAACCCTTGTTTCGAGTGCAAGAGATGTGCTAAGAAAAAAAGGTATCAAGATATTCACTTTCTCAGTCTTCACAATAGTGTCAACTTTTGCAAGTTGTGGCTTTGTCCCAACAAATGAGAGCATGATAGTCTTCAGCAAGAACTCGGGTTTGTTCTTAATTTTGATCCCTCAGATCCTTCTTGGCAACACATTGTATCCGTCGTGCTTGCGATTTTCGATATGGGTTTTGGGGAGGTTTTTTAAGAGGAAAGAGTTTGATTATTTGCTGAAGAAAACGAGGGAGATTGGTTATCTTCATTTGCTTCCTAGCTTGCATTCATCACTTTTGGTTGTCACTGTTTTTGGATTTATATTGATTCAGTTTGTGATGTTTTGCTCCTTGGAGTGGAATTCAGATGGCTTAAGTGGACTGAGTTCTTATGAGAGAGTGGTGGGTGTGTTGTTTGAAGTTGTGAATTCAAGACATACAGGTGAAACCATTGTTGATCTCTCTACTCTTGCCCCGGCCATCTTGGTGGTGTTCGTAGTAATGATGTTAGTTTCTCTTTCCTCTCTCTCTAGCTATATATACATATGTACGTATATAAACACATAGGCGGGTATAAATATTGAAAAGAAAATAATATGTAATCCGACTAATCCGATTATCTTGTGTATGTGGAGGCTGACTTTAATCTCCACTCATATAAAGACAGTCTGAGTAGGTGTGACGTCCGACTCTGACCGGCTTCCTAACTTGTGAAAAGAAACTTCCATATCATTATTCATATTGAAATAATACTAGTTCTAACGAGTAAAAAAAATCTGATATGTTATGATATCATAGAATTAAATTTTTATCTTCTTTTTTATTTGTGATTTTAAATTTTATAAAAGTACGCAAATCTTCTAATATTGTTAGAAAAATCTGATGTATCATGATATCATGATACATCAGTGATCACAAAACTAGTATTGTTTTAAATATTGTGGCAACCAGCTTATGATTTTTTCTTTTTCAAATTTAATTATGCTAATATATATATATATATATATATATATATATATATACACACACTTTTGTACTCTGCACTCTATTATCCTTTGAAAACACTATCACAATTCACAGTCTTCTAAAAAAGTACACTCGTCATTTTAGTTTTGGATGGTAAGTATGTCCTTAATTTTCTTTTCTGCTTTTTAAAAAAATAATAGAATATGCAAGAGTGTATATTAAGTCGGAGTATGAAATTATGAATATCACTTATCTATCCGTACACACACGTGAAGGCTTTCTTCAAGTGAGAGAAAGAACTTCAAGATCTAAGATTAAAATTTTTAAATACACAGTCCACGAAAGAGGCTTCAATTCAGAAACCCAAAAGGGCAAACTATTTTTGACAAATAAAATAATTAATTGAATCTCTCTACATCACATTCTTTTATATACAAAGTTTTTTGCTTTATCTATACAATCATTCCTACCTACCCAAAAAATATTACTAATAAAATGAAATAATTAAACAATAAAAAATCATAGGAGCTTTTGAGAGGAAAAAAAAAAAAATCTAATCCGGAATTAATCAAACTAGTAGCAACCTTTACGTCACTCGCTAGCTTCCTAAAAAACCTAATTAAGGTTTTACTTCACATGTCTGTGCATCATGTATTTGACATTGCTTGTCTTTTCAATTACTAGCATAAAATATTCAATTATTGGCTTGGGAAATAGATTTAAAATAACGCATTATTGCCCCAAGTTTTATATATATATAGTTAAAAGATACTATACATTGTGGATGTTCCTAAATTCCTAATCAGGTTTTGTTAAAAAAAAATGTGACATTATCCTAGATTTTGTTAAAAAAATGAGGTATTATTCTAGGATTTAGTAATATATATATATATTCTAAGTGTGTCAATGTATACTAGGAAACCACGTCAATCCTAAGGAAAATTCCAAAATTGTTTGATTCTCATAGGACTCATCTCACAGTCCAAACCTGTGTGACAATTTTCAGTTTCGTAAGTTAGGTACGGGTGTTATATAGCCCATTTTAACTAATAATATATGAAAGACCAAATCATTATCCATGTCATATACTGTACATACACACACACAAAATAAACTTATGAATTATAAGGATTGATGTCCTCATTTAACAGTATTAATTTATATATCTAATTATTGTTGGTGTACGTCTTAAAATCATATATAAATATTGCTAAATGCTCTTAATTACCTCTTAAAGAATGATCAATCATTCAAATAAACTACACTGGTCAAAGTCAATCCATATCAAACCAACAAATGGGTGCATGTTATTACTAGAACTCTTTGAATTAACCCATTGGTAAGTACTAAATATGTTACTAGAACTAATTAATGAACTTAATTTACCAGAGAAAATAATTTTTAGTCTGAGGAATTAATTTATATATTTGAGTGAAAATGGTGGTGCATGTCAAAAATTAATAATTTATATATCAACTTTTTTGGATTACAGGTACCTTCCACCATATACTTCATTCCTACCAATAAAAGAAGGTAGTGGACAGAATCCACAAGAGGGTGAAGGGAAAGAGAAAGGAAAGGGAAAGGGAAAGGTTGTGGAGAATCTAATATTCTCACAGCTTTCTTATCTGGCCATCTTTATTGTTCTCATTTGCATCACAGAAAGGAAAAACATGAAGGAAGATCCCCTCAATTTCAACGTCCTCAATATTGTGGTAGAAGTCATCAGGTAATAATTACACGCATCTTGAATTTTCTGCTCTCTTTTTTTATTGGGAGTTTCGGACACGTAGCTTTTCATATATATATATATACATATATATACACACACACACATGTACTTGTACTTATACTGTAATGATCTTTTTACTCCATAAAATTTACCCACACCATGTTATTTTTTTTGGTTACTACTGATTTTAAACTTGAATTGTATTCAATAATCATCATGTTTGGTTACCACTCACTTCAAAAGTTCTCCCCCATCAATATATATATGGGTGCGCCTGGCATGTAACATGGTTCCCACCACCACCACCTACTTTTATTTCAATAACATCCAATGCCAAACCCTAACCTAGGAATTGGATTTTTTTTCCTAGGTTAGGGTTTTGCAGTTCTTTATTAATTAGTCATTATATTGTTTCGGATATGAATTGATTCAGTGGTCTCACAACCTTTTTTTTTTTTTTTTTTTTCTTTTCGAAAATTAAAAAAAGTAATCGAACTTGTCAATTTCATTTTGCAGTGCATATGGAAATGTAGGTTTTTCAACTGGCTACAGTTGTGACCGGCAAGTAAAACCGGATGGTAATTGCACGAACAAATGGTTCGGATTCGCAGGGAAATGGAGCGACGAGGGGAAAATAATCCTCATTGCTGTCATGTTTTTTGGAAGACTTAAGAAATTTAACATGAATGGAGGTAAAGCATGGAAGCTCCTGTAAAAAAAAAAAAAAAAAAAAAAAATGGCCGGCACCAACATGACCTCCAGAAGAAGCTGTTCTGTTCTTGCATTACTTCATCAGTAGCAGGAAAAAGGAAATATACGTGCTATGTGTATATATATATATATATGTCTATCCAATTTCCTTGTAAGCTTCAAAGATGCAATTACAAAAATGGATGTCTTTTTTCACACCAACGGTCAACATAATTATAATTAGGTCATCAGCAATAATACAAGTAGCAATCTCATCAGTGTTGTGAGCACCCACAGTCCACCATAGTGGTGGAGGTCCGCAACTCTTGTGAGACATGCTCATCACTTTTTGAATTATTCTTTGTTAATCAAAAAGTGCCACCTACTCATTTAGCACTATTTCCTCCCCTTCTAAAGTACCATAGATATGTTTAGAGAGTCTCAACCAATCACATTAAACACATAAGCAAAAAGTTGAAAAAAAGACCTTATATATTTTCAACTCAAATATTGATCCCTAAATTATTTAATAACTTCTCGAGATCGAGAGTTCACGTAACATAAGTACAAAGTCCGTGAATTATAAATAGATAAAAGTCAAGGGTACTGTCTCAAATAGATAAGACTAGTTGTTATGAAGCAAGCTAATTAACGTTATATATATATTTTCACAGCCTTTCAAAAGTCTAATTACAATTTTTTTTTCTAATTTTTCGGAGTATAGAATCAAGAAATTTACGCATATCACTTTTAAGTTTTTTGTTTACAGATTGCTCTCTTTTGAATAATTTATCTTGAATTTGTTTAGGAGTGAATTATTTAAAAAAAATTATACATAGCACCCCTAATTGGAAAGTTTAAAAAGCCCACTAACTTTAAGCTCTGAGCAGTACTGGAAATGGGCCTATGAGCATGAATATGTTGGGCTCCACATGTGTGGCACCAACAACTCTTTATTGCAAATCTTGACCACAAAAATAGCATTAGCACATATATATATAACAGTTCACTTCAACATTGTCCACGGCCAAACAAGACCAGACTTGGGTTAAACGAACTGGGCCTTTGCTAATATCAAAGCTTTAGTAGAGGCACCAAGACAGCAAAAAGGGCCCAAGTTTATGATATATATATATATTCTATATAAACTATATAATTTTTAACTTCAATACATAATTTGTAAAAAAGAAAAGAAAGAAAGTAATGAACTAAAATAGCATGATAGGGTAAACTATATGAGTGGTTTTTTTAGATGATAAATGATAAAGACAATAATGCAACTATATAATCTTGTAGCTTACCCATTCAACTAAAAAAAACTATATAATCTTGTCCCAGCTTTTATTTTTGTTTTAAAGTAAGTAAAGAAGTCGAGTCTCTCTCTCTCTCTCTCTCACGTCCATGGTTAATAGTCTCTATCTCTCTCTCTTTAGTAATATTTTTTTGCTATGAATATTGTAAAAATCAATTGCACAATCTAATGAATTTAGTAATTATATAATTAAAGATATAATATATATAATTATTCTACTGTTCGGATTTCAATTCCAAAGTTTGGAACTGAAATTAGAACCAGAATTTAGCGAGTTTTAAAATTTAGCGAGTTTTAAAATTTAAAACCGAACTGAACTGGTTATTTGTGCACCCCTTACCTGGTGGGGATATTTATGATCACATAATGGAAACTCGGGATAAATATGTAATTACATTTTAAATAGGATACCCTCTGCGATTTTATAAACATAGGGGGTTTGAAAAGGAAAACAATGGGAAAGGCGGTATTAACCGTATTATATGTACCTGCAAAGTGCAATCCAATTCCTTTTCAGCAGACACAAGATTCACCATATAGTAGAGAGGAGAGAGAAGAAGCAGAGGCGAAGAATCACGGCGCGAGGCCTATCGTTCAGGTATTTTTCCTCTTGAAGTCTTAGGGTTAGGGTTTCTTTTTCCCTCTTCTTTTTCTTTTCTCCTCTCTCCGCAATTTAGGGTTAGGGTTTCCCTCTTTACTCTTCAAGTTTTAGGGATAGTTGTTTCTCTTGTTTTGTTGAGAAATATTTGCTGTAGATTTGCGTATACATATACTCCGTAGGTCGTACCCACACACATACACACACTTAAACAAAATTTTGTTTGCCTTTCTCCTCAGTCCTCCCTATTGAATTATGAAGTGTTTGAATTTCTTTTAGTGAAAATAAATCCTACTGTTGTAACAGTGATTGAACATGGAGAGAGATATTCCAAAAAAAAAATGTTTTCTTCCCCTTAATTACATTATCCCTGTAGTTTAAGTATGAATTCTGTATATTCAAACGAGATGATTATTATTATCAACAAGAACACACTTAGAATAGCACAATCTCCGAATAATTACTTTTATCCCATCCTTCTCTGCTGTAACAATACTTAATTGCCAACTTCTTATACGTTATGTAATTACCTTTTTAATTTCAAACAAATCCGTAATTACATCCGTTAAGATAAATTAATCACATCTTACACATTACAATGTATGATTAATATTTTTTATTGTCATATCCTTACTCTATCCTTAACCCCTTTTTTTTCTTTTTATTTTTTATTTTTTTGAGATTTGTGCAATTGCCGTATCCTTCATCCTGTATTAGAGTTTCTTCGTTCTACCAATTAATCGTAATATCTTAAAATTTCAATTTTCTAGTGTTCTTATGGAACAACTTGCTTTGATGTGGTGAATCTTGTGCTGCACTTCATGTATTTGATGCAATTTCTTATTCTTTTTATTTTTATTATTATTATTATTATTATTATAATTTTTTTTTTAAGTATTGTTTGATGCCATTTTCACAAGGCTTTTTCACGAATTCAGATGTGATATGCTAAACTTGGACTCAAAAAATATTTTGCATGCTTATCTTTAAGCCTGAGATATGCAAGTCCTGATTGTGACTGCTCTCTCTTCATTCCTATATCTATATGTGTGAATTTGTTGTGTCTTTGATGTCCATGTAAGTTAAGTGACTAATTTAATATGTTTTTGTCAATGTCAGGTCAGTGATTTGGAACTTATCAACAAGTTGTGAAATACACAGTTAAGGCAGAGGCAGAAACATGGACAAGGAAAAAAACAAGCTTGTTGACATTTATGGATCAAAAGCGATACGTGTTGAGAGGACAGATGAATATGGACGGATTGTAAGTACTTTTTTTCATGAAGCAGTCACTTCCAACTTATGGTTTAGCATTATAGTTCTGTTATGTTCCATGAAATGGTTTAATTTTTTGCACGTAGTAAATGGGAGTTGGCACCTCTCTTTCAGCTGATGCCGTGATATGAAATTTATAGTGAAAACTTTATCTGATCAATCATATATCTCACTGCATGGAGACAGTCTATAGTTCCTGAGACAGTCTATTGACCTGGTGCTTACCTATATCCTGTAGTGAATGTTGGGACTCAGGGGGACAGTTATAGCCTATTTATTGACTTCTTACATATAATCCGCTTGGGCTTGTAGCCAGTCTGCCCTAAAGAGAGCATGCTGGTCTAAATTCTGATTGACCCTTAAAACTTGAAGAAACAAATATAAAACACTATCAGCAAATTGAGATAAAATAAAGTTCAAATAGTATTGTTTCATTAAAAAACTTGATACATAAAGCATAGAATAGGATTTGTTTAATTAAAAAACTTGATACATAAGGTCTTGAGCACACTCCATATGAAATTCTGAAACTTTTTATTCTTAGTTGATACTTACACACACATGCCTCCACTGAGGCTTGAACCTAGGACCTCCCTTTGGAAAGTAAAGGCCTGATACCGCTAGGCCACTGGCCGTTGGTGAAATTCTGAATTTGCTGCTCTTGTTTTCATGTTCTACTTCATTCTTCACTCTTCAGCATTAGAGAAAGATTAGCCTCTAACTTTTGTTGTATTGTAGTTTAAGAAACCACAAGCATCATCAATTTTTTGGGGCATGGAATCATCTAGACGATTTAAATGTATTGTTTCATAAGTAACACTGACAATACCGAGAAGTCCATGTTTACATTCATTTTATTCAGTCTAATTGAAGGATGAAATCAATGGTTAGGGTGATTTGCAAAAAACGATCATTCTTAGTATGTTAAGGAAGAAAAAATTCAATCTCTTCCTTTGCTTTGACTTCCTCAAGCTTAAAATCATGATCCTCTCTCCCCTTCCTGTTTTTATCAATTTGCTTAACTGTTTCTAACATTTTTTTCTTCCATATCCCTGTTTCTCTTTATATTCAATAGGATATGACATCAAAATCGAAGTTAGACAGTATTTAGAGGATTCTATTTGTTGAATATTTTTTCTTCAGCAAGATTCTTACCTAGAAGAACTACTGCAGTAGCTTCCAATGCAAAGTCATAGATGTTCCACCTTTTTTTTAATATAAAGTCATTCTATTTAACCAATTATTTATCCGTCCTTTTGCTCCTGTTTTATCTCTTTTGACTTCAAATTTAATTCAAACTTAACCGCTATTGTGAAATTGTTTGAATGTATCAAACAACTGGAGTGAAGAAAGATCCTTTAACTCCGATACCTAAATGATGCAAGATAGTACTGGGAAGCTTAGATTAGTGCATTCTAGTATTGATTTTATGATGCACCTTTTTATTCTTACTAGGACTGATTTTTTTAAGGAATTGAAACTTATATTCTGACCATTTAGAATATTCTAGACCTACTAATGACTCCATTTTAAGACCGAATAACATAAGCTACGGATCAAAACTGGAGGCCATACCTGGTTAATATTAAAACTATTTGAATAGGCCTGATTCTTTAAATTTAAGAACAAATATAAAACTATATAACTATGGTAATTTAACCTAAACAAATAGAGGGTTTAAGATGGGATCACAGCCTAAGTCGCATAGAGTGGGAGTGGGAGTGGGTGCAAGAGCAAAGAAAGCATCAAACTTTAAAATGACTGGAGCATGGGAGCATCTGTATATTTTATGCACACAATCGCACGCATAAGTGTTTGAGCAAATTAATTGATTATACATCGTTTTTTTTTTTTTTTCCAATTTTTAATAATATGTTCAGAAGAGGCTAGGGGAAGATTTAGAGAGATGAATAAGGATAATTTATATAAAGTTTTAGTAATCTTACTATAATAGTTAAATAAAGGGTTCTAACTATTTATTAAATAAAGTATGAAGCATTGTTCTTAGTATAATTATTGGAATGTTCAACTCGGCCGAGTGGCCCAAGTCATAATGAGTTTTAAAATGCTAAAAAGAACATGAACTATGCATTGATTCATTTTAAAACTTCATCACTCAAGGTCTATTAACTCTGTTTGCTCCTCCTCTTCACATACTAGATCGTTGTGGTTAAAAAAAAAAATTGGTTACAGGATAGTTTAAAAATGCTTGTTTTAGGCTTTTGTGATGGTACATTAAACTGAAACATGAGGATGATAGGTCATATTGGAGTGCATCTTAAGAGGTGCATCGTAAAATCTGTTTGAAATTTGATTACATTTTTAAAGTCATAGTTAGGACGCGACTACAATGGAGCTCATTAAAGAGCCATCCCCTCGTTGCAAATCTGTCTAAAGTGTGATCCGTGTAATCTCATGCTAAATATGTTTCTTTATATGCATTAAAGCATGAATTTTAAAAAAATTTATGCTAATGGAAATTGTTGTCCTATTTATTGGAAATTTGGAATACGTACTATAGTGCTTCTGATTTCTATAAAATATCTATTATACTAGTGGCAGAATCTCTTGACGAAGACATAAAAATATGGTAGCAAGTTGCTGATCTTCATAACTTTGCTTAATATGAATTCTGGTGTTAGATATGTGTACAAGGCGTTCAACTTGACAATTCTTTAGTTGGGGAATAAAGGCAAGAAATGGTGACCTCAAAAACCTGAAATGTGTTACTTCCATGTCAATACATACTGATCCGTGTATGTCGAAGTGCCTATATTGCCAAAAGTCCAAAATAGGATTTTTTTTTTTTTTTTTATAGAATTGTTATGACCTTCAAACTCAATGGTGGCTAAAATTTTGGGACCCTCGATTGCTTAATTGGTTGCATCTATGGTGTCACTCTTGTTCTGTGCGTTTTACTAATATTGTTGTTTTCAATTGTTGTAGTTGAGCATTATCTTACTGTTAATTTGGTTATTTGCTTGTCCTCCACCACTTAATGTTGATAGAAATTCTTTCCTTGTGTTTACCAGTTGAGTACGAAGGAAGCCTTTCGGTTGCTTTCCCATAAAACTCCATGGGACCTGGCAAAATGAAACAAGAAAAGCGCATGCCGGAATACTAGGTGGAGCAGAAGGTAAAGCAAATGAAGAATGCTCTGATACACCGTCGATGTCTGTGGAGAGGACTCAAGCTTGATTATAGGCATCAAAATGACCTCAGAAGAAGCATTAATGCTTGAGGGCTTTTCTGTTCTAGCAGTACTTTTTTTTTCTTCTTCGTTCTAGTAGTACTTCAATAGGAGGAAAAAGGAAATATATGTGGTATGTATATATGCCTATGCAAAGATTCAATTACAAATATGGATGTCTTTTCACACCAACACATTATTTGGCCATTGGAAAACATGCATCCAAAACGATATATGGAAATTGATTTTACACAAATTGCCCACTGGGGGCCTCGAACTCCTCACAATGAGGGATTGGTGGTCAAAAGAATATATTTTTTTTTTTGGTGATATTAGGGGAAGTGATAAATTTTTGTACTTGGACAAATATATAAAGATCATTTATATCGGTGAATCTGATCAATGGACATGATGAGATGGTTAAATTTCTCTAATTGTATACTCATGCTTATGACTTGCACAATATAAATTTGTGGTAAAATCATATAACCCCCTCTACAACATATACGTCACTGAAACACAGATCTGGCTCTCTGTGAAATTCTTCAACAATTTCAGCCGGAAAAACAGATCTTTGTTTCAAATCAATCAAGAAGCTCTGTAATCCTCTCAATGCTCTCAACTCCGCTGAATGTCACCACAAACACTTCTTATCCGGCGATTGCTGCCATACCCAAAATAATTGACTCCACTCCAATGACGAACTCGCCGGGAAACCCAAATGGGTCTCTGAAATTCAGTATTCTTGAGTCACGTCGTAAGGTTTCATTTGGGCACTAAATTTTAATGGTTGAATTTTGGTTATATGTGGTCAATAAGTCTCAAATTCAGATATCTGAAGTGAAATTGAAGGGCTTAGAATAAAACAATTTTGAATCATAAGTTATGGGGAAGTCAAATGAAGGGAAGCACGTTGGAGCTACTTTGTTCAACTTAGGATTTACACTGTATTTAGTCTTCTATAATTTAATTTCCAACTTTGAATGCAAGTCATATCACAAAATCACTGTTAGTGCAATGGAATTTGGCAATTAGACTAATTCTTGCCCATACACTTTCATATCTTTGAGGTTGTTCGGGTCAAGCTCTAGCGAAGATGAAAAAGACTGCCCGCAATTGCACTTAGGCGAGTGTTTTAGTAAAAATGCTATTTTTGTAATTTTAAAAGTATAATCATCAGTTTTTAATTTAATATTAGATTATAAGGTTAATTTTGTTATTTCACAACCCAATAAACAGATCCGTCACAAATATGGGATAACAATATGATAGTAGAAGGGTGTTATATGATTTTACCTTTATAAATTTCCAAAATTCTCATATAAAGTTGAATTGGAAATATGATTGCTAGTTTTGCAGCTTTTGTTTATGGTGATTAATTTTTATTTTTCATAAGCGTGTATGGTGATGAATGAGTAATATGAATTTATAACATTGTTGACAATGTATTAGGCAACGCAATATTCATGGAATTTGCGAGGTCAGATAAATTTGGCAAGTCATCTGATAAGAAAACAAAACCAAATAGTTGGTTCAAGATTATCAAATGGATGAGACTTACCTATATATGAAAATAATAATAATTTGAACAAGACAAAAAAAAAAAGAAAAAAAGAAAGAAAAAGAAAAAGGAGTTTCTTATCCCCTTGATAATTAAAAGGGAAAAGAAAAGAAAAAATGTATTTTTTTTTCATTAATCAAGGGATCATGAGAATTAAGGCTCCTTTGGTTATATGGAAATTTTAAGAAAATAAATAAAATGAATTTGTTTTGAACAATTTACAAGTTTGGTTAGCATGAAAAAAGAGAAATTTGTGGAAAATTTATTTTCTATAACCCCCACCTAACTTTTTCAAAAAAATTTTTAACGAACATCATAATTTTTTTTTTTTTTTTATTTCTTGAGAAAGTTTTATCATTATTTTATGGTAACTTTCATTATATTCGAATCATAAAACATAATTTTATTTGAAATTTTTTCTAGCTAAACAAATTCACTTTCATTATATTCGAATCATAAAACATAATTTTATTTGAAATTTTTTCTAGCTAAACAAATTCACATGAAAAGTTTATTTTCTTCTTACTCATTTCACACTTTTTTTTTCTTTTTTTTTTTTCAGTTTTACTTTCCATTGTTAATTTTCTGCAGCTATGATGTCATCCGAACTAGGTTGGATGTTTAAATTCGGCAATGAATCACATTCGATGGATATTATATGGTACAAAAAGGCATGGTTCCATCCATCGTACCTATCAGGCACAGAATACGAATGAACACGTAATAGAAATTCGGGGTTAAATATGTAATTACGTTTTAAATAGGGTATCCTCTGCTATTTAAAAAAAAAAACCGAATTAAAAAAGGAAAACAAAGGGGCGATACTTACATGTATCTAGAAAATTTTATATACAGCACAGGAAAGGGGAAGAGAGAAGAGGAAGAAGAAACTAAGAATCACGGCGCGAGGCCTATTGTTCAGGTATTTTTCCTCTTCAAGTCTTAGGTTAGGGTTTATTCTCCCTCCTCTTGTTCTTTTCTCGTCTCTCCTCAATTTAGGGTTAGGGTTTCTCTCTCTACTCTGGTTAGTTTTTTTCGTTTTGTTGAGAAATCTTTGTTGTAGATTTGCATCACTCGTGTTTATACATGTGTGTTGTACGAATCGTACCAAAACAAATACGCACACGTTAACAATTTTTTGCTGCCAGTGATTGACCATGGAGAGATTTTCCAAAAAATTCTGTTTTCTTCCACTTAATTATATTATCCCTGTAGTTTGTAACCTGTGTATCTCACTTGTAAGTGCAACTATAAACTCTGTATATAGAAAAAAAATATTATGAATATATCATCACTCGAGATGAATATTATTAGCAACAAGATCACACTTAGCAAAGCACAATGTCCGAATAATTCCTTGTTATCCATTGTTGCTTCTCTGCTGTAACTATACTTAATTGCTTGAATGATGAAATTAACTTCTTATGTGTTATGTAATTGCCTTTTTAATTTCTAACAAATCCATAATTACATCCGTTAAGATAAATTAATTACATCTTATATATAACAATGTATTATTATTTTTATTGTCATATCCTTACTATATCCTTAATCTCTCTTTTTTTTTTTAGATTTGTGCAATTGCCGTATCCTTTATCCTGCGTGTTCTACTAAGTAATCTTAATATGCTAATGCAGCGGGGACGCAAGATTTGGGATTGTAATTTCTTACTTTTCCTACATTCTCTTTATAGACAAATGAGCATTATCTTAACCTTTCGGTTTTATAGCGTTCTTATGGAACTCTGTGCTTTGATGTGGTGAATCTTGTGTTTCATGTGTTTGATGCATTTTCACACGGTTTTTTCACGAATTCAGATGTGATATGCTAAACTTAGACTCCAAAAATCTTTCGCATGCTTATCTTTAAGCCTGATAAATGCAAGTCTTGATTGTGACTGTTCTCTTTCTTCTTTCCTATGTCTTTATCTACATGTGCGAATTAGTTGTGTCTTTGATGTCCATGTCAGTTAAGTGACTAATTTTATATGTTTTTGTCAATGTCAGGTTAGTGAGTTGGAACTTATCAATAAGCTGTTAAATACACAGTTGAGGCAGAGTTTAAAGCTAGTGCATGCATAGTTTCCTTTAAAGTGCACACTTGCTGTAGTTGCAATGAACATGGAATGGACTGAATCAAGGCGTGAAAGAAGTACTGAAATGAGGGATCAGGATGACTCTCCAGTGAGAGGAAGGTGGAAAGGAGGATACGATGATTTAGAAGAAGATGACATAGAGAAATCAAGAGAGTCAGGCAAACATCGGAGCAAGGATAGGAGTAAGAGTAGTCGAAGAGAAGAGAAGGATCATAGAAGTAAAGACCGAGAGCGGTCGAAGACTAACGATATTCCAAAAGATAGAGAGAAAGAGACTAAAGATATGGAAAAAGATCGATTATACAGTAGAGACAAGAGGAAGGATGATAGAGAAGATCGTGAAAAGGATAGGGTGGGAGACAAGGTGAGGGAGAAAGAATATGATTTTGACAAGTACAGAGATAAAGAGGGTGAAAGAGTAAAAGATCGTAGAGATCGAGGGAAGGAAAAAGATCATGAGAGGGATAGAGAGACAGATAAGGATAGTGAGCGAGGACGTGACAAGGAAAGGGGAAAAGAGAAGAGTAAGGGTAGGGATAAAGAAAGAGAAAAGGAAAAAGACAGGTCAAAGGACAGAGAAAGGGAGAAGGAGAGAGAAAAACATAAAGACAGAGAGAAGGAAAAGGCAAATGATAAGGATAGAGACAGAGATGCACTTGAGAGAGAGAAGGGAAAAGAGAGAATTAGAGAGAAGGATAGGAAGGCAGATCAGGATAAAGAGAAAGCAAGAGAAAGAGATAAAGTGAGTCAAAAACACCAGGATGAGGGTCATGATAGGATCAAGGATTTGGGGAAGGACAATAAGGGGATGTTGGTTGATGGAGGAAGTCATGATAGGGAAGTAATGAAGCACGGGAAGGTTTATCGAAATGACGATGCTGATTTTAGGACCATCAGGCATGAACCAGATACTGAGGTTGAGTCAGGTGGATCACACAAATCAGCATTTGAGCTCAAGGATCGCATTTCAAAGTAAGTGAATCAATTCTTCTTGCCATGTTTTTCTTATGCTGATGATTTGTTTACTTGATATTGTCAGTTCCCTTACAACTTTTTCGAGTCATGACCTCTATAATCTTGTTCAATATGTTTAGAAGTTTTATTTTAATTTGTTAAAGATCATAATGCATAACCAGAACGGGAAGACTTCTCGTTGAAAATATGTTATTGAAGTTTTTTCTTTATCAAAATTAGAGAATGCAAGTTGGTGTTAAAATTCCCATGCATTGATGCAATAGCCATCAAATGATTATGTTGCTATGGGAAAAGAGATCAATGTATGGAGGTCATTCCCACGTAAACAACAAAATATGGCTTTTGCATACGTCATTCTTCTTGTTGCTTCCATTTTGAGGCCCCAAAATTGTGAATGGGTGGAAAAATAAAGTGCCTTTGCCTCCTAGTCTGGTTGCAAACCTAGGATATATAGATTACATAATCTATAAAAGGAATATTAATTGTTTTAGGATTTTCTTGTATCAGAAGGGAAGGTAAATGATAGTGATTTTGTTACTTGTTTTTGCATTGTTTTTTAATGTATGGTCAATTGATAGAGTTCTCTCCTGGAATCTTATATAGCTTATAGGTAAAAAAAAGCAAATTCAAAGGAGTGATGTCTACTTTAAATGGTCAAATCTTTGTAGTTCTAAATGGTGGGATTTTTTTCTATTAATTTTATTTCACTATATTTGATACCTTCCTTTCAATTTTTTCGCATTAAGTTATGTTCTTGCTACACAACTAAAAGGTGGCTCTGGTCTTAGCATTGAGCTTCCATCTTTGAGATGTGTTAGCTTGTTGAGTTCACATCATGATATCTAACTAAAAATTTACTTCGAGAATTTACTTTCCTCTTGAGACTTGAAGTTCTTTGCACATAAATTGTCCTCTTTTAAAGTTAAAGTACCTGTTTCATTGCATGGATTGTCTAAGGTTCTCAATTTTTTACCTCATAACCTTAATCAAGCTTGCTTATATCTGTTTATCTATATTCTGTTTTCTTTTAATACATAAAATCTTATCTAGTAGCATCTGAAACCAGGGTGCACTAATTTACCTCGATTCTAGTAACAGTATCTATTCATTATATAGCTGGTCTTGTAATTTCTTTTATGGAGTGCTGTTTGTTGGAACCTCTGGCTCCTTACTTGATAACGGAGTTTTTAAGTGCCTGTAGTATGGTTTATGGATGATACACCCATGTCCTTGATCGGCAATACTAGTATATATGTACATGCATTTTCGCAAATTATTTCTGCTTTGAAATACCTTTTAAATGACCATCTTTTTTCAGGCTTGATGCCATCTTGAAGTGACTTTTAACTGGAAGTAAATTATTGATCTAGTCTATAATTAGCATTTAGCAGAAGTGTTGATTACGTATCTGGAATGATTTCGGGATGTCCTTATTTTCTTAGGTTTTATCCATAGTTTTATACAATATAAATGAGAAAAAACTGATTAAGATGGTTTGGCCTTGTGAAATGCGAGCACCAGTTCAAGAAAGTGATGTGTGGTGCTTATTAAGGTTAATGGTAGAAGACTAAAACTAACATGGGTTGAGTTAGTTAGGAAAAATATAGATAGTATGGGATCAAACTGAGTTTGATATTAGATAAAGTGTATTGGTGAAGCGGGATTTATGTAGCTGACTGCAAAAAGTTAGAAAGGCTTTGTTGAGTTGCATTTTTATTGTATTTCATTTGATACAAAAATGGATGTAAAAGGACATTCCTTCATTTTCATGTATATTTCTTTATAAATTAGTATGGCAATTTTCATTTTTTTTTCTTCTGGATAATGGAATGCTGTCATGACATAAATCTTCTGAGATTCTTCTTTGTGAAAAGAGATTAATGTTTTTGCCTATAGACCCCTTATTTTCATATTTATTTAGGATTTAAGTAATGAAAATGATTTTTTTTTTTTTTTTTTTTCTCAGGATGAAGGAAGAAAGACTAAAGAAAAAACCTGATGCCGTTTCTTCTGATGGCGTTTCTGAGGTTCTATCATGGGTTAGTAAGAGCCGGAAGCTTGAGGAGAAAAAGAAATCTGAAAAGGAGAAAGCCATGCAGCTTTCAAAGATCTTCGAGGAGCAGGTTAGTAGGTGTTCATTGTGCTTGACATTTCTCTTTGAGGATATTACTTAACTTGTGTGAAGTGGATGATCGTTTTTATGCATGAATTACTCAGGACAATATCAATCAAGGAGAAACTGAAGACGAGGCGGCAGCCCAGCATACTTTTCGTATGGCTCTTTTTTACTCTCTTTTTTCCATAACTAATTGTTATATCAATTGATTTGGCCACTTCAGGGCAGCTGGACATCACATGGAACTTGACTTAGTGCGTTATGCATTGCATGACACCTGAGTGCACAAGTTGATGCTGTAACACTGAGGTGTTATGCTAATACCAAAATAAATAGAAGTGAAGTCTTTATTTTTCTAATTCAGACGTATGACTTTATTCATTCATACTCTACTCAACTCAACAAAGCCTCCCAACATGACTACAATCATATCTAATCCAATGTAAAACAACAGTCCTATTTCCTTGATACATCTAAAAACCAAATTGAAGAACATATTTTTATATCAGCAAAAACGTATTTTGGTGGGAGTTCCATTATTATTAACGATATGAACCTTCCTTTTATTTGCCCTACCATGTAACATTCTGGAATCTTTGTCAGGGGATAAGCTAGTGGTTAATTTAATGTCCGTGTAGTATCCTTCCTTTTATATATGTATATTCTATATTTTATAATTTTTTTATAGCAATTTAGATGTTCGTGGAAGTATGGGATTTTGTTTTAAGAAGATCTGTGAATCTTTAATTATATATATAAAAAAGGACCTGTGAATCATCGAACCAGTTTGATCTCACCATTGTTTGAACATATAGAAGACCTAGGTGGGTTAAAGTACTCCATGGGCTTGATAAAGTAGTCGAAGGTGGAGCAGTTGAAGAATATATATTTATATCAGAGTATATATTTATTTTGGTGGGAATTTCATTATCATTCTTTGCATTGTTTCCACCAATATAATGTTCTGGAATCTGTGTCATGTGGTTAATGATGTTTTCATGACATATTTTTCCTTAGTTAAATGACTGTTCTGTATTTTATATTTTGATTTTAACTCTGCAGTTTCCAGTCCAAGTATGCAAATTTGTTTTAAGGGAGATCTGTGAATCATCTAACCTGTTTGATCTCACTTTTATTTGAAAATACAGAAGACCTAGCTGGGGTTAAAGTACTTCATGGGCTTGATAAAGTAGTCGAAGGTGGAGCAGTTGTTTTGACACTAAAAGATCAGAGCATTCTAGCCGATGGTGACATCAACGAAGGTTTAACTATGTCGTTTTCATTGTTTCTTATCTTGCGCTTAATTTTTCTCTTTTGGGTTTTTTATGCTGGGTTCATATTTCTTAAGCTGATGTTATATCTATATCAGAGGTTGATATGCTTGAAAACGTGGAAATTGGAGAGCAAAAGCGTAGAAATGAGGCTTATAGGGCTGCAAAGAAGAAAACAGGAATTTATGACGACAAGTAAGACTAACATTATTGTCAATATGATATCTCATAAATGATCTCATACATGCACTTTGGACAAGCTAATCATAAGTCCTTATCTTCCTGCTTATCTAGGTTTAATGACGAGCCTGGTTCGGAAAAGAAACTACTTCCACAATATGATGATCCGGTTGTGGATGAGGTTAGATTTTGTCTTTTTTATATCTAGAAATTATGTGTTTTGTAGTTGAAGAGTTTGTATGCTTAAATGATACAAAAAAAAAAATTTCCCAGGGAGTAACTCTGGATTCGAGTGGTCGTTTTACTGGCGAAGCAGAGAAGAAACTGGAGGAGGTAACTCATTCTTGATGTTGTTGTTGTATTTTGTGAATGTCAGCAAGGAAAATAGTTGGCCTTATATTTCTAACATAAGTGCATGTTCCTTCTGCCAGCTCCGACGAAGGATACAGGGTGTTCCCACAAACAATCAATTTGAAGATCTGAACTCAACTGGGAAGATTTCATCAGACTACTATACTCATGAAGAAATGGTTCAGTTTAAAAAGCCCAAGAAGAAGAAATCATTGAGGAAAAAAGAGAAACTGGATATAAATGCCCTTGAATCAGAAGCTGTCTCTGCTGGGTTGGGTGTTGGCGATCTCGGTTCTCGAAATGATGGGAAGAGGCAGGCCCTTAAAGAGGAACAAGAGAGATCTGAGGCTGAGATGAGAAGTAATGCATACAGATCAGCATATATTAAAGCTGATGAGGCATCTAAATCACTCCGATTGGAGCAAACTCTTACCATTCAAGATGAGGGAGATGATAATCAAGTTTTTGGTGATGATGATGAGGATCTCCGTAAGTCATTAGAAAGAGCAAGGAAATTAGCTTTTGAAAGGCAGAATGAGGTAACGACATCTGGTCCTCAGGCACTTGCCCTCCTTGGTTCTTCCACCGGCAGCAATCCAACTGCAGATAATGAAAACCCCACATCTGGTGAGACACAAGAAAACAAAGTTGTCTTCACCGAGATGGAAGAGTTTGTGTGGGGTCTTCAGCTTGATGAAGGTATATTTTTTGTTGTTTGCTGTTACAATTTTGAGTACATTACTTTGAACTGCATGGTCAGATGTAATAGTGTTATATTCGTTCATATTTTTAATATCTTGGAGTTCAAATGATAGACCAATCAAATATGTGTATTTTCTATTCGACTTGCTTTTCGTATCTACAACTCCTTGATATATTGTAGTCAGAAATATAGCTACGTTCTCGCCTTTTAAGAACTAGGATTAAGAGTTGGATGGAACTAGACTTGGAATAGTAACCTTTCCACCAATTTGCACCTTCATGTTGGTGTCTCTGATACATTGACCTCTGTTTCTATGTCATGGTGCCTTTTGCATGATTGTTATTGTAACTTTGAAGTACTATTTTCTGTATCTCCTGTGGGTTCTTGTTGATCTGCAAGTAAAACTCATATCTTTGTTGGTTTTATATATGGATTTTAGGCTATTATATATATATATATATATATTTCCAGAATTCATGATATTGACGGTTGCTTTTGCTCTTTCAGAATCCCATAAGCCTGATAGTGAAGATGTTTTCATGGAGGAAGATGTAGCACCAAAAGCTTCTGATCAAGAAACAGAAGATGGGGATGGTGGTTGGACAGAGGTAAAAGATGCTGAGAAAGATGAAACCCCTTTGAATGAGGAGAAAGAGGAGATAGTTCCAGATGAAATAACCCATGAAGTTGCTGTTGGGAAGGGACTTTCAGGTGCACTCAAGCTGCTTAAAGACCGAGGAACACTTAAAGAAACTGTTGAATGGGGTGGCAGAAACATGGACAAGAAAAAAAGCAAGCTTGTTGGCATTTATGAAAATGATGGATCAAAGAAAATACATATTGAGAGGACAGATGAGTATGGACGGATTGTAAGTACTCTTTTTCATGAAGCAATCATTTCCAACTTATGGTTTAGCTTTATAGTTCTGCTATGTTCCATAAAATGGTTTAATTTTGTGCACTTAGTAAATGGGAGTTGGCACCTCTCTTTCAGCTGATGCCATGATATAGAATTTATAGGTCAAAACTTTATCTGATCAATCATCATATATCTCACTACATGGAGACAGTCTATTGACCTAGTGCTTATCTATCTCCTGGAGTGAGTGCTTACCTATCTCCTGGGGTGAATGTTGGGACTCGGGGACAGTTATAACCTATTTAGTGACTTATTACATATAATCGACTTGGGCTTTGTAGCCAGGCTGCCCTAAAGAGAGCATGCTGGTCTAAATTCCAAGTGAACTATTTGGAAGTATGTGATTGATTTAGGACAGCATCAGGGAACTTGGAACATTGGTTTTTAAGATTGGATTTATGGTGGCTTTTCCCACTCTTATCGAGACCGACTCCAAAAATAGAAATGTTGGCTTTTTTCTATTAAGATTATTCTTATCCTACTAAAGAACCAATAATATAACTTGACTGAAATATGACCTGAAGACCGCAACAGCCTATGTGAAAGCACTAAAAAAGCATTGACCCTTAAAACTTGAAGAAACAAATATAAAACTATACTATCAGCAAATTAAGCTAAAATAAACTTAAAATAAGACTTGTTTCATTAAAATCTTGATACATAAAGCATAGAATAAGACTTGTTTAATTAAGAAACTCGATACATAAGGTCTCGAGCACACTCCATATGAAATTCCAAATTTGCTGCTCTTGTTTTCATGTTCTACTTTATTCTTCCACATTAGAGAAAACTCGACCTGTTAAGGTTTGTGGTGTTGTAGTATAAGAAACCACAATCATCATCAATTTTTGGGGGCCTTGAATCTTCTTGACGATTTAAGTGAATGGTTTCAGAAGCAACACTGACAATACTGAGAAGTCCATGTTTACCTAAATTTTATTCAGTCTATTTGAAGGATGAAATCAATGGTTAGGATGACTTGCAAAAGGGTCATTTTTAGATGTTAAGGAAGAAAAAATTCAATCATAATCTCTTCCTTTGCTTTGACTTCCTCAAGCTTAAAATCATGATCCTCTCTCTCCTTCCTGTTTTTTTCAATTTCCTCAACTGTTTCAAACTTTTTTTTTCCATACCCTTGTTGCTCTTTATATTCAATAGGATATGACATCAAAATTGAAGTTGGACAGGATTTAGAGGATCCTAATTCTTGAATTTTTTTCTTCAGCAAGATTCTTACCTAGAAGAACAACTGCAGTAACTTCCAATGTAACCTTTAGCAAAGTCATATATATTCCACCTTTTTCAATTGAAAGTCGTTCTATTTAACCAATTATTTATCCCTCCTTTTGCTCCTGTTTTAGTGCTTTTGACTTCTAATTATATTCAAACTTAACCGCCATTGTGAAAGAGTTGAATGTATCAAACAACTGGAGTGAAGAAGGATCCTTCAACTCCGATACCTAAATGATGCAAGATACTACTGGGAAGCTTAGACTAGTGCTTTCCAGTATTGATTTTTTGAGGTCAGATTTCAGGACTATTATTTTAAGAATTGAAACTTAGATTCTAACTATTTAAAACTTTAGTTGGGGAATAAAGGCAAGAAGTCGTGACCTCAAAAACCTGAAATGTGTTATCTCCATGTCAACACATACTAATCCGTGCACGTCGATGTGCCTATATTGCCAAAAATCCAAAATAGTATTTTTTTATTTTATTTTTAGAATGTTTATGACCTTCAAAATCAATGGTGACTAAAATTTTGGGACCCTCGAGCAACTTATGAGTTTGATACTTCCAGCAACTGAACAAGTGTGTTTCTTCGTTGGTCGTATCTATGGTGTCACTGCTGTTCTGTATGGTTTAATAATATTATTGTTTCAATTGTTATAGTTGAGCATTATCTTACTGTTAATTAGGTTAATGTTGATTGAAATTCTTGGCTTGTGTTTACCAGTTGACTCCAAAGGAAGCCTTCCGGTTGCTTTCGCACAAATTCCATGGGAAGGGACCTGGAAAAATGAAACAAGAAAAGCGCATGCGGGAATACCAGGAGGAGCTGAAGGTAAAGCAAATGAAGAATGCTGATACACCGTCGTTGTCAGTGGAGAGGATGATAGAAGCTCAAGCAAGATTAAAGGCGCCCTATCTTGTACTCAGTGGGCATGTTAAACCAGGGTATGCTTTAATCTTTTGCTTCATTGATTATGTTTATTCATCAATGATGAAATTTCCTTGAACTTAAATGACATGAAATTGGTTTCAAATGAAGAAGGTGATTCTGAGTATCAATTTAAAAGAAAATTGGATATACTTGTAAGACAGTTAAATGGAGGAGTGCATCTAATATATTGTGTGATTGGCGTACCCCCTTTACAATTGAAAGGGAAATTCTTTCGAACAATCATTAGACCAGCCATACTTTATGGCACAGAATGTTAGGCAGTTAGGAAACAACATATGCATAAAGTGAGTGGCGGAAATGTGAATGTTGAGATGGCTGTGCGGTAAGACTAGAAAGGATAGAATAAGCAATGCTCACATTAGGGAGAAGGTTAAGATGGTTTGGACATGCAAAGAAGGCCTTTAAGTGACGCCAGTTAGGAAAAGTGACATAGTCCACATTAAGAGTAATATTAGGGGAAGAGGAAAGCCGAAGTTAACATGGATAGTGTTAAGGAAGGATATGATAGCATGTGGACTGACTGAGGTTATGGCCTCAAATAGAGCAGAATGGAAGCCTATGATTCATGTAGCTGACCCCAAATAGTTGGGTAAAAAGGCTTGGTGGTGGTAGTTGTTGGAGTACTTGTATGACAGTTCCTTGTAGGAAATTAGGCTAGGTTACTGCTTTCTCCTTTAGATCTCAATTTCCCACATAATTCTTGATGCCCAATATCTCATTTTATAGAACAATAATAAACATTGTTTGGGGTTGGGGACGTTATGCTTTCCTTTTTTACTTAATGGCGGGGCCACAAGTTCATTGGGGCTCTGTTCAGTTTTTTTGTCTCTTTTCTTTCCTTTTTTAGTTTTTATTTCTAGCATGTTGATACAGTACACCAAATTGTCCCTTTTTTGAAAATATAATTTGGCTGAATTTTATGTGCATAAATTTATTGGCTTTTTAGTCATACTGATTTTGTTGTTGAAGGGGGGGCTCCCGTTGTGAAAATCATGTGTCAATTTACCTGAATGAATTTCACTGTAGTCCTAGTATATCCTAAATGGAGTAGATAAGAATATCAAGAAGTTCGGTACCTATGTATGTGGGGTGGGGAGGAAATCAACAAGTTTGATCAATCCTATAGCTACTGAGATTCCCATGGCAGGATTTTTTTGAATTATGGCGTAAGTTGCAATTTCACATCTCTATCCCTGCTTTATAGATGGTTTTGTGTTTGCTCCGTCGGTGTTTAGAATATATATTTTTAATATCATGTTAAATTCATCAAAAATTGACCTTGTGAGAACTGAAAAGCTTCTACATGCTGCATGACTTATGTGACCGCCATTAGAACCAAGATTTTTGAATAATTAAACTTTACTAGGACTTATGCTGTCACAACGTATATATCCTTCTTACAGCAATGTACTCAGTTGACATTTTTTTCTTGTTATATTTAATATTGTTTCCAGGCAAACTAGTGATCCTAGAAGTGGTTTTGCTACTGTTGAGAAGGACTTCCCTGGGGGTTTAACACCCATGCTTGGAGATAGAAAGGTCAGTGTAGTTAACATCCTGTGTGCTCTTCTTCTCATCACGTTGTGTGTACAGATCAATAACTTCTTTTCTTTTTTCAAGATAGACACCTCTCCATGTCTCATATGTAGATATCAAATTATTATGTCAAGCAAAATTATGATACAATATGCTCAATTGGACATGTCTTTTTTTCTTTTGTGTGTGTGTGGAAGGGGTGGGGTCACAAATTGAAATTATTGAGCATTCATGAGGTCGAACTATAATAATTTACACACTGCAGACTTATTCAGCTCATTGAAATTCCCTGTTCAGCATAAAAAAATTGAGCTTAGTAAATCATTACTATGTAGCACGGATGGCTAGTTACATTTGTGTTGGAGGTAATTTTTTTTATTTTATTTTTTTCCCTATTTGAAACTCACACCCACTAGCTTAACACTAGAATCTATTTGGAATGAGATTCTTATAAGCTACAAAACGCTCTCATCTGCTTCAAATTTAGTTTAATTTAATTATATATATGTGTCTGTGTGTGTCTGTGTGTGTATTTTTATTTTTCATCTGTACCAAATACAGATTTTGATATCTACATCTATTTTCAGGTTGAGCACTTCTTGGGGATAAAGCGCAAGGCTGAGCCCGGAGACATGGCACCACCAAAGAAGCCCAAAACATGAAGTTTCCTATGGAATGTTCTTGCGAAGAATTTTTTTGAGGAATTCTAAATTACGAGGAAATGCGGGCGAATACTTGTTATTGTATGTTTTTTTTTTTTTTTTCCTTGTGGTTTTGGTTACAGCAAATCACGGATCTGTGTACCTCGCGGGCACTGTTAATCTGTTTGGTAACAGTGCAAGTGCATTTTGTAAGAGAATGAGCTATTGCCAAATTTTACTGGGATAATAAACGCCCAGTTTTTATATAGCAATGCATTTCTACTCTCTCCCTCCAAGCTTGAGGAGGGGTTGTGAAGAAAGAACGAAAATATTTGTTTTGTACGACTATATTTTAGTGCGTAACAATAACAATTTATCTTGACATTGTCAATCATCTAAAATTGGATTTCGGGTTGGGTCTAGAATTTGAATCGTTTTGTTTTTGTTGCACCGTAGTTGCAATGCATGTGGGGCATAATTACAGAGAGAGCATACAGAGACATACAATACAGCTGAATTTTTTTTCCATCCTTTCTACCAAACACAGCCTAAATGTGGTAAATGATGAGTTAAAGATTTGAAGAATAATAAAGCTCACAAAGTAGGTGCTTACAAGCTTTAGTCCCCTAATGCTGGAGCATTCTTTACTAATGTTTTCAAGAAATTGCCTAGTGTAAACACACAGTTGAGATATCATTCCTATGTGTAGTAAAATGAGACTTTTTTTAATTTGTTCTACCAAAATAGTGAGGATTTAACAAACAAATGGCATCAAATTTTGTCAAAAGAATGAGCATCTATTCTACTTTTATGAGGTCTTCCGTTTTGTTCAGATGTGACATTTTGATACAGCACAAATATAACAACCAATGGGTCTCAGAAAATTTAATATGACAAATTATACAAATGACTTCACATTGCATTGTCATGAGCAGGCATGTAAATAAGTAATCGGTTGACAAATTAGTAGCTGGTCACATCACACGAGCACAGTCACCCGCGTCACATATCAAAACTGCATTTTCTTGGCAGATTTGGCTGGCCAACTTTGGCTGGAGCTTATAATACTCATTCTTGACAAAAGATGCAGCTTCTTCTGCACAATCAGCATCCACAAATGCAACACAGCAACCTCGAAATCCGGCACCACTAAACCGTGCTCCATATACACCAGGAGCCTTCAGAAGAACCTCATACAGTTGAATTAGTGGCTCACAACCTGAACAATTCACATATATTATACAGGGACCTCCGTAATTTTTATTTTTATTTTTTGTAAGTTTTGTTTGACAGGAAGATGGCAACCCACTAATTGCATCAAGGGGATGCAATCCAAGTAAATGTGAAGTGAACAAGAGCAAGCAAAAGGAAGATAATGAATGCATCGTTGTAGATCACATGAAAGTGAAGCTCTAAAACGCAACACAGGTTACATGAGAGTATATATTACTTACAAGAGTTTTAAAATGCATATCAGATAACACCATTGTGGACATTCCTAAATGCAAGTAAAGGGCTAGCCCAGTACACGAGACTCCCACAATTTCTCAAAACACCATTGTGGACATTCCTAAATGCAAGTAAAGGGCTAGCCCAGTGCACGAGACTCCCACAATTTCTCAAATATGAAAGTGGACAAAGATTTTTATAAAAAACATTACCGCATTCATAGTTCTGAATAGAACTTAGACCAGAGGCTGTGATAAGCTTTCCAAAAACTTCCAAATTTCCAGAAGCCCATGCTTCAAGTCCTAGAATTATACCAAATTACTGTGTCAACTAGATATAAATTGAAGATCACATAGAAAACCTGAAGATAGCATGGTGGAAGAAAGATACGAATGTTCCAGAGCACTGAGAAATACCTTCAATTACCCGCATATTTTCTGAGAAATAATGTTCTGCTCTTCTAGCAAGATTGGATTCTAATTCGCACTACAAGAATATGCAAGTACAAATTATTACATGACAACTAACAAAATTTAGAATGATAAAGCACTTAAAATTAAGAGAACATGTGTTTTCTATAATGAGATAAAGGCAGGGATGACAATAATGATGATGATGATGATGTAATATCTCTTTCACGTAACAATTTCCTGATGGAACAGTGATTATTTAGTAACAAGTAAAACAAAATCTGTTGATTTGCAATGGAAGTTCACAATTTCATTTGATTAATGTAGTAAAGGGGTGTGTGAAATTGTCATCACCTTAACAGTTTTGCTAAAATGCCTCTAAAACTTTCCGCTTAAGTGGCTAATAAAAAAGTAAATTTTTTTTTACTCATAAGTGCAACACATTTTACACAACTAACAGAAAGCAAAATCCAATGGTTCACATTGATTTTCGATGTTGTCTCATGTCAATATCCACTTAAGGAAGAAAAAATTTGAAAGAAATGTGAGCTTTAGATGTCTGCATAGCATTACTTTTAGCAAGCGTGTGCTATTATGGGATTTTCTTCACCTCAAAGAAGCTTTATGGGTAAGGTTATTCAGAGATAAGTATGTGAAGAGGCTCCCGTTTTGGAATTTACTCAGTAAAGCTTCTGATTCTGCAATTTGGAAGGGCATCCTTTCTGTGAGAGATAAATTACTTACACATCTGAAATTCAGAATCAATGATGGATCTTCCTTCAGTTTATTTTTTGATCCCCGGTATGAAGGACTCTCACTTCAACAGAGGTTAGGATTAAGGAGACTGATTGCTGGTTTTAACACTAGTGATACAATTAGTGTCTTACGGCAGCAGTCTGGGTGGAATGTTCCATCTTCATGGCCCATTGAAATTGTTAATTACCTGAACATAAGTAACAATCATGCTCTAGCAGACGAGATTGTATGGGATATGGGACCTTTCAGTTTCAAAGCAGCATGGCAATTATGTAGACACCAAGGTAATGTTGCCCCAAGGTACTCTCTGGTGTGGAATGGTAGTAGACATCGAATTTCCATCTTTGTTGTGTTGGTTTTGCAGCAGGCAAATAAAAATCCTTTGTCCATCTTCAGAGACACGGATTGACATTGACATCTATATGTCACAACTGTTACAATGGGGAAGACTCAAACGATCACCTGTTCTTAAATCCTTTGAGGCAGCTACTGATTGGTTTATCACATGGACTACACATTCCTCAGTGAGGAGCAAAGTTTTAAGATGTTTTTTTACTGCAATCATACGGTGTACATGGAATCATAGAAACAAGATGTTGCATGCTGGGCTTCCATCCACAATAGAAGATGTAGCTAGGGAAGCATGTCTTGAGGGAATATCCTCCCACGACATTTCCTTATCAGAATTGCAAGTTCTTTTTTGATGTTTATTCTTTATGTCAGTGTCTTTTTTCTTTGCCATTATGCTAGCCAAGGGTATGCCCAATACCAACTTTATGGCTTCTCTTATTGTCTGTTTTTGTGATCTACTATAAGTGATCACTTCTCCTTTGTACTTTTATTGTTTATTTGTAGCAATAAATTCTCAACATTCAACATTCAGGTTAAAAAAAAAAAAAAAAACACTGATGAAGGGAAAGGTAGCAAGACTCGATAGAGATATAAAATTCTTGTTTCGCAAACAGACCACCTATTCCAGGTAAATTCTGTATGACCTACAACAAAGCTCCAGTTGTGAACCAGTTCCACTATGTCACAATGATCTACTAGTTCCCATTCATTCAGATTCCTTGCTAATAATGTTGACCATGAGCTTAAACAACACCATGCCATCTTCAATGAGCCACTAATGCTTCTTACCAACAGTACAGTGTATCTTATCCATTACATAGATATAAAATTTTAAGGTTTATGTCATTTTCTTGTTGCTCGAGATATTATAAGCTTTAAGGCCTTTGTTATTCTTTTCTCTTTTTTCATTGCGCGGTGGTAGAGGTAATTGGCCCTGTTGCTTACTCAGTTTTGTGGGTATTGGTGATGCATAGACTGGTAGAGGACTGGAGAGATCATGTAGTGGGGAGGATACTAGAGCAGCAAGGTAGGTGACCATTTGGTACAAAAGGAATGGGATATCATTTGAAGGGGTGGACTCCATATAAAGCCTCTTAGGCAAAATATTTTAGGTAACTGGATTTAGGGGAATATTTATTTGTTTATTGATTCTATCATAGAGATTTTTTATTTTTTATTTTTCCTTTCCTCTGTAGATATAAGAGTACAGTTTGCATGGTTTCTTAGATTCCACATCCTAAGACATGAATGCACTTTCTTAATGATTCTTTTACTTATCCCCCAAAAAAATAAAAAAAAATTGAAAGTGCCATTTTCAATTATCTTATCCATATAACTAGAATTGAAATAATATTAAATATATGTATACTTGGATATCTCTAAAGGTTACTTGGATATCTCTAAAGGTTTCATATAATTCAACTCTAGGCTACATGAAAACTATTTTTTTCGTTCCGCTCTACATAAGCCATAGCCTCTAACAGCATGTTATGATACATTTACTCACTAACTTTAACCATGTTAATTTTGGTCTTCCAATTCTCCTAACATTACTCTCAATGTGAACTATGTCACTCTTACAATTTCATATATCTATATGATAAATTAAAAATAGATTAGCTGCATGAATAAAAATGATTTTAGATGCATGTATCTTGCTACCTATTGTGATTTGATATATGGATGCGCAGATAATTTAGTTACACAAGTAATTGTGCATATACTTGAACCAAGAGAATGATTGCACACATGGGCGCACATGAACACACATTTGCAAATGTACAAAAACATGTATAAATTTTGAATACATATAATATCATGTAAGAAAAGTTGCCATATCACACATAATTAACTCACTATAGGCTGACAAGAAATACCATGTAAAACAAATTTTATTTTTTCTAAAAAAAATATTTTTAAAGAATTGTTATGAAGGCATACCTTGTTAGCTTCATATGCTTCTGGTTCAACTGTTTAAAGAGGTAATAGGAATCATTATGTGAGAAAATATATATAATCCAGACTTGTAAATCAAGATCAAAATCTAACCATTGGATAGAATAGGCTCCACTGCTCCACTCTCGGAAGCACTGTAAACAAACAGAAAAGAGAGAAATAAATCGAACAGATAATTACTATCATGTTCTTTTGACTTGCAACTTGCCCTTTAAGTGTTCGCATCTAATAACAATAGTTAAAACTTTCTAAGTTTCCAAATATTCCCTTTTTAAAGCAGAAACTTAAGCTGTCATAAGTCCACTTTGAGATAAAACACTTGGTAAAGGATCTTACTGCAACAGCACTCTTGCAGCCTCTTGACACTCTGCAACTCGGCGATTATATCCAGGATTACTTGTCAAAGCCTGCTTCAAGCCTGAACATGCCAATAATATCTTGAACGGATGGTTTTTCTGCAACTTTGGTGGGTGTATAAGTTTGTGTTCTTTGGTCTGCACATGTTGAACTAGACTCGTGAGACAAAATTCCAAATAAAATGGATGACCATTAAGAGCATAGAATCTTAAAAGATAGAAGAATGGTGCAAAAAAAACACTGTCAGGTATGCATATAGAAGAAACAAATCAAATCATGGGGAACCCCGTCAAAAAGTCTAAATAGTAGAAGACAAAAACCTTAATGAAATAATAGCTAAAATAATACTAAATAAACACAAATAAAATAGATATTGTAATTATGCAGATAAGATAACAAAAAAATAGAGAAAGCAGTGAACAGGCTCCTGAAGCACTTCATGCAGTATTGGGAGTGAAAAGAAATTGGAAACAGAAAAAGAGAGATTGTTTCATATTCTACTTGCACAAGTGCTTTATTAAAGCAACCACAAGAAAATAGTCTAATGGCAAGACTCTCACCTCACATCCTGTAGGTCAGGGGTTCGAATCCCCTTGGGGCCACCCCCAGGGAATTTTCCCGGTCAATATAATTGCCTGGTGCATGTACCCGATTGTGGATTATGGGTGCTCTAAGAGGCCCAACACCACCATCGTCGACGAAAAAAAGTGCTTTATTTAAACCACATTATGACATGTATTTAGTTCTAACCTCCTTAAAATATGCTTAATCCTAATTCATTTAACATAATATGTAGCTGTTAGAGTAAATTTTCCCATCTCCATCTGGTGAAAAAAAATAATAATTCCCCCTTCTCTTCAAATTAACCGAAAGTAATCCTTATAGATTACAATAGATATTTTTCAAGGCATCCCTGTATAGCATGGCGATCCTGTTAAAGAAAATTGACAGGACAAACTGTAGGACAAGAATTAATGTTATTGGGAACATATTACAATAAACATCACAAGAACAAAAACCAACTCTGTAATTGGATGAAGTCACCTTTGTTTCTAAGAACATAAAATTTCTGTTTCACAAAAATATTCAAACAATTCATGATAAATGATTCCATACATTACCTTGCAGTTCATACAGGTTAGACAACCATATCTTGAAAGCAATATAGCTGATTGATCCAATATGCCATTTTTCAGACCTAAATATTCATTTTCAATCAACCTATATGTACAGAGAAGTAAGATTTAGGAGAAACTACTATTACAGAAACTAATAAAGAAGTTTATCGATATGACATGGAAAGAAACAAATTCAACAATTAGAATAGATCATAGTATCAAAGGAACGCACCGGTCGTACTCAATATTTTCTGATGGGGATACAGTAAGATCATTTGCACTTTCGAAAGCCAACAAGTAAGCAACTCCAACCTGTTAAATGTGCAACTATAGTCAATATTACAAATATACGAAAGGATGCTACACTAACTAGGAAAAGTAGGGACTCTCAAAATGAATTTATTCTACAAAAGATTGCTGCCAACAAAAATACAGCATGAATCTCTTAGAAGATAATAGTTATCAGCAAACCTTTTTGACATAATAGCTGCTGCAATTTCCCTCAAAATGTTTACAATTATTTAATCAAATCATATACCATGCTTAGAAGTACTTCATGATATTAAATTTCTTGGCCTCAAGTTCAAATCCTTGATCTCAAATAAATGTCAATCTTATCAAAAATTTCTCTTAACCTTCCAAATTTTCAAATACCGTCAACACACACTTGATCTTTAGCCAAGTACTACCTTCCAAAAAAGCAAGGCTTCCAAGAGGATGGCCTCTTTTTCCATCCATGACATCTATACCTGTTCTCTATGCTTGAGCCTTTAAGCACTACAGAGACATGACACACGAAGATGTGGTGCAGAAACATGTACACGTTTAAGATTCTCTTTCCTATGACAAAGATGGTGACGTTCACTTTGAGAAACATGTGTAGTCTACTGCAGGTGCTTCTAAGAATATAATTTAGTCATGAAGCCCACATGTGGGCCAAAATGTTGGGGGAATGCATCTATCAATAACATTCTATGGTTTCAGATAAAGGGCAGAGCTCATTAATCACAAATGAAGAAGCTAATAATGACGTAAAATAGTCTCTCATGTTAAACATGTGCAGCATAACCTTCAATATAACCTAATGAAAGCAACTAATATTCCCTTGCAATTCTAAGTTATCTAGCTGAGCCTCCTCATTCACGAGCCTCCAGCAATGAAGCAACTTACTCTCCTTCGTATGATCAAATAAGACTACAAACATAAACACACAATCATCAAAAATCACCGATGAAACTTGGAGGCTATGTGTTCTATGTTTGATATCCATAATATGCCCTAATTTTTTTTCCCTAGTATGTTTTCTAAAAGAGACAGGTTTTTAGTTTCTGAAATAGTAAATACAAAATGATCATGATGTATAGAAACTTAGAAAGTCATCTGATTACAAAAAAAAAATCGGTGGTTTATTTTTTGCTGGGTTAAACAAATCAAGTATATGATAATTGCATGAAATTCCACAAGAAGGACAAGTGGATGGATGACAAGAAGAGATGAAAAAACTCACAGCGGCAGAAGAGCTAAGACCTGAACTGTCAAGACCCCCAGAACCACACACAAATCCTGTGATACCCTGAAACAATGGCAACAATGATCAATTTATTTAAACGTTAAATTTGGGATAACTACACAAGCTGACAGAAATATATTAAAAACCTTTTAGCTGCATTCAAGAACTTTGGAAAGTAATCGCAAGAAGGGTCAGCCATATGAATAACTTGGCCCACACACTTCATAGAAGAATAGGTGTAAATAAAATAAATTTCCTGGACAATGCAACCCCTCAATTGAGTCAATCTACAATACCTGGCTGGTAGGATTTTAATCCTAATAAAATTTGGAGTATAAAAGAGGCAACAAACTGACCCACAGTAAATTATGATAAATTCTAACTTCTAATTTAGACACCTCTTCTGTATTTTAGAGGTAAGTTATAGAGACAGAGAGAAGTTTTGAAAACCTGCACCTGAACATGGGACACCGAGGACCAGACGAAGCCTATCTTAAGAGGTGTCACTCCAGTAAATTGCGCTGAACAAGGGGCCCTCTTCCCAAACAAATGCAAAAAAGGCTGAGATATTGCCAAGGCCAAATCCTACTAACCCAATTTACTTCTCCTTATGTAGGATGTTTCAACCTAATGAAAATCTGGTATTTCTGGTGTGTAACTGCATGAATGAAAGCAAAGCAAGTACTTCCTTCTAATACTGTTCAGGCCCCTTAAAAGCATGGGTCATATCACTTGCTCGGTAGCTTATTCCAATCCTTAATGCAAGTTCACTCATAGTTGTAGAATATTTCAAAGTGCCTTTGACTTAGATGAAAATGGCAATAAAATCGAAGTCATTCACATGAGATGGGTTCCTCTTCTGTCCATCTCAAAGGGAGAGATCGCTTTAAGTTGATCCTTACTCCATTCTTTTCAGAATGGTGAACCAGGTAAAAGCTACAACAGCCACCCTAGACATTCTACCATCTCAATAGAGAGGAAAGCCTTAATCATAAAGCAGATAACTATAATGTGAGGTTATAGGCTTATTGAGGAATGGTACCTACACTAGGTTGTCGTCTCATCCCCATATGCTCTCCTCCAATACTTTTGAGTGTCATGGGGAAAATTTACGAATCCAATCCCCAGCTCCCACTATAACAGAACATTCAATGAGCTATTAGTCAAGCCCTTTAGAGTCCACAAGAGTCCATTGCTCCACAAGAAGTCGTAATGGCATTAAATCAAAGGAACCATTGTGCACATAGTAACCAGCTCATGGTTGCCCACTAATCCCCCATTCTTTTTTGATAACTACAATGCAAACCTTCAACATTTGCTTTTCATACCTTTAATAGCTTTTATGTGTCACATGTCCTATTACATAAGTGGAAACTATAACTTCAATCCTTTATGCTAGGATCAGTATAAATGTTGTAATCTAGACAAAATATGGTTGGATCTAAACTTGACTATATGCATAAGCCAATGGTTCTTTCCCTTCATCCCCTCTCTAGGTGTTTCCAACAATCATTTGGACATTTACAGAAAAGTCCACCCTTATGTACCTTATTAGATGTGCTGAAGTAGGAGGGTGTTACCTTCGCTTTATGCAATGGCAAAACCTGGGCTGCCAAGGATGAGAATATAGTTTGAAGTAAAAGTACAACCGCTTTGTTCATACAAACAAAGTCAAAGAACAAGCAAGTACCCAGTCTTTGCTTCCCATCACCCACATCACCAAGGCACCCGCATCACCAAGGCAATACAAGGTAATGCCCTTTTCATGCAATTGAAATATAGATAAATTTATATGTTCGTACAGAAATTCTCAGAAAGAAGACATACACAATGTTGGTGTTAAAACATGGTACTAGCATCCATTTATGAAAATCCTAACTTTTTCCAGGAAGGACATATATGTCCAATGTGCCAATTTAATTAGAGTATTCTAATTTATTTGATACTTGGACTTCAAATTCATCATTGCCCCTATCATCCGTAAGGAATAACAAAGAAAATTAGAGTATTCTATTTTATTTGATACTTGGACTTCAAATCCATCATAGCCCCTATCATCCGTAAGGAATAACAAAGAAAATTATCCAACCTGTCTTAGATAATTTCCTCTACTTTGTAGTGCATATAGTGCTCCTCTGGCATAAATTCCCCAATTACTTTCTTCTTGTAGTTCGGATGAATCATTTGATTGGATCTTGTCATTTGACTTCACGACATGCTTTGGAAGCTGAATTTCATCTACTCTGTGAAACCAACAACACTAAATAATTCAATTTCAAAAATAGGCCATAAGACAATAGTAGTTTTTCAAACAAGAACAGATAAAAGGTGAGTCACAATGATTGGAACTGTAAGCTTCATATGTCTGAAAATATTGTGAAAATAAACACGTATATATCATAGTTCAGGCACTTTAATGATGAAACCCAGTAACATTTCAGTTCTCGTGAGAAGTAATTCATATGTAATAATGTGTTACTCTTCGTATTCCTATAATGACTCTGCCTGATTATGTATAATCGCCACTAACAAAAAGTTCAATATTAATGTGATGGTCTGTTGGACTTGTGTGCCATAGGCACATGAGATCTTGTCTTTAAGAAGCATCACAAGGGAATTGTTTTTTTTTTCCTTTTTTCTTTTTTTCCAGGTAAGTAAGTATGTAATCATAAGGGAATTGTTGTGTAGAGAAGATCTCAAGTCCTTAATGGGCTAGAACACCACTTTGGCTATAAATATAGGGTGTAGTCCCATCTCTCACAGTTCAATTCCATAACAAATTCCATCAAACTTGGGTCTGGGAGAGTTGAAGAACAAAAAACCGACCCCTTTCAGTGAGACAGTCAATTTGCTTCAGAGGGCAATGTTATACAACTTGCAATTGTAGGTAAGACTCCTGTCTATCTTGTTATCTCCTGCTCCAAATTATTTGTTAAGGAAAATCAAGAAAGTAAATCAATATTGAACTTGTTAGCTATGTACACTCCAATATGTGCAAAAATGTGTAAAATACTCATGTCAGGCAATGACACAACATAGGCTATGGGTATAAGAAATGAATCTAACACTTCATCCGCAAGACTACCTAATAAAAGAATAAAGGAACACATGCTTGGTTCACTTGAAGGTTTAAGTTTTCCCCAAATTAGTACCTTTTATTACATGGATGGTTCACTATGAAAGTAAGTATATGTCCAATAATAAAAAATTAATGTTATGTAATGAAAGTAACTTATGTAGCAGGTCTAAGTAATTAGGGATTAGACGAATCTGATACCTGGACATACCCGCACTAGACACGTGAATCGAAGTCCAAGTAGCATATTTCACTTGAAGGTTTAAGTATTCCTTAAAAATGTGTTCCCTCTATTACATGGGTGTTTCAGTGTTTCACTATAAAAATAAGTAGCTGTCAGCCTAATATAAACTTATTTCTAATGTTTGGATTTTTTGGGTTGCTCTAGGAAATCCTAATGACAATAAATTGGCCACATCAACAATTTGGCTGTTTCCGCAATATTTAGGGTTTAGACAAATCTGATACCTAGACATCTTCGCATTACACTTGCGTGTCCAACTCCAAGTAGCTTTAAAAGCTTAAGCTGTTAGGGAATGTGGAAGTCAACGTCATGAGCAAAACTCTGAAGATTCTTATACGATATCACACAAGGTTCTCTATATTTTTTTAATATTTTTTTCGTCATTTGTTTGAAAAATAAAAATAATTCATAACATGTCTGTATAAATTTTTTTGTTGTTCACCAAGGACACTACTGTAACTGGAATTAGAATTGGAAGTCGAAATACAAAAAGGAAGTTTGCACAGAAGAAGAAAGAAATGTCCCTAATGCCAAAATTTCACATTGATGAACCTAAAAGGATCCAAGAAAATTACCCCCAAAGGAATAATAAATAAATGAACTAATGCGAATCAATCCAACTTTTAAACAAAAGGCAATATGTAAAATTAGAATATCAAATTGAAAGCTTTATAAACAAAATATAATAGACAAAGATCCTGGTAGTTGTATTGATATGCCAATATACTATGATTGCATTGGTCATATAATGATAATAACAAGGATCATGACCATATGTTGATGGAAATTGCAATGTGTCAATACCAATCTTAACATTTTTTATAAATGTTATACCTGAAGGCAGTAGATCTACTTAAAATATACAAACATGTCAATCAGCATTTAAACACTAAAAAACAGAGATGCATCATTAATGTTTGTTTTCTGGAATCATAGCTTCTTGAATTCTATAAATTATTTTCCTCCCAATTTGCTTAATTTTGGTCAACACTAATATCTTCACAGGCTTAGTAATAAGTTGATAAATAGAACAAATGTTCCATCAAAAAGAACTACAGTATGATCAAGTTACAAAGCTTAATTGTTTGGAAAAATATTACAAGAGATACAAGGAAAGTAACCAAATAATAATGACTTGAGGTTCCTTACCTTAACCTAACATCCCCTTTAAACTGTCCTGATCGTAGTAGAACCTACACAAAGAATTCCTGCTGAACATCAAAGGAGAATGACACGAGAAGGGAACAAAAAAAAAAATGCTTGAAAAGATAATCTCAAAATTAAAATTTCATGAATATCTTTTTATAGATTGCACTTCAAATTTCTCCCAGGAAAAAAACAAATTTAATCAACACACACATATATGGTTTGCCTCCAACTACATATATTGTGTATATATAAATGCAATTTGACAGATGAATCTAAATGCTCAATAAATCAAAGAATGTGTCATTTTCCAATACGAGGTGACAGGGCAAACCTATTTTACCTGGAGCCTGACGTTCTCAATGACATGGTACAGTAAAGGTAGCTTATGTAGATGACATACTTGGAATGTGGTTGAAACAATTCCAAATGCGAGACTGATTTCGCTTTTAGCAAGTCACTACTAATGGTTCATAATATAATAAAAATGAACAAGATTGGCTTTTACTTCCGGAAATTTGTTAAATTATATTAATTATACAACAACATGGAACTAAGAGAATCCTATAAAAATTAAGCTAAAGCCAAATCATTAATTCATTCCCAAAATTCCTTATTAGACCACTTAATTTTTCTAATGTTAGTTCACATAAATAAGAAAACAAACAAAACAAATGGTAAAAACTGCATTGATCAATAAATTTAAGGTCCTTAGAAATATATCAATGATTATGTTATCACATGGGCATTCTAAATCGAAATTGCTAGGGCACTAGCATTTTGTGTTAACTATGGGCAGACATTTTCCATTTAACAAGGCTCAAACAGATTTTCACATAAAAGTATCTTCCATAAGGACAGATTAAATGTGGAATCTCAGAAGAGAGAATCAAGGAATCGTGGGCAATGATCAACCAAGAAAAATGATCCAATGAAAACAAGAAGGGGACAGAAAGTCACAAGCTACTGTTTGTAGTTTTATAGATTAGGTTAGGACAGGTTTAGTACTTTTGAACTTAATCAGCAAATAAAACAAAACAAAAAACGTCCATTGTTTATGTCAACACTTCATTCATTTTCAATACTAGTTCCCCCCCTCCCCACCCCACCACCACAGGAAAAAAATTAAAAATTGATATTCATATTTTTGGCTCCGCACCTAACAAAGACCATGTATGTGGTTATGCAAAAACGTAGATTTGTTCATTTGTATAAACATAATCATGATAATTTCTCTCCTCTCTAATATTCACTTCTTTGACTCCTCTCTAATATCCACTCTTTGATACATGTCCCAGTGTCCTACTTTTGTATTTTATATGTGGTCTAACTTTTGATATTATAGAAAATTTTATTTTGGTTGCTCTTAACAATTAAACTTTATTTTCCATTCTAAAAGGTCAACTTTCAAAGTTCAAGGTTTGTCAGTCACAGCTTGATAGACATAAAACGAAACTTGCCCACATGTTCAATACTTCAATATGAAGGGGTTTTTTGCTTTTTGAATTATGAAACTTGCAAGATGTGTCAAATGCATGTCTAAAAGTGTCCAGAAATTGTCAGTTTCTGACATATATGCAACAAAAACACAACTCCTTATTAGAACTGTCTACACTTTTCAGGTTGATGTAATCCTACCTAATGTGTCTTAGGTGAAATCAGGGGCCTACACGAATCTTGTGTATTGAGGCTGACTAGACTAGCACTGTTACTTCAATCTGCTTCCAAATGCCAAGTGTCATTATACCACATTATTTGTACTTGTAAACGTAACAAAAAAGCTAAAGGGTATAAGATAAGGACATTAATGATGGTGTATTCTGATGTGACGTGTCAACTGAAAGAGCCATTTTTTTTTTTACGTAAAAAATAAAACGAGTACATTGTGGTTTCTTCAGCAGTTTAATTTTAATTTTTTTACAACCACCTTTTTTATATTAGGAGATCATTAAGGAACAGCATTTCGTATATTTTGCCCATACATTGACATATAAGTGCCTCCGTGGTAGATGCTACCTAATCACCTTGAATTGATTTATATTTCATCAGATGTTCATATGGCCCCTAATGTATAATAATGTGAGAAAAATCAGGATCATATCATACCTGAGAATCACCAGAAGGAACAAATCCTAGAAGTATACCCTTATTAATTGTCATAGCTGAAACAGTTCCACCCTGTAACATCATAGAATAAAACAAAAAATAACTTTGAGTTCTTCATTTAAGTCTATAGATGTAAAAAATTGAAGGATTAGGCAGTGGCTCAAAAAATAAGCTCAACTGATCAAGTGCAAGGTAACAAAATATCATCAGACAAATTAAACAAGTATTGCAGTAAACAATTTCGAGGGGAATTCACACAAAAAATTTGAAATTAATTATGACAAGGAAACATCTGAAGATAATTTAAGAACTACTAAGTACTAAAAGAAGCATAGTTACATTCTCATAGCTAACTCCAACTCTATCATGCTTGGTCCTTTATTTATACACGTTCGGTCTCAAGTCCAAGAAAAGGAGGACGATTGCTTTAGGTAGTTTTATTGTTAACGTAAAACTTCTATCAGAACTTTATGAACATGAATCCTAAGAATATACGAGTACAATTTAGGGTGTTTCTGACATGTTGCATATGCTTCCAGATGTTCTGGAAAATGGACAGGGGGTGTCACATTGACTCCTAGATGCGGTGAAAATATCGTCTTATTCAATTGAGGTCATGGCCTTATATAGAACGCAGTGGTGCAACAATATTCACGTAACTGACCCCAAATAATTGGGAAAATATTTTTTGTATAGAGTTATATGCACAATTATGATACTCTACTGTCCAAAATTAAACTTGAAATTTCCTAAGAGAGGAAGCCACAAATAAAATGCTCTTAAATTAATTATGAAAATGCGCAAATATGGTACTCTAGTGTCAAAAACTACACTTACAATTTTTTTTTCCTTTTTTCAGTAGGTAAATCTCACACACACCCATTTGTCTCATTGGAGATTTGAACTCTCAACTTTTCCATTCAAAAGGTCGGCGAGATACCACTTGGCCCTTGGTGGTAAAATTAAACTTGCAAACTTAATATAACGTGCATTAATAAACTCACAGAAGAACGATTTATAAAATCTAAATTTTAATAAGAATCCATGTATTAATAAACAATTCGGTTTACTTAAAAAGGATTTTTGGTACATAATAGATAGACACTATTTAAATTCACACAAAAGCTATGATCGAATTTTAGGTTAATTAGCATATATAATCAAGATCAAATAAAAGAATACTAAAGTCACCTGATGATCAATGTGAGCTCCCAATGGACAAATCCTATAAGGGGACACGACAACCCTGACCTCTTCAATATCACTCCCAGACATTTCAGCAACCATCTTCTTTATTTCATCCAACTGTGACAATTATAAAATAGATAAAGTTTTAGTATAGTCATAGATAAACACGTATAACCCAAAGATGTAAAACCATCACAAAGTAATTGGGTTGCCATTATGAGTTCAAGAACATATAAGTGCAAGTAATAAATAAACAATAAGAAGTAGTAATGTGCATAACCATTGAGATCCAAAATGAGAATCAATAATGTCATGTTTAGAAAATCTACTGGGCTAACAAGGAAATATAAATTATATCACAATAACAACCCCTCACTATTTCTCCCTCTCTACATTTATATATATTGTATGCATACATATATATATATATATATATTGAAGCGCAAATATTCAAAGTTTGCACCATAGAATTCTGTAAGTGCTTTTAATTTTATCTTTCTAGGAATGTCTTATATACACAGTATATACTAAGACTTAAGTGATTCAAACTAACATTGTAGCTTTGTTGAATAAAAACAGACACTAACACGAATGAAATACATGGATACAAAAAAAATCACTATCAGCCCATTGATTTGATGCACCACCACGTTTAACTTTTTAATTATTTAAATAATTTGTGCAAAGTTAAATTGGGTATTAAATCTATGGCCTTTAAATTAAATTGTGATCAGATCTTTGTAGAGTCGCATTACAGAATTTAATGCTGGTACATTGCAGTTTACAACGATCCATCAAGGAATAAACCATGTAATGAGACAAAATTTCAACTGCGGATCAAGAATTACCTCTCCTTCGGATGGCCAAGAAAACCCACTCATCTTCCAAATGATCTGGAGAATCACCAATTGAATGGCTTTGTTGAACTGGGTTTTTCTCTACAAGGCTACAGCTTCACCGCAATGAGAGTTGTGTTTACACACACACGTATACATATAGATATCTCGAGAGAGAGTGGAGTTAAAGAAATAGATTTTGCGGTTGTGACCCGGGAAATTATTAGTCGGTTAAAACGTCAATGTGATTCGGCTTCGTTTCATCTCATCAATGATGACGATTCATGACAATACACGGTGGTCCGTGAACTTGTTTATTCATCCGTAAACTATTATTTTATTTTCTCGTCTTTACAGAAAATCGTTTTTTTTTTTTAATATATATATATATAGAGTGATAAGAAATTATTCTAATAGCTACCTTCACATCAAAAGTTTATTAACCAAAAGCTGCAACTTGTGTTTTCTTCTTTTATTATTCATTGCACGATGCCCAAAAAAAAAAAATAATAAGAAAAGAAAAAAAAATAGTCCATTTGTCTCGGTCTTTGTCAGTGACGGAGCCTGAAGTGAGGGAGGTGTACTGCCAAAAAAAAAAAAATAGTACGGAGTACAACTATAAAATTTAAAAAGACAAAAAAGAAAAAAATTATTAAAATATAAAAATATATATATATTAAAATATAAAAAATAAAAAAAAAAATGAAAGAACTTTAATAGAAAATAGTTAAAAACTTTCAATTGAGAATGAAAATTTTGACTTTTTTCAATAAGAAAATTTAAGAAACGTGGGAGTAAAAGAAAAAATAAGAATATAATTTTAAGAACTACAAATTTGAGGGAGGGCACTATATAAATTTTTTCATATATATGAAATTTTTTTAAAAAATCACCACATATATTATATGTTGCTGGCCAACTCAGGGGGTCACGTGCCCCCCTTAGGCCTTCATTGACTCCGTCCCTGCTCCTTGTGTCACGAACCATTCTTGGTACACTAATAATGGCTTACAATATTTGAGTCCTACTAAATACTTTATGCAGAGTGGGAAAAAATACGTCCTTCATGTGTTGCTTGGCTGGAAAAATAATAAAAATAAATTATTGGAACAATATTATTGGATAATGACTCTCCTTAAGTAGTTATTATTTAAGTTTCTTTTAAAATTTTAACTTTTTAAAAGATTGACTTTTAATATTTTTGTAATTGCATTAGGGTGATGAATTTTCAAATAAATAATGACTCTCATGTCTTAAACTATAATCGAAGTTGTAACTCATGTATGAATTTTACCACTTTTAAAATTTTAACTTTTTAAGAGATGGATTTTTAATATTTTTGTAATTGCATTAGCCATGAAAATAATGATTCTCGTGTCTAAAATAAATAATGATGAATTTTCAAGAAGCAAATAAGATCAAAATTTTGTCTCCACTTCATCAAAGGAATAGGAATCTCTTAGGCCCAATTTGGTTAGAGGGTATTGGAAGGAAAATAAAAGAAAATTAATGGAGATAAATCAAATACTTTGTTTGGTGTCGATTTTTAAAAGAAAAGAACAGAAACAAGGGATTCGAAAGGAAACAAATTATATAGGATGTGTTGATTTTGTTTGCCTTCAAAAAATTGGAGGAAATGAAAGGAAAGAAAAGACTAAGGCCATGTTTGGGGGAGTTTCCAATTTTTAAAATTCCTTCCATTGAATCAGCTTTGGAGAATATATTTTGATGAAAGGAATTTAAAACAAAAAAGTTGTTTGGTAGATGAATTTTTTGAAGTTCTTTTAATTATCAACATAATTTTACTTTGACAATTATACCCTTAATAATTCATGAATAATAGCATAGAGTTGACTTAATGATGCATCAATGATTAATTGACACAATGATGATCAAGGTATACAAATTTACCCAATCTACATCATAGAAGTTTTTTTTTTTCCTTAATAAAAGTTGAAAGAGATGGAAAGAAAAATAAAATGAAAGAGAGAGATGGCAACAAAAATATTTTGTTCTTATTTATAGCTATAAATTACTTTAACAGTGGAACGGTAGCCTTAAAAAAAAAAAAAAAATTTATATATATACATATATATATATATATATATATATATATATATATATATTGTGTGTGTGTATATATAGTGAGAAAGAAAAGTTATTTAAAATTTTACGTAGGGTTGAATTTTATATGAGAGTTCTTTAATCCTAGAACTCTTTAGGCTTTGAAGTTAAATGGGACTCTATAGTAATTTTTCCTGCACTCCTCGATGTCATTATTTTTCCTTTGTTGAATAGTTTTTCAAAAATATTTTTTTTTTAGAAAAGATCTGTGAAATTTTGCTTAGCATTTTAAAATTTATTTTTTATTTTTGGGCAAAGAATGAATGAAAAGATGATACAGAAGGAGAAAAGCTTGAAAAGTTTGCAATGGAATTCTGAAATAGAAATAGAAATAAGTTAAATAATGGACAATATAGAAATTTTATATTTATTACTTAAAAAAAGTGTATAACTTGCAGGAAGTCGACTAGGAAGTATGTTTTATTGGCTTTGTTCAATCAGATTTCTAATTTTACCAAACGCTCTTTATTATTGGCAAAAGACTTTCTGGGCTTAGAATCCCTTTTTGAGGCTACAAAAAGCCTAGCCAAACATACCCTAATTTTTTTAATAAAATTTTATTAATACCAAATTTGCCTTTCTTTTTATAAAAGGCAAAATTTATAAAAAATGGTATGGTAATAAATTCATAATAATACTTTCTTTCCCCCAAACATTATTACTATGATTTTATTTCTTTTACTTTATTAATCAACCAATTGGTTAATTATATCATTTCATTTCCTTTCTTTTATTTTCTCTTTTAACTAATCTTATCATTTTTTTTTATTTTCCATTAAACCAAACATCGTCTTAGAGCTTTAGGCTTTTCATTTTCAATTTTGCCCTCTGTTTTTGAATTGGTGGGGTCCATAATGATGTTATTTTTACTTTTACACTCTCAATGCAATAGGGGTAAATTGGGGAGGTTAGAAAATACAGTACATTAATTTTTGAAATTTGACAACTATTGTGAAGCAGCTATTGTTGACGTTTTTATATTTTATTTTATTTTATTTGGGTAAGAAATTAATTGTTGATTTTATTTGCATTATCGTTAAGATTTGGAATTTAATTAAATCATACAATTTTTGTTTCCTTGAAGGACGAGACATTTAGGGTCCGTTTGGTTAGCAAGAAACAGCAAGAAAGGAAAAGAAAGAGAAAATTTTAAATCTTTTTAGTAGTTTGGTTAGATAGAAAGTGAAAATTTTGGAAAAAGTAAATTTCCCACATTTGAAAATTTCCCTCAAATTTCTAGCGTGAAACACAGGAAAATCTACTTTCCAGCGAAAGTTGTGCACTTTATTTCTTATTTTTCCTATTATGCCCATATATGTTGTCTAAACTAAATAAACTTCATTGAAAAGGAAATGCATATATGTTGTCTAAACTAAATAGACTTCATTGAAAAGGAAAAGTTTCCTTATTCTGTAAATTACTTAATTTGTCTATTACTAATTTAATTGTTTGTAATTTTATGTGTGTGTAAAATTAATTTAATTTTTCCTTCCATTATTAAATTATTATTTTTCATTATTTTTCGATGATGGCTGCAATTGCACAATTTTTCGCAGTTGGTAATACTATTATCTCATAAACCATGTCATCTCAAGACAACATACAATAACATACATACATATATGTATATATTAGCTAGAGTCCTACCGTGTTCCACTCATTAAGATACATCCAATGACTTAAGATTTTGTTAAAAATAGAACAAAGTTGGCATAATTTCTTTCTAGTAATAATAATCAATATTTTTTCATGTACACAACTTAAATTAGTCAATTATACTGGTACTTACTCAACTTTTAAAGTGTTGTATAAATTAATGGGTTCTAGTTCTTGTAAAAAAATACAAAAAATTATATATGATATCACATATTATTTTATTTCATGTTTCACCATTTGCTTACTAAAATAAATAAATAAGTATAAAGAATATTAGTCTAACTCAAATTTATTTATTCTATTACTATTTATAATTATAAGGGTATTTTTGGTATGTAGAATCATTTCTTTTTCCTTTTCATACTAACCAAATTAACAAAATAACATTTTCTCACTACTTTCTTCAAAAAATTTCTTACTAACCAAATGAACGATAGAAATTTGATTTTCCTTTCTTTCACTTCACTTTCTTTTACTTTCACTTTCCTTTAAATTTTTCGTCTAACCAAACGAACACTTAAGTTTAAAATTCTATTAAGGCCACCTTTAAATTTAACTACACCCAAAAACAAAAGCCCACATCACCTCTCTCCCTGCAAGATAGAAAACCATAGAGCCTAAAGCCCAATTTGGACTCACCACAATCTATTCCCAATTGTGAGGCCCAAATTTTACCATGGCCCATTTTCTGGGAATAGGTATGTGTGTTATAGAAGTTCCCTAATTGCACATTGGAGGAAGAGCAACGGTTTAGCAAATCGAGATCGTCTAGAGCAATTCTCATATAAGAAAATTTATTTAAAAAGGGAATTGCTAGCGCTGCTTAAGTCACACAATTTTTCTCAAATAAGTGTGACTCTCGCGTTATGAGAGCACTCTCACGCTCCGCATGTACTCTGTCCCAAATTCTCACTATTTATGACATAATTTTGTCCTGCGCTCCACTATTTTTTTTTAATGAACTTACAAAATAGTCTTTGTACCTTTTTTTCCTTCTTTTTTTTTTTTTTTTTCATTGGCAAAAAACTCATTACATGCCTACTTTATTTATTTGGAGACTAGACTCTCATCACATTCATTTTGGAAAATAGAGGAGATATCACTGTATCACATGACCCCTGATAAAAAAATCTTGTACAATAAAAGCACTTGATTATTATATTTTTAATGTCACAATTGTCTTCACTTAAACATTTACCATATTCATTTTGGAAAATAGAGGAGATATCACTGTATCACATGACCCCTGATAAAAAAATCTTGTACAATAAAAGCACTTGATTATTATATTTTTAATGTCACAATTGTCTTCACTTAAACATTTACCATATAAGTAGTTGCAAAATATAGGAAGTTTACCTTTACTATATATATGTACGTGATTGGGAAAAAAGTATATTTGATTTGGAAGCAAACTTTCATAATTGCAACAATTCTCTGTGATAATCTTTAGTTGATCTTTTTCTTCCTATCTCTCTCTTCTTCTTTTTTACCTCGGAAGGTATATTTTAATTGAAT